ATAAACAAACACATCTTAGTAAAACCAATACCTTCTCAGCTTCGCATCGAAGCTAAAAAAATTAAATAAATAAAGGCGGAGGAGAAGGACTTGTATTTAATTTTTGGTATCTCGAAATCAAACCATATTGAATTATCGAATGACAAAATGTCTTTACCTCACCTTCTCTTATTCTTGTTTATTATGTGAATTTTTGAGGAGTAAAACATGCAAATAAATAATCGCGCTTGCCTTTATTTCCTTTCTTAGTTGTCTGAATTAATTTTTTAGTGCTTCTCGGTTCAGTGTTAACAATCGTTTGCGTTTGTTTCGATTAATTAGATTTGTGTGTATATTAAATCTTAATCATCAATGCGCGCTTTCATTACCTCGACAATGTATGTCGTTCATAAAATACGCACTTAATAAAAATCTCTACAATGGGACATGCGTCTATTAATTAATTTTTTTATACTTTTCAAACTCTTTTCATATTATACTAGGTTTTTGCTAATAATATTTTCGATAAATTCCATGTCTGCCTACATTTAAAATATAATCAAAAATATTGTGGTGGTCCAGAGTTTCTCAGCATTAATCCTTGACTAGCGCGGACACAGTTAACCTGGTTAATATTATTAAATATTATCACAATACATCTCTTGATATCCTTTGCGTCTACTGCTTATACGTTACCAAAAAAAGTAAGACTTAGTCTTACGACTGGCAAATATACACGTAGAGGATACTTCTAAGATATAGTTTCCTATCATTCTTACGTACTACATATATTTAGTAATGATCTCTATCCAGACTAGAGTTCGACAACTGGCTTGTCACTGGAAATAGCACAATTCAAATTATATTACAATTAATACACACTAGTGTTTCCAGTTTTACACTTTACCCCAAATGCTTATACGTTACCAAAAAGGTAGGGCATAAAATAGTACTGCTCATACTAATTAATTCCAATCACAATATTACGCTTCTTTATTTATTTAAATACATATTTAAGGCTATCCAGAAATGAAAGGCGCAATATTATTTAACTCCTTTAAGTATTCTAATTGTTAAATAAAGTAAAAAAAATATTATTAAAATTCTATGAAGATGTTTGTATCAAATTATAAATTAGATCTAAATTTAACAATTGTCTAATTTAAAAATTCCGATCTATGATTGAATATGGATCTATTATTTGGTCTCCTTATCAAAACACTTTGATTAACAAACTAGAAAAATTGCATCATAGATTTTTACGGATAGTAAGTATGATCGGGACTTTAATGTTTAACAGCAACTGAATTAAATATGTGTAACTTAAAATTTTAGAGACGTATGACCAACATAACATGGATATAGAGCCTAATTAATAACACAATTGATTGTCCTGATATCCTTAGTTTGATTGCAATGAATGTTCCACAATTTTTCTTGCGTTCCGCTCTCTAATTTTATGTTTCCAGCCATCGACAGAATTATAGTCACTATTCACCATTTAACCGTATGCTTTTAAAATGTAATTTTTTTAGTAATGAATTTGATTTACTTACAACTCACTTAACCAGGTTAAATTTTATATAAACTAATTATACTTATTGCAATTTCTACTATGAGTTGATATGTGTATATGTCATTTTTATTTTTATTAATAGTTGTCTTAACTATAATAATGTAATTTTGTTTTAGTATTAACTTTTAAGTATTAGTGTTATCTTAATTTTAACTATGTTTTATATTTAATAAATAAATATAAAAATAATAAAAAATGTATGTTTTTTATTGGATATGTAACAATAAACCAGTTTTACAGTTTATAAGTTTCTACAGTATGACATTCAACTTATTCGCTGTGATTTTTTATACATTTGGTTTCATTTTATCATATGCTTCAACAACGCAAGATAGGAATCAAAGGCCTATCAAACGATTTATTTTTTGCACTTTTTATATTTATTTTTTCTGTTCTAAAAAATAATTGAATGAACACCAGACATTCAAAATATTCACCATCCTAAAAATTTATAATATTGAATCATGTAGAAGAGATGCTTCAAATATGGAAATGATGTTAAATATGACTTACTGTGTTAATTTACGTTAAATGATAACGGAGCATCAATAAGTGTATTATATGACTGAAAAAATATTTTTATTGTTTCCACAGAAACCAATAAATAGTAGATACATATTTCATAAAATAATATAGTATTCCATATTAAATACCTATTTCATATTCGGAGGGTCGTCTCTAATAGGAACAAATATTTGCAGTCAGTCTCTAATTAAACCTCATCGAGATTTCCTTCGTAGGTATCCTAATCAACGTCCTGAACAATAATTCTAATAATAAAAGTCAACTGAAAAAAAGTGAAAAAGGAATTCCCAAGTCTTAACGATATTATTTTACGGAAATATTGTAATCTTTTATTGAAAAGAACTATTTAAATGTGAAAAAATTAATCGTCTACCAAATATAGTTAAAATATTTTTCAATTCACGATTTTTTAAAAATTCTATTACGGCTAAAAAAGCTATTGATAGATTCTATTCGTCTGAAGATTTTATGAAAAACACATTAGGAAACGAATTTGTTATGTGCAACAAAATTCGTTTTTTATAAACTTGATTATTTCCAAAGTCTAAGTTTTAACTTATACTAAATAGTCAAATCATCTGAAAAAAGGTCCAAAGTATATATTTGTGTAGGTTTTTAAGGTTATATCCCCCCCATTAGAAATCCTGACTACGCTAATGCTTTTGATGAACTTTTAAAGATAAAATACTGTTCAAATAATTAATAAATTAAAAAAATATCTTAATTTTTTAATCTTAAAATTAATTAATTTTCAAGACTAATCACTAACACAATTTATTAAGGGTAAGAAATTTGTCATGCGTAAATTTTATATTACATTGAAAGAATAACTTATTATAATTTACCCGATTTAAAAATTGTTATTACTCGTAGGGTTTTTATACCAGAAATTCATTATGAATTTCAAAGATACAAAAAAAAATTATCAATATTATTTTTATTTTTCGACATATCACCTCAGAATAACGACAACTATATATTTTATCAATAAGTAATTGCATTTTGTTTTCAATAACAGTGTTACACAATTACCACTAAACATTTTTTCTTATTAATTTTAACTTTAACATAAATTAAAAACAATATTATTTGAAGCTGCTAAATTATTGAATTTATTGAGGTTTTCACCTACTATACTAAAAAAAATTATACAAATTGAATTTTAATGCATAAATAAAATGTTGACGACATTATCAAATTGATTTTCAACTGATCTAAGAATTTTTAATGTTTGACAGCTAGAAAATTATGCTTATAACAAACACAATATCTGGTACCTAGTTAAAAATTTAGCTATGAAAAATTATGTTATTAAGGTCAATTTTTACAGAATAACATAATTTTAATTATTATACAAACATTACGACTTGGTTTTAATAGCACAATAATTAAATGAATATATATTTTTAACAAATTTACAATTGAAATTGGAGACTAAGCAAATATTTTATATCATCAAATTTTTACTATTTATGACATTATTAAAATAGGTCCTTAACGAAATTTTTAGAAGCCTTATTATTAAATGTATTCTATTCTATACAATCTTAATAGTTGAGACAACTGAAATAGAAAAAAAAATTGATATAAAATGCAATGTGGTAAAATTAATTTTATAACAGAAAAATTTAACTTTCAAAAACTATAAAAATATTTTAGGAGTATAAACTTAATAGTAACTTTTTACGAGCATTGCACTGTAAAAAAAATTAAGATCTCTCATTTCGTCAGCATTATTACACTATGTAAATTTAGAGATTTAATCATTTCCTCTTACATTACTGTTATGTTCTGTATAAGTACTAAATTTTAATTATACTTTTTCTTGGGCTGTATTTTGCCAAATCAGTAAATGGAACACCACATAAATTTAAAATCTATCAAACAGTAAACATAACCCAAGTGGCTTATTAGAAGGCACAGAGGCACGTTTTCCCCAATGATTGTACATATATATATAACCTGATATAAAAATGTGTTGTTGACCTTTTTTGTTTGCTCATAATGGTAGCTTGTCAATTGAAAAACTTTATTTGCTCCCTACCCATTATTATGAAATACATCCCTGACAGATATTAAACAAAATTAGTTGATTTATATGTCATAGTTAATAAATAATGAATTTTATTTACATTTCTCTTCAAGTCGTTTTACATTTTTAGAATTCATTTACCTGCCCATGGATAAAATCTATAGGCAATGTTTTTATAAGAATAATTATCTTCTGATCTAACAATAAAAGACGAGATTACATTCATTATTATTCTGTACGCATTACAATGCAAATTGTACCTAATAATAGTAAACAATAGTATTGTCTAAGTATTTAGCTCAAAAACCTTTTAAAATATGCATCTTCCACGATAATTATAATTTCTTAATTCAGTTATTTTAGTAACAATTATTGTTACCAAGCAAACTTAAATTTTATTAAACGATTGTACTTCATTTAGGACATATTGATGGAAATAATAACTAGAATTATTTAACTGATTATTTTTATGAATATTACATACAGTAATTAAATTTCACTCTGGCGAACAACTTAATTAAGTAAGTATTTTTTTTAAATAAACCGTAATTTCATTCATGGTTTATTGGCATTTATTGTGGGAGCATAAAATGTCTATATTACTTAATAAATTGATTACTTAAACAATTTAACGTAAAAAGTAGAGCAATTCGTAATTATAAAATTTTGTTAGGTTTAAATAGAACTATAATGAATTCACTATGTGTCATTTACATACATACGTATGATTATTATATGTATTCTTTAACCAAAATTAAACAACATAAAACTACAGAAGTTAATCGATTTTGACTATTAATCGGTACGCTGAAGACAAAATTACCATTTACTTTTACTATTTAAAAAATAATATATGAAGAAAATTAAAACTACTTAAATTTGTTTCAGGTGAACAACCTGCGGCCGTTCACGATGGAAATTCTGGTCCTTTGGTCTGCTGCGTCGCGGGTTGGTGGCTATTGACTCTTTGTTGCTTAGTACTGTCCAGCTGATTCATTGACGAATAAAATTAATTTATATTATATTGGTTCATGTATTTAAAAAAACTGCATGTTGTTCATCTATATCANTGTCCAGCTGATTCATTGACGAATAAAATTAATTTATATTATATTGGTTCATGTATTTAAAAAAACTGCATGTTGTTCATCTAATGACTTGTCGTATCAAGATACTGCATAGTCGATAATTGTGATTTTTTAAGACTACCTTATATATTTTACTTACTTCCCTACAAGTTCATAATATTAAAATATTATTTTACGCCAACAAGGCCTACAGCATTCTCCGATATGTAACAATTGTAACTAGAGCCCGGATTTTATATAAATTTGTAATTTTTGTTTGAATCGTTTTAAAGGGGCCCAATTTGTGCGAATTTGTTGAAAGAGTTTACAGTAGAGTAAAAATATTTTTCGGTTTAAGGTCAATAAACCTCATTTAGAACACATTACTAAGTTTTCAAGTCAATTAATGAAAATGTGTACTGGATAATGATGTGTTCGGAATAACTTCACTAAATTTTTAAATGCATATGAATCCGGACTCTAATTTTAACTAGAAATAAACTTTGAAATAATTACTAGAAAAAACATCTCATATATCCTGTCTCGCTTACATTTTTTAATGTTTAATATGTTAATAACTCGACATTCTATCGAACAACATATACATATAAATCATTATATCATGTATATATTCCGAATTTTTTTCATAATGTTTATCCCCATCCTAAAAGTATTGTTTATCAACTAAACAACACTTTTTATTTTATTTCAAACAAAATTATTATCCTTAACACATTTTATTAATAAATTTATTTGAATAAACTGTACAAAATATTGTATTGCCAATGAGTACTAACAAGTCGTAAGTCCAAAACACTTATTTTTTCTTTGCATCCAATAAAAATGTCAGGAAAACATTGAACGTTTATTAGTGTAAAAATAATTTACGCTTTTCTACTTCTATGAAATAACAGAACCTACATAATCTAAACGTATTGTATTTTTACAATTGGTTCACAAAATATGTTGAAAAAGTACAATTTAAAAGAAGCACATAATCTATTCAGTTAAAACAATTGTCATTTTTATTCAATTTATAATAGTCCTATTGATTATCGTTAAATGTTTGAGTTTAATTCTGAAGCACATTTAATTTTATTTAAAAACCTGTGACTTGTTAGATACCCATCAACGACGCCTAAAAAGACTAAACACGTTGTTTCATTGTAATAATATTGTAATTTACCGTATTTCTGTAGCTTTTTCAACGTGAATACTTAACATCCACAGATGTATTATAATATTCCATATTGTCACTTGTAATCATATTATATATTTAAATTATTAGCTGTAACGAATAAAATGATTCAATATTTTATACCAGCGGAATTGATTAATCATAGAATTTTAAAAAAAATGTAAATTTGTAAATAATGTTTAAACTAATTTTTAATTATTAGAAAGTCATTAAAATATTAACAGAGCGTTTAAATATGGTCTCAATATTGGTAAAAGTATTAAAATGTTAACATTAAAATGTATATAACTTGTTAAACTTTAAAAATATTTTAACATAGTAATTCGATCTATTATTACTTGATTGAAACTAATTACTACTAAATGATTTATTTTATCGGAAATGCTGAATTTTACTCATAAATAATATCACGAAAGACAATTTCAGTTTTAAATTGAACTTTAAGTTATCAATACCACTGAAATATTTTATCATTGTGTAAAACTAGTGAAAAAGTAACTTGATATGAAATTATTAAACACTTGAAAAAAATTGTTCGACATTATATGAAATCTATGTTTTATTTTTTGTTTAATAAAACGATAAATTATTAAAAAAAAGTCTTTAATTATTTTTAAATAAATAGATGCGCAGATATATAATTGACAGTTCATAAACATTTACAGAATTAAAAAAATTTAACGAAGAATTATCAAATTATTGTTTCATGACAGTTGTTATAAGTTAGTTAGGTACTGAATTATATTTTCCACGTCAGTACGGTCCTAATTATACTTTCCCATTAGTAGTATGGCACCGGAAATATACTTCAACAGTCAATATTTTTTATTTATCAATCTCCCCAACGATACCTCTGTATAATTTTTCAACGGATATTTCGAAGAAAATTGTATTAGTGATGACTAATATTGTTCTTTAAAGTACTGCTCTTAGAGATATTTTCTCGGTTAATATTGTACGGAGTAATGCGGTTCTGAAAAATAACATTCCTGTCATTAATGGTTCCTAATGATTTATTAGGAATAAATAACGATCTTTAAAATACCATTCCTGTTGAATATTATTCTATAATACACTGTCCCGTATAATTTATTTCCTGATTCGTATATTTCTGCAGAATTGGTATTTTTAGAACTACAAGTACAGGATGCTTCCTCCTGGAATTTAATCTTTCTATATTTAATCATTTTTTTTTTTTGGTGTGGTGGGGGTTAGGGGGTTCATTCTCCCTAAGACGATAAAGATTTCTACGCTATTATATAATCCTATTATATAGAGTTGCACAAACTTGGAATCCTCCAAATTGACTCAAATAAAATTTATACAAGCACAAACTCCTTCGCCACTTTAATTTGTTTAAAATTTCGTACCAGGAGTTCATGAGCTCAACGAATTTATATGAATATTATTCTAGAACGGCAAAAATATCAAAATGTTCTACCAGGAATTCATAAGTACGAATTTATACGATAATGTTTCAGGTGTCTTGAAATGGTGTCCAACATCTCGTTAGCGATTTTCAAATGGCCGCCAACAGTAAGGTCCAAATAATAACGTTGTCTGTCAAAGATTCTCATGAATTCCGAGTACTAATATTGTAACCACCTGATACTCAATTTTATAATCACCTGAAACTCTGCACGTCAAAATCTTTAATTTAACTTAAAATAATAATATATTGAATAACTGAACAAGTTATTATCACTTAATGTATAGTAAATGAAACATAATTTTTAAATCAAACTGATTTAAAACAAAACATCATGTATGTTAAACCTATTTAATAAGCAAAAGTAAAAGAAATTTATAATTTCAAACAATTAATCGCTATTGATAATAAAAATAGCAAACGCACTCTACGTGTCAGTTTATTATCAATTGCGTACCTTATCAGGCCCTTCAATTATAATTTGAGAGAACGGGTCTTAATAAAAAAATAATAACTAAAAAAGTATGTTTATACCGAGAATCGCAAATCCTAACCATTTACATAACTAGGTGACGACTTGGGATTTAAGCTTAAAAAAGCCCCCTAGTCATCATGATTTCTAGGCCTTGGTAAATTTTATAACTACTTAATATTTCATTATGGTTAATTTATATTGTGTTAAAATTCATTTGAGACACCTTCAGTAACATAAAATAAAAAATAAATAGACATTGTATCTCGCTGAAAATGTATCTCAAATAACAAATTACACGGCAAACCTGATTCGGAAAGAATAACAAAATAGATAGGTTTTAGATATAATGTTATTCGTTAAACGCATAACGTAGAACTGAGTCTTGTTTGGTCGATTTGATTGCGATAACGAAAGTAAATAAGTAAGATATGTCGTAACACAAATAAAAGAAAGAGTCAATATGAAGATGATTGTGGAGAGTATGTATATACGACACTGATGTTGAGTCTGCTGACTGGATATTCACGTGCGTGTAATCATACAGCAGTTACCGTGCTCGGCTGACATTCCGGGTTAGCTGTGGGTGTCGAAAGGCCATTGTTATAGGAAGGGAATAAGAGTAACACTTAGGCATGAGGTGCAGACGAAGTGCAAGACACAAGTACTTCAGTTATTAGGAGAGGATAATGAAGTAAGCCGGACAGCGACAACCGAGTACTGAAACTAATGAATGACACAAGGCACTGGAGTTGACTGGCCAAGATGGCCAGGTCTTTTGAGTTTTTATAATAAATTGAACTATTACCAATTTAGCAATAAATTTTAATTGTTAATTCACCAGTCTCAGGAAGCGGATGTGCTGTCTGTATTTTATTATAATAAATTCTCACAACAATGAAAACGTGACACCATCACAGATAGAAAACTTAATACTCTAAAAAATAACTAAATATGCACAACTTATGCACATATATTAATAAATAAACGTCTTAATGAAATTTTTTTCGACAAAAAAAAATTAAAGAAATGTGTAAAAAATATTTAAAAGTCACAAAATATATTAACCATGAATTAAAAAGTAAAAAACACCAGAACATTCAAAAATATTCAATATAAAATTTTCGATTTGTATTTGTTAGAGAATAAAACAACAATTAAGGTGGCTTATTTTTATAAAAATGTTTGTCAACTGCAATTTAGTTACACTCATGATCCTAACAAATACTAAAATTATGTCCAATTACATCATCAATACCACTATCCTTGAAGTGTACAACGCATATTTCTATAAAGATGTATCAGCCACATGCAAAATGGATAAAGCAACTTAAGAGAAACTATACATTACCAGGAATAATTTAATACATTCATGTTTTAGTTTGGTTCATAAAGACAGAACCATTTACTTTATTCTTACTTATTTTATTATAGCCCTTCAGTAAAAAGCCTCCACGTAAATAAATTTACTAATTTTTTGGTTTTGCACAGCTTTACAACCAAAAAGCTTTTTAACTTAACGAAGCATGACGAATTTTTACCTCTTTTTTCATCATTATCAAACATAAACCGTACATTCTTATAAGAAAATTATTACTACAAAAAGTTTTTACTTCACGAATAAACATAAAAAGGATTTAATAGTATGAGAAAAGTTTATCTCTTATTACATTCAAAATATCGCAGTAATTAAATAAAAACTTTTCGATATATGATAGACTATAAAAAAAATGAAATTAACTTAAATCGTTTTTGTCATATTGATTTCAGATAAATACTTTTCAAAGTCTATAAATAATAACTAATTATTTAATTTATTGTTTTACTATAAAATGAAGAATGGTCTAAGTAAAATGTTGACTATTCGACAGTTTTGTGTTATTACTTAGTGAGATGTTACAATTTTAAATTAAAGCCTAGCGGCATGTGCAATGTAGAATAATTATTGCATTATGGTTAAATTAGAGTATCTCTAAATACTACCTTCTTCACCTTTTCTAAATCTTCAAATGCTTATATTTCATATTTAAAAATTGTTAAAAATCTTATTTATAAATCTAATTGTTTTAAAGAAAAAAATATATATATAACGTGAAAAATTTGTGAAAATTAGTCAATATTTTATTTAGACCATACTATTTAGTAGTAGAAAAATAATAAAATACTCGTATATATCTATTAAAATTTTAATCTATACTTAATTATAAAAAAATCAATATTTAACGAAAAATAGGGTGTAGAAATATGAATAAATCACTCTGTATATAAAATTAACTGTCCATAACTAAGAATTATCTACCTATAATTTTATTTTTTATAATAAACTATTTTACTTGTAAAATAGTTGATATATTAATATCACTAATAACATTACCTAGCATGACATTTGTACAAATTTTCAGGACAGCAAAATCAAACATAGTTTCTCAAAATTAATTTTATTTAAAGTTATTATTTTAATAAAAGTATGTTTATAACATTGTGATTTATCTAAAAATAATTTAAGAATTTTAATTTACCAATCTGTTAACTCAAAATAAGCCTTATTTCTGAAATACAATTGACAATTAATAGATAAAATAATAATTCTCTTGTAATAATTAAACAACAAAAATAAAGTAAAATTATAAAACTGAAGTATTTAAATTTTTATTTATTTTACTTAATTTTTTTAATACATAATACATAAAAAGAAGTCGTACACTGTAGTAAGATTTTACTTTTAATTTTAAAAGTAAAAATTTATTGATAAAAAATGTTGTTTTGGTTAAAACACAAATAAATGTATAATTGTATTTTAAATTAATTAAATGAAAACCTAATAACGTAAAATTAATATCTACGATCACGACGTCCACCACCACCACCACCACCACCTCCACCACCACCGCCACGGTGGTGACCATGTCTAGGAGAAGGTGATCTAGTACGACGAGTTCCTACATGATCACGGGATCGACTACGAGAGCGATGTCTACGTGATCGTCTACTATAAAGGTATTTTCGTAGTTCTCTTGAAATTGGTTTAAGATGCATAAAATTGCAGAATCCACTGCGTGTACACTCTCTAAAAATATATCAAAAATTAAATACAAAAAATTTAATTCATATTGTATCCAAATTTTAAATCAATGATTTTATTACCCCATTTCGTATTGACGACAACAAGCTTCTCGGAAATCAGTTACAGGACTCAATTCTGCATAAACAGGACGACCACCAAACCATCGGTTGTTTAAATCATTAACAGCTGCTTCTGCATGTTCTTCTCGACGAAACTGTAATATTCAATACAATTAATTTTTTTAAATATAAGTAAAAAATTTTTTTTTAAGCAATAAAATACAATAAAAATTTAACAATTTTTTCTTATATTTAAAACTATGTAATTACTTCAATTCAGGTAATAACTTAAATAAGTATTGCCACTTATTTTACATATTCAGTTTTTAAAATTGAATAAACATCAGTTAATAAACATTAAAGCTTAATTAGTTTAATTAATATTTTTTGACATTGCTAGAACTTGACCAACACATCATTGTAAGCTTAGATTATAAGACATTACAATTTTTATAGGAAAAAATTATATCTCTATAATATAGTTGGATCAATGTCAGTTTAAAAAAATGTTTCATTAAATAAAATCTAATTCAAAAAGTATTATTTTGATAGTCAACCATACCTTTATATATACATTTCCAACTAGATGATCTCCTAAATTGTCACAAACATTCATCTCTTCAATTTCACCATACTAGGAAAAAGAATAAATATTTAACTTATTTAATATATATACATATATATCTTTATACATCTATATATTTTATGTATATATACATATACATAAAAGATGTTCAACAAGTAAGGAAATAGTTCAATTATTACAAACAATGAGAATAAATTATTCTCATTGTTTGTAATAATTGATAATAATTCTATTATTCTGAATAATAGAAACCCATTTCCTTACTATATATAAATTTCAATATAACAATTTTGTAGTTCTAGTAAAAGAGGAATATTTACTAATAGTTTAGTTCATTTGAAAAACAATTAATTATGAAATTCATAAAAAAAAATTACACATAAAAAGCAGCACAGTGATAATTAAAGTAATTTAAATAAATATAATAACTAAATTTATATAAATTATGTTTCAAAAAAAGTTTTCATATTAGCATAGCCGTCTTCCTTTACTAGAATAACTAAAGGCAAGGTGTTATACACAAACTGTACTAAAATTTATTTTCCCAAATGATCCACAAGTGTCCTTAAAATAGTTCGTAAAATTAATTTCTTTAAACATAATATACAATGGGTCAGTATAATTCAAAAGCTATAATAAAGTATTACACATACTTTGAATACTATATTATATTATACATTTATTTTTATAAAAAATTATTTTGTTGAAATGTAAATACCATCAACCAATGATCTTGAAATCAAGGTGTGTAATTTATAAGTTTGCTCTTTCTTTAGATTATAAACTTCAATCTTACTTGCATGATAATAATAATAATTGTCAAATTTTGACAACTAAATAGAATTTTATACTTCTAAATTAAAAAAGTGGTCATTCAATATAAATTTTATGTATCAAAATAAAATTAAATATTACAGAGTTATTCATATATCTAAGTCAATTTTTAGATAATTACAAATTAATATACCTTATCTTCACATTCAACAAAAACATCTTCAAAAAAGTTATCATAATGTTCTTGCATTTCTTCATCAGTTACATTTGAAACCACTAAAAGTAAAAATAAATAAAAGTTTCTTTCTATTAAAAAAAAACATGCAATATTATTACAAAAACTTTGAACTTTATTAATTTTTAACATTGGAAAATTTATTTTAAAAATAGTTTTAAAAAAGTAAAAAAATAACTTTATTAGCATTTAGGCGAAATCAAAAATTTTAAGAAGTGATTTAAACAAATAAAATTTTGTTTAAATTATTTTATAGATTAATTTAAAATTTTTTTGAAAACATTAAAATATTGATTATAAAAATTTTAAAGTTAATTAATATTATTGACATTTAAAATCTATGCCTAAATTTACTAATATTTTTATTAAATTTAAAAATACTACAAAGCAATTCTTACAATGTGATCCATCAGCTGACTTGGCAGAGTTTTGCGGATTAACATAAAGGTTTTGTAATAGCACAGTCTAAACAATAGATGAAAAATTAAAAAAGGTATTAAAACTAAAAAACCAAAGAATCATGTATAAACACATATATACAACATTTAACTATAGATGAAATTTAAAAGTTGTTAAAATTGGTAGATAAATATTCTAACATTGTGTCAACCATAAATATATATCACATTTAGCTAATTCTCATAGCATTATCTGGTTATATTATAATCTTAAATGAGTAAAGTAGATGTACAGATTAACTTATTTGATTGAAAATTTTTTGCAAACTTTAAAAGACACAATTGTCTTATTGATACTCACTTGCATTATGGATATAAAAAAACTATACTGACTTATTATTTTATCATAAACTATTTAATTAATCGAAAAATAAAATAATTTTTTTATTGATTTCTTTTAAAATCACTTTTTTTATAATATTTTATTATCTCTATTTTTATCTCTTATACCTTTCAATGGTGTCAACTTTATTTTTACATACAGGAACATACATAATTAATTAGCTTATACAGAGTGTTCAATAAGGAAACAGGACAGTTGTTACAAATAATGAGAACAATACAAACACGTTTCCTTACTTACTGATCACCTATATATTAGATAATTATCTATTAAATAAATAAAATTATTGATTGATAATAACTTTTGACCCATAATTTCAGAAGTTATGAATATTTTTATATCAAAATGAGAGGTAGTAATAAATCAAAACACATTACTTTTTAACCGCCCAACACTCTGAACCGTACATCATAGCTGGCCTTATTACAGTCTTGTAGAATTTACCTTTCAGCCTCATTGGAATTCTTTTATCGCATAACATGCCAGACGCTTCTCTCCACTTCAACCACCCGTACTTAATTCTGTGTCTTACATCCTCGTCAATACCACCGCACTTTTGCACAACTGATCCTAAATACTTAAAACTCTCCACCTCTCCAATCACGTCCTCGCCTATTGTCACTTCTCCTTTGTCAAACTCGTACTCTATATACTCTGCCTTACTTCTACTTATTCTTAAACCCTTATCTTCAAGAGCTGATCTCCACACTTCTAGCCTTTGATTAATTTCCTCCCTATTTTTTCCTATTAATACTATATCGTCAACAAACAACATGCACCATAGCACCTCTCCTTGTATTTCTCTAGTAATTTCATCTATCACTATAGAGAATAAGTAAGGGCTTAAAGCAAAACCTTGGTGCACTCCTTTCCTTACCCGAAAACTTTCTGATACTCCTCCTATGTTTTTTACCCTGGTACAAGTGCCATTATACATATCTTCTATTATATTAATGTACCTTTTCGGGACTCTTTTTCTCATTAATGCCTACTTAAAAACCTCTCTCGGTACTCTGTCATACGCTTTCTCCAAATCTATAAATACCATACACAGCTTTTTCTTCTTTTCCCTAAGCTTCTCTATTAGTTACCTCACCCAAAATACTGGCTCCGTTGTTGACTTACCAGGCATAAATCCAAATTGGTTTTTAGATACCGATATCTAATTAATAAGTCTATTTATTAATTTACTTAATTAATTACTTAATTTTAATATGTCTATTTAATTTGTATTCAAGTATTACTTTAGATAATTTAAAAATAAACCGTTTATTTAACGACTAATACATAAAATCTAAAATTATAGTATTTATCAAAGGTTACAAAACCTAAAAAATTGTTTCCCAATTTATTATAATTAAATTTTTTAAGATAAATATTAAAAAATTTTTGTTTTATATAAATTACTGTAAAAAAATTTGAAATTTTATATTAATAGCAATAAAATATACAACATTTTATGTAGATGGAATTGAAAGTTTGTATATCATGGGATTGAAAATAAAATAAAGTTAAATTTATAAAATTACCTGACTGAAAGTTGGCTTATTATGTATTCTAGAACATCGGTCACCATGACGACATGCACCAATTTTAAAATAAAATGAACAATTAACCCTGAAAAATAATGATAAACATTCAAAAAACAAATAGTTTTAAAATTTTTTGTTTTAATAGAAATAATTTTTTATATTAACAATATAAAATAGTAAAATACAATAATATTTAATAAAATATTTATGTAACATTTTTCTTTTAACTGTTAATAAATTACAAATAAAGCCGGCACTCACTTGTCTTTTTCGGTACCGAATATAGACGCCAGGTACTCGGCCATAACGGTAAATAATTAGTGAACTACTATATGTGTGATTAAGTTCAATACTATACACTGTCAAAAAATTTAAAAGTTTGATTTACATGTACTAAAAAATTATTGGTAAACAATTTTTCATTAGAACGATATTGTAAAAAGGGTAGTAACTTCAGTTTTAGAAATTTCGGCTTTGTTGATATAGAAGCTAGGAACAAAAAAAACGGATTACCATCATGGCAAAAATATTGTCCGTACGTTCAATGATTACAGAAGTAAATAAATATTAATATCAAGGTGATAACGAGAATTTGACGTGTTTTTACGAACAATTTGGATTTTTACAAATCCAATTTTCTGTATTTTAGAAATAATAATTCTCGATATTTATTTGGTAATTAGGACAAATTAAATGATACTTAAATACAATATGTTTCTTTATCATCAATCAATACTATCATTCGTTGAACAGGACTGATTTTAATTCATTAAAATAAATTATTACACTATGTCTGGTAAATTAATCTATTCATAAGAAGTTCTTTGTAGTCAAAATAAAAAAAAATTGTTTAAATATAAAAATTTTTCATTATAGGGTCCAAAAGATACAGATCTGGGTCCTCTTACTCATCTTATGTCCCTCCAGTTCCTGACCGATGGTTAAAATGTCCTCGAAAATCATTTACACCCATTACTGATAAATTTGTGGCCTTTAAAACGCCATTAGACAGTAAATATGATGGACAAGTACCTATTACCCAAAGATTTAATACTGAAATGTTGTTTTCGTCATTATCAAATATGAAGGTACTAATTTTAATAACTTAAAAACAACCTTATTTTAAATCATTTACAATTATGCAATAAAAATAAATTTAAATATTTGTTATTATATTTATTATGCTTAAATGTTAAATTTCAGTACAAATTTATATAATTTCAAAATTTAATTTAAGATCCTCATAGATATAAAATCTACACATAGCCCTAAATATTACATCAATCTGTATTGTTTGTTTTAGATAAGTTTAGGTTTATGGATTGATTTAACTAAAACTAGTCGATTTTATGATAAGTCTGAAGTTGAAAACATGAACTGTGCATATGTCAAACTTCCTTGTGCTGGCCATGAACAACCTCCAACACGTGAGCAAGCACAATTATTTATTGATATTTGTTCAAAATTTGTTGCCAAAAACCCTTTACAAAGTATTGGTAAGTATTAAATTATTTTTAATAACTTTTGTGTTTATGATGATAACAATGTGTAAATAAAAAATTATTATTGAATTTAATGATATTAGCCACAAGTTCACATTATATAAATACATATTGATATATGTATATAATGAATATAGATAGAAAAATATTTGATTATCCTAGAATAATAAAATTTTAGTTCATACCTTGCGTTAAATGTTAAGTATTTTATTAAGTTGTTCAATAATTAATAATAAGAATATTCTTATTTAATCTTCTTCTTCTTCCTTGCCTTAATCCCAACTACTTAGGGTCGACCACCCTTATCCTAAACATCCACTTGACACAATCTCCCATATCATTTACGCTCACATCTTAAATATTCTTATTTAATGAATTAAAAATTATTTATTTAACTATTTTGAAATTTCAAAATAACAATTTTTTAATTATTTCCTTACAAAATATTTTAATATTTAAAGGGGTATATAATGGAGGCATAGTGCACATACATCACTACAAGCTGTACCCACCTGGCCTTTGTTTAATATCTTACTAATCAATTTTTTTTCCTGCTAAGAAAAAGGAAAAAATACCAAATTTGTTTGCTAATTAAATAGTCATAATTTTTCTATTCGTTATTAGTAACAAATATTTTAATATGTAGGAGTTCATTGTACTCATGGTTTCAACAGGACTGGTTTCATGATAGCTACCTATTTAATTGAAGTATTAGATTTTGATGTCAATAGTGCTTTAGCACAGTTTGCTGCAGCACGGTAATTATTCTACAACTACAAAATAATTTTCTTAAAATTTGTTTTACATTAAAAAGACAAAAATATAAAATTGAAATTTTAAATCTTTAGACCACCAGGTATTTACAAACAAGATTACATAGTTGAATTGTTTCAACGTTATTCAGACGAAGAACCTATATTAGCTCCAGAATTACCTGATTGGTGTTTAGGTAAAAATTTTGGACATATATATTAAATATAAAAATATTTTATCACCTAAACAGCTGCAAAGTTGTTATAGTTTATAAATTTTAAAGTAATTTTTGGTTTAAATTTTTTTATACAGAAATATACTAATGCATATTATTTATGAATAATAGATATAATTTTTTTTTTTTTAATATTATCATACGTATTTTATTTTGACCTACTTATTTTTTAATATGAACATTTTAAATAATTTTTCTTTATTTCTTAATATCTTATTAAATTGAGACAAACAAATCTTCATCAAAACATAAGACTAAGCTTTTGCTTCTAAACATATACCATAATATGATTCTTGATTAGAAGCAAAAGAGTAAAATACATATTATGCATCTCACCCTTTGTACATAACATCTATACTAAATTGATCTAGCTCTCGCCTTTATTAGTTTATCATATTAAAATATGACATTTTAATATGATGTTTGTATTAATGTTAAATACTACAGTGTTGACATACATAATTGAATTATTTTTAACAATAATAGAAACTGAAGAAAATACTTATCAATCTAAAAATGAATCTACATCAAGATACAAACGGGTACATAAAGATGATCATAATTCAAAAGATAAACAAGATCATGAGAAGTATGATTTATTTATAAATTTAATAAATTATAGTATTATTATGATATCTTAAATTTTTAGTCCTAATAAGCGATCAAGACGTGAATTAAATAATAAAAATCCAGTATTTATGGAAGGTGTTTCAGGTGTCACAGCTGTTTTAGATCAACCTAAACTAAGTAATATTCAAAGAAAAGTTCAACAACTTTGTCATTGGAATAAGTGAGTTTTGTATTTCATTAGATAATGGATAAATGTGTACAAATAAAATTTTTCTAAGGAGAAGAATTATAATTATCAACTAAGAAAAAATTACCATAATAAACTTAGTCATCTCTGGCTATAATTTTAAAATTACTTTTAATTTTGGGGTTTACGCCACCTAATCTATCTCAACTGTTAACCAATAAAATGACATTTTTTACCAACATTTTGTGAAAAAATGTATATATATTTTAGAAAAAATTGTAGAAAAGAAAAGAGAACTTTTAAAAATTAAAATACAATGAAACCACCTTTAAACGATCCTTCTGTTAGATAGAAACTTCTTTAAAACTAAAACCTTTTCTTAGTGGAAAAAAGTTTGGTGTACAATGTTTTTGTTGTAAGGAAATCTCACTGTACATGTAAATGATTCTAAATTTATGTATATAAGGAATTTTCTGGTGGGTAACACTAAGCTTAATTTGCTAAGTATTTTTTTTTTTTATTTATTCAAGACTTACTTAATTGAGAGAGTTTGCCTGACCAAATGGGTAGAAATGTATGTTTTGGTGCACAGGCTCCCAGGTTCGATCCCCACAGTGCTAACAATAATTTTCTTGAGATTTCCTCATTGATGATTTCTGGTCTCTGGTGCAAGCTGACCATAAGGACCGTCTAGTCCATCATTGTCCTAGCCAAGAACCATCTTTGACTCCCTAACTTGTGAAAGAGATCCACTTTATAGCATGTTTAGTTAGGGAATTAGAAGATATGTAAAACTGATTATTTTATATACTCAAGACTTACTAAAATAATTAACTAAAATTTGCTTTAGAAATTTATCACAGTAGTCTCAAAAAGAAATAATATATATAGGAATTATATATTTTAATTCTATTGTCTAGGTCTGGATTTCCGGGCTCCCAGCCAGTATCTATGGATATACAAAATATGAAATTGTTACACACAAAACCATATAGAGTAACATGGAAAGCTGATGGTACTAGGTAAGACAGTAGAATAAATGTATTCGAACACCAGAATGTAAAAATAATTGTTTTTATACTATCATTTATACATTTTATAAATAGATTTATTTAATATTTTAATATTAAACAAATTAATTGATTATAAGGCTTATGATTGAATATTTGAGGTGCTAATAAGAGAAAGGTACTAGGTCCAAAAAAAACAATTTTTGGTTGTTGTTTTTTCTTTTTTTTTTTTGTGTGTGAAAAACATAGTGAATACATTTTCTAATGATCTAGTTAAAAAAAGTTAATCAAATTTATGTATAGAATAAAAATTATGTTGAAAATAAAAGAACTTGTCTAAAGTTAGTTCAAATAAACTGTTTTTTACTTCTCATGTAAAATTTTATTTTCATAACAGTACTTTTCCACATTATTTTTTTCATATTTCATGAGAATTATATAATTATCAGTAAACAATTTTATTAGTAAAATTATATAGTATTTAAGCTCTACAATTATATTTTACACTTTAAGGTATATGATGTTTATTCAAGAAGAAAATGAAGTTTATTTTATTGATAGAGATAACAGCGTATTTGAAGTGGATGAATTAAAATTTTTTCATAGAAAAAATCTTGATCATCATTTAAAAGATACACTTTTAGATGGGGTATGTGTTAATTTTAAAAAATATTAAACTTTATTGATATTATTTATATTTTACTTAAGGAAATGATAATTGACAAAGTTGATGACCAGAATTTTCCTAGATACCTTGTATATGATGTTATTGCATTTGAGGGTTTTGATATTGGAGAACAGCCATTTTATCCCAACAGACTGATGTTAATTGAAGTAAAATTTATTTCAACAAATTAAAAATTTTAATTAATTTCATTAGGATATCAATGAATTATTTTTTATTTGATTTAAAACTGTAACAACACACTAATAAATATAAACTTGACATACAGGTAGATATCATTAAACCAAGACATCAAGCTATTATGTGTGGAAAGTTAGATAAAACACGTGAAACATTTAGTGTTCGATTAAAACAATTTTATGATATTACTGCTTCAGATAAACTACTAGGGAATTTTAGTAAAAATTTGTCTCATGAGCCCGATGGCCTCATATTTCAACCATCAACTGATGTATGATTGTATTACATATTATACTGTTTACAAAAAATTTAATTTAATACCACATTTTTTTAGCCATATGTAGCTGGTACTTGTCCAGAAGTTTTGAAATGGAAACCATTAGAACTTAATTCTGTTGATTTTAGGCTTAAAATTGTTACTGAAGGAGGAACTGGGTGATTATTTTTAATATAAAATACTATATCATAGATGGACTTGGAAGTAATATCTTGAGACTTTAATTGAGCCTAATACACCATCATTTTTTTATTTACCAAGTTTCTCTACTGTACAATAAAAAGGGCTCAATTAAATATTAAGAGGACAATACCTAATGTCCCTTTCACTAAATCCATCTATGTTAAAATTTCTTTAAATATTATCAATATTAATATTGGGATTTTTATTAAATTTAGAATGCTAGACTCCAAAACTGGTTATTTGTATGTTGGTGGTAAAAATGATCCTTTTGCTAGAATAAAATATACTAAGGAAATAAAAAACATGGATGGTAAAATTATTGAATGTAAATTTGAAAATGGTTGTTGGAAATTTATGCGTGAACGTACAGACAAATCATTTCCAAATGCACTTAAGACTGCTCTAGGTAACTTAACTAATATTAAAATAATACATAAGCTGAAGCTTTACAACTTATTTTTATTTTTAGCAATTTGTCATAGTATTGAACAACCTGTAACTAAAGAAATACTTTTAAAATACATCCAAAATGTACCAAGATTCTGATAACTTATATAATTATAGTTATTTTAAGGCTGTATATTTTTAATAATTTTATTTGTATTATTATTTTTTCTTTATAATAATTAATAATTGTATTTTCAACACTCATTGTGTATTACTGTGTAATAATGATTGTACACATATTGACCTGTTTAAATAAAATTTAAAATGTGAACACTTTTTTATTTAAATAGTGTTAAAATATGAAATAACGATCTATACAGTGTTTTCACAATGAATCTTTTTTAATATTGACATTTGTTTATAAATACTATTAATTACACACATATTAATTACAGAGGCTAATGGGTGTAAACAACATTTTATTAAAAATGTCTACTTATTTAATTTAAAGAATCCATAAGTTAGTTTCATGTTCTATGAAAAAAAAATGTTGCTTATGCAAATAGTCAAAATAAACTACCAATATTAACTAGTAAAAAAGTAAATTTTTAACTTTCAACTCAGCTAGTTAATGTATTTCTAATTAACTTTTCAATTTACTTTTGAAATATCTTTGCATTTTCAGTTAAATCGGATAATACAATAAACCTAAATTCAAAACTATTAATTTTTTGTTTTTATATACTGCATATATTAAAATAATAAAAAATATCACATATCAAAATTTTGGGTAGGGGGATTTTTAAACTTGAGTTAAGTTTCCTTGATAGCACTATTGTTGCTCATTATATATTAAAAAACTAAAAAGAAAAACAAATTTTTTTTACGTCATTTCTTTTTTTTTTTAATAACAACTAGTTTTGAAGAACAATGCAACCAACACCAAAATATACAAAACGATAAGTTGTACATTTTACTACAACATAAAAAGCATTTTTGTTATCACTTATATTTAACTTCCTATTCAATTTTAAAATAGATTCTCCACCTCCCTGACATCAACGTTCAATAAAAAACAGATTTTAAGCGATTTAAAATTTAAGCGAGAGTATAAAATAAACTTTTACTGAATTGACTTTTGATAAAAAAATTTTAACTTAGCTAGCTAAATTTGTAATTTATTTACTTTGAGATTATTCCTTCTTAACTTAACTTGAGTTAATTATTTCCATTAATTTGGCCATCTTTATCAATTACTCACATTTTAATATCAATCTGATATTTTAAATCAATACGATACTATTAAAGGCTATTCATCAGCTCTCAGATTTAAGAATAATTGTCGAATAGCTTAATTAGGGTGTTGTATTTGAGTACATGCACTCAAATACAACACCCTAATTATACTAATATGTAGATTATACTTTAAAAAATAATCATAAATGGGTTACAAATATTTATCATGGACGCTAGAATGAAGTTAGGCTAAATTAACTTTTATAAACTTCATAATCTAGAAAATCAGAAAAAAATATATCACTTTATGAGATATTCAAACTGTTTTAAACTATACAAACGTTTTTAAAATAAAACTATAGTTTTAGATGGTTTAAAATTATAAAACATTTTTTAAATAGTAATGTAAACAAGAATTAATTATTTTTTATTTTAATTAACCTAACTTTGCTTAAAACGTTTTTAATTATATAAATAAATATATATATATATATATATATATAGATTACATATAAAAATGAGTTTGGAAAACGCATTAATTACTTTAAAAAAAACTTTAGTGTTAAATATTTTTGACGTGACAATTTTGGACCGCGTACTGCCTATAGTCGAATTAGAGATTCTATTATTTTACTAAAAAGGGTACTTTTTCAAAAATGTTGATAAAAAAAAATGTCATCCTAAATAAAATTTATTAAAAAATATGAACTCATTTTCTTCAGTTCCCTCTCCCGAAAAAGTTTCTGAACATAAGCCTGCAATATACTCTATGGTACAATTGGCTATAGGTATATTAGATTATGGAGCGAGTTGTAGTAGCTCAAAATAATGAATCATTGGCTGATAATATATAGCCGAATTTATAATATGATAATACATTACTATACTAGTGCACAAATTGCAAAGTTTTATTATTTAGTTATGATGAGTTTTTTATCGAAACAAATTATTAGATCATTTTCTACAACACCTATTGATTATGGCAAAAGAAATTTTAGAAATTTCATACTTTACAAACGAGGTAATAAAAAATTTCAAGAACGAATGAAAAACAATCCAGAGAAAGATCTCATAATAACCAGTAAGTAATTTATTATTTTCTATTACACTTTATTTATTTAAAGTTTTATTGTGTTATGTTTACTTAGATTATGGTATAAAAGAAACAACAATAAAACTGGGTAATAAAGTAGTTACAATACCAGAAAAAATTCCAGATATTATTGTACCAGATTTGGAAGGATTTCAAGTATATTAATTATATTTTACCTTTCAAATTTTATTAAATTGATTTAGAGTAATATAGCTTATTTATATTTATATAAAGGTAGTCTTTATATTTTTTAAAACTCTACATTGGATTGTTATAAATTAAATTTCAATAGTAATAAAATTTTACTTGTTTTTTTAGGATTTTGATTTCACTTTCTTAATCTCCCTGTAAGCACATTTAATATATACATACATACAATGTTTTAGTGTGTGTTTATGTAAGCTTTTAACATGTATAGTGAGACACTAAGAATGGGAAATAATTAGAGCAATCTATTTTCAAATATTGGTCTTATTTTTTATATGAAAAATTATTTTAGTGTTCTTCATTTACATATGTACTTAAATAAGTTATATAATACTTACTTTTTTAATAACTGATTATAAATATTTTTTTAGTTAAAACCATATGTATCATACAGAGTTCCAGAAGTTACTCAATCAGAATTCACTGCTAAAGATTTATTCAATGCTGTTTATCGAACAAAGATAGTTGAAGATTTTAAGGAAAATAAACTAAAGGAAAATGGTGATCCTATTGAACCTAATGAAAATGAATTATTGACTGCTAAACAAGCAAAAATCAAAGCTAGACAGACTGGAAGTGATTTATTTTCTGAAGGCAGATAAAATCCAAATAAAAATGACTTGTTTATTTTGTAATTATATTTTCTTTCTCTTTTTAAGAAATATAATGAATAGTTTTCTTAATATTTGAATCATGTTGAAAAATATTGAAAATTTAAAATGTGGGTTAATAGTTTAAAGCTTTGTTTATTAAGGTTTTATGTAATAAAAAAATATTCAAAATTTCTGTTTTGAATCTTCTACAATTCTTGAAATAATTAGAATATGCTTGATTTTGGTGGTTAAAGATTATATATTATAATAGTTATTTTATATTACAATATTGTTTGATGAGTCTAGAGTAGTTACCTTGATTTTGAGTTAAAATATTCCTTATTGTAGAGTATTCAATAAGCATCTGTGATATTTCCAAAATGGCAAAATATCTAGAGATGACTCCGAACCTTAAGCAATGTTTTTTTTTATTTTAATAACAATACATATTAAATTAGCTAATAAATTTAAAAGAATATTGGTTTATTACCATTATTGAACCAATATTTCGGTAGTTATTAATATTTTCATGTCTAGGCGGGAGGTGAAAAAGTACAATAGTTATCATCTACGCCTCAAACCCAATTTATACTTAATTTTGTTAACTTCTGAAATACTGATTGAAAAGATTCAAATTATTAATCTATATGAAAATTTTATTTCGATTTTTGATACCATCGAGAAATTAATAGAAATTATTTAACTCACTTCGGAAATAAACAAAACTTTATAGTACTGGCTCATTTGCCCCCCCCCCCTTGAAAAATGCATGCTTTTAATTTCATTAGACGTTTACAAAAATCAAATTAGTGTGAAATATAGTGACTCTCAAGTGAATATTATCCGAACCCTTCAGTTGTTTAAAACTATCAATTTATCTGGTTGTTTCCAAAAACTATCGACAAAAATAAATATTTTTCCGTAGTATTTAGTTATCGACTGTCGAATATTGACAAAAATGATATGATTACTAAACATTCAAACATATTATGCGATTTAAAAATACCAAATAAAACAATGAATAAGTCATTTGAATGAAAATTTATATGACTGAATACTTTTGACTATCGAACTATCAAATGAACAGTGTCATATTTACAAGGGATATGTTTTAAAAGCTATTTGTACCCCCTTACAAAACTTTTAATACGCTACCGAAAGTAAAAAATACGGTAATTTTTATCTGAAAGAAAACTACTGAATATTTCATCTTGTAATTTATTTATAACAATCGAATGATTATTAAATAGTTTTTTGACTACTGGATATATCCATTGGGGATATACCCGGTAGTCTAAACTTATTTCGTTAGCTATTTAACTGAATTTAGAATTTTTTTTATCAATAAAAAAATAATTTTGTAAATAATATCATTAAAACAATAAAAAATATGATAATCACTTGATTAATTGCACAACTAAATAGCGCACTTTCTAAATTATTCTTTATATAAATTTATATTAATACAAATTTTTATTTATACAAATTCCGTCAATTTTTTAATTACTAATAATAAACATAAGCGGAATTAAAAAAAATATTTTCTAAAAGTTAAACTTATTTAGTGCATCTATAAAAATATTTTTATATTTTACATAATTTTTCTGGATTTTTAGGGGAGATAATTTTATTTTGGAAGAGGCTTGGAATCTCCAACTCCGAGCATGACGATAAATGTTTAGTTTTTAAACCAATAATGGAAATATTAATGACATTTAGAAAATCTCAATAAAAGGTTGTGTATCCAAAATAAACTTAAGGCTCAATTTCACTAAACCAATATTTAATACAAAATTGTTTTAGTATTTATACAAACCTATAAATATCATTTATTCAAAAATTTTGATTGTTATTCTTTTTTACTATACAATTAAAATGATTATTTCGTATGAGTGTACACTAAAATTTAAGCACAAATTTTAATTTAAAAAAAAAATAATAGTATACAAAATTATGTCGATTGATATAAATAAGTATAAATGCAAACTACTAAACATATTAGGTAACGTAATTACATCTTGACTAATGTTGAATGCGTTTCGTTAAAAAAGTTCATTCTAATCGTGTACGAGTATTATTTTCCTGAAAACAAAAATGATTTATACAATTATTATATATTTTAATTGGTTTATTCTCATAAATTTAGTATTATAGTTCAGTAATAAAACAAAAACAAATTGAATTGATTCGAGGGTAAACTGAATGATAAATAATAAAAATTGATCACTTGTGGCTAATTAATTAAATAAACTTAAAACTATATTAAAAATATTATTAATTTAAAAACTAAAAAACAACGTTATCATTATCAACGCTAAACACATACTGACACCTTGTCCAGAAAAAAACTCTTATATACCCCTAGTGACTTTATCACCTAGTGACATCATTACTAAGCAATATTATCACATTTACAGTTTACACAAGCTTAATAATGAATTTTTCAGTGGACCAAGATCCCAATTCATTAAATTGTTTTTATTTTTAAACATTTTCATTGCCTCCCTAATATTAAGTTCTTTGTAATTATTTACGTTTTTAATTAATGGTTTTAATGGAGTGATTATGTGTCAATAAATGTTCAGCCACTGGAGATTTCTCAATTTCTTGATTTTTAATGTTTCTTAAGTGCTCTTTAAACCTGACCCCTATATTTCTTTTTGTTTGTCCTACGTAACATTTATTACAATTTTCACATTGTATTTTATAAATGCCTAATTTCCCCCCTTCTTCTACTTTATCTTCAGGGTACCTAATAAATATCTTAAATTATTATTCTTAGATGTTACTAAAGTAATACCAAAATTCTTAAATATTCTAGCTAGTCTATTTAAGATACCCGTATAATATAAAATGGGTGATCTAATTACTTTTTGTTCCCCCACGCTAGTGAGTGTACTAGCTGCCTTCCTTTCTTTATTTCACTTTCGTGTTCGGACTAATTTTGAAATCATGTTTTCGTTATACTCATTAAATCTAGCTATTTCTTTTATAACCACCAATTCTTTATCAAAATCTATTTTATTAATTGGAATATTAATTAATCTGTAAACCATACTATTAAAAGCTGCCAATTTGTGTTACCAGCTGTGGTACGATTTGTTCGGAATGTATCTAAACGTGTGCGTGTTTTTTCGATAAATTTCAAAATTTAATTCCCCCTTTGCTCTTTTAACTAATAAATCCAAAAAAGGCAATTTTCCCTCTACTTCTTATTCATATATTCATATTCTTGTTCATTAACTTCCAAACTCTAATAACAATATTTATAATAACTCAGGATAAATAATCTTTATTATCAAACCTTACCTGGCTTGCCAATGCGAATAGTGTGTAAAACTACAACACATTACTCGGGTATCGTGTTAACTGCCAATCTTTGTAAATATTGTAAAAGAAATTAAAGAAAAATCGTTTTACGAGCTAACCATGACTTTATTTTTTATGTTCCACTTTAAATATCCTAATAAAAATTTACTGAACTTATTTCAACTACCTTACCTATATAATATTATCCGGATTCCATTTGTTCTCCAAGTTCTGATATGGTGTTTTCTGATAAGGATTGTAATCTAGGTGTTGTCCATGCTGATATGTCGTTGGAACCCAACAAAGAATTTCCCATTGGCATATTAACTGTACTGCTAAGCTGTTAATTAAAATAAACATACACTATATTTAGTGATTTAAATATATCAAATCAAAATATCTATTTTAGATTATAAGTAAGCTTTTGATACATAAATTCATATTGATGTTAATAGTTTTTTATTTAACATTTCATAAAGTAGGATCTTCTTAAGTAGATCAAAAAAATTAAATTTACATAACTTCTAAAAAAATGTATCATTTTATAGTAATTATTGATTTTGGGAATGGCAATTTATACAAGCTCTAAGATTTTATTTGATATAAGTTTAAAGGACACAGATATTTTTGAATATTTTTAAAATTTGATTTTATGAAGACTTTTATTTTTAAAATTATAGTTCACTTTATGAGTTTGGTATAGGTTTAAAAAATTCTTAAGTTTTGGAACATCATAAAAAATTGAAATGAAAAAAAAATTTGACATTTATTTATAGGTAGTCTCAATTAAACCCTTCTTGTACTCAATTTTTCAATTGAATTTTTATGAAAAACATCAAAAGAAAGCATATTATTTCTAGTATGTATATTTACAATTTCGTACTAATCCAACTTTTTAAAACAAAATATGGTTTTAAAACGCAAAAAAAAATTCTGATTTATCTCATTTGACGGCTGCTTATATCTTGAGATATTTTAAAAAAATTTTAATTATTTCAATTTTTATCGCTATTTGGTCAAAGTACATTAAAATCTATTAAAAATTAAAATATTGGTGTTGATTTAGGGTTATTTAGATTATCCTAATGTGTCCAAATGTACGTCTATGGACCTTTTTACTTCTATTAACCTATGATTTTTCTTTATATTTTCGCCTTCCCTTAAAATCATTTATAACTGCCACTAATAGAAATATTGAATTGTCCCTCTGAAAATTTCTTTTGTATTTGCGGACGACTTTTAGATTTCACTTATTTAATAATGTATTTTGCCCTTGTAAAGCTTATCTTTAAAATCTTCTAATAACCAACCATTTTTTTAGAGCAAATCATAATCTTATATCCAGAACTCGGGATTTCAAGGTCTTATAGCATTTGTGTTGAATCACTTCTTTATTAATTTAATAGAATTTCATAATACTCCCAATACATATTAAAATAATTAAGTATACTTAATTATTTTAATCAATAAATGATTTGTCTACTTTCTTTGACTAATTTGACTAACTAATCGTTTTAAATATCTTGGCATACTACTGTCAAATTTTTAATATACTTAACAAATTTATCATAAGTGTACCCCGGATTAAAATTTAGGACAAATCCGGTAATAATTTGAACTTATTAATGTGATAATGTCAAGTAGTTAATATTTTTTGACTAATTGTAGAAAATGTTATAATAAATTAAGACAATTCTACCGACACTATAAACTGATGATTTGACAATTAAATATGCAACTACGCAATTAACAAAATTTTATTTAAGCCAATTGGACCTCGTCATTTGGGTTAGTAAACTCCTTTAAATTCATTATCAAACTATATTGTCTCAGTACTCGTCGGCTTTATCCGACTATCAACTTTACGCCAACGACAAAAGTTTGTTTTTTCCTTGACACCTTTGTCTACCTTATATCTCATCTTACTTAACTCAAGTCCTACACTTCGTCTGCACCTCATATTTCATTGTTCTTTTCTAAACCCGAAGTATTTATGTCTTGCACCTCGTTTGCATTTCCTGCTTTAAACTCCTTTTTAGCTCACCAGGTATTTAGAGCTTGCACTTTGCCGGCACCTTATATTTTGGTATTTCTCGCCTTACTTTCTTATAACAACGACTCTTCGACACCCTTGATAGTATCACAACATATTGTGATTACCAATATTCAGACGCACTACTTATATAGTGATTTATTCTTCATTTTTGTCTTATGACAAGTACAGGCACCTATTTTAGAGACTCGTATTTTAATGTTTAAAATAAAACTTCAGTTCGCATTTTTATAACACGTTTTTGGTCATAATTATGTGAAAACTGTTTGATTTGTGAAAAATTACCAGCAAACTTACACACTTGCAATTTAACATAAAAATCCAATATACTTGATTCCTAAAAGATCCATGGTTTTTATCATTCAATTGTAATAAATTGAAGAAATGTTTCCTATTTCTAATCTTAAGTTCTCGAGGGAATATATGTTGAAAGTAAGAAATACTTATTGAATCAAATGTAACCAGATGAATAAAACATTAGCCATTACTTTACATTGTCTGTCCTTGACACAAATCAGTTGTTTAACACTATATTACGAAAGTATAAAGTATTTTTCTTAAACCGTCAATATACTGATTACATGTACCAAAGTTTTAATTAATTAAAAATTTGAATTATATACTCGATAAATAGCGATGTCATATTAATGATGATCAATAGCCTGAGATGTTGTTTAGGTAAAAAAATATTGACTTTAATCATTTTATTTTTCAGAAATTCAGTTTACAATAAACCTTTATTCCTGAAAAAAGAACATTTTGAAGGGAGTACATTACAGTTTAATGAAAAATTAAAATAAATTAAATTAATCACTTTCAATTATTTAATTAAAAAAAGTTTTTATGAATTAAACATAAACTAGAGTTAAGTTTCCGACTAGTCAAAATCTTTCGCGACCAATTGACTAGAGTTTAACGTATCAAATGGTAAAATTCAGTCAAAGAAAAATGTTTATAATTTTTTTTATGTTATTCCACAATTAATCAAAATATATTAATCTTTTTTTATTTAAAAATCAAGCTGGACAAGTAAGTTACTATTGTAACTAGTATTCTTAAATTAGATTCGAAAAAATAAAGTTCAGTTATTAAGTTAAGTTACTAAGTTTTAATAGTAAACTCAGTTAAGTTACTAATTACTTTAAATATTAAGAATAACTTCATAATCTACATTAAGTTAGCAAATAAAAGTTTTTGCTGTTCATAAAAAAGAAATTTTTTTTTATTCGAAAGGTAAAATAAATTCCAAGTATATACCATAAAATACAACAAGGAAACCTATGTTTTAAAATTTTATTAAAACTTTAAAAATTATAAAATTATGTTATTGCTGTCAAAAGACATAGATAGTACTTTCACACGAGGTACAATTCATCCATTTTTTTTATTATTTTAAATTTCTTCAAAAAATTTTATTTTATTACAGAATTATACTAAATAGTCTATTAACCAAAATTACTGTGCACTAACTTAACTCTTTAAAAATAAACCCAAAGTTTTTTATTAAGTTATTTAGTTAAGTTAAAACATTAAACTAACTTAATATACAATTTTTTAACGCGCCAGTGCTTAGCATTGAAAAAAGTAAAAAATTTTCATAAAATAATGACTAAATGTTTAAAAAATCTTTAACACTGTCAATGTTGTATAATAAAATTTTTCATTTTTTTAAAAATAATATTTATAATATTTATTATAACCAAACAATAGGCCGGTCAATTAACATAGTGCCAATAATCCTACTTAAAAATTTCTAGCTAGACTAAAACAATATTTTTTCAATTTTCAAACTGTTAGAACTGCTTATCTTACCTGAGTGTAATTTTTAGAAAAATTCAATGGCTGTCCAGCTGTACTGTACCAATGGTGTTGTGGATCTGGAACTGACAACCAATTGGCTTGGTTATCGAAGTCGTTTATTTGACAAGTGGCCATAGTGTGTGGTAGCGACTGCCAACTACCATCAGATTGCAAATGTACACTTAGGTGATTTCCATCGACACTCATGTTAACACCACTACTGCTTACACCATTTGGTTGAAACATTATTTGGGTCGTTTTAAGCAATGATTGTCGTTGATTATTATGATGATGTCTTTTTGTGTCTTGCCCCACTGCCGCTGTTGAAAATGCACATTGCTTTTGCAATAGGTTTCGTTTGTGTTGGTGCAATCGTTGCTGGAGTAATTGTTGTTGTAAACCTGCTTTATCCAATGCAAATCCATCAATAGCGGCATAATTAAATCGCTTAGCTATGGCTGCTGATGGAGATCTTGGTGGTACTGTATCTTTACTGCTACTATAGCGATAGTCACCATGTTGAAGAGATGCCTGTAACGAATCACGTTGATCAATACCACGACCAACTGGAGAGTCAAATAACTCAATCTGTTTCCGCAATTCATCGTTAGGTAAACAACTCTGATAGAGTGATTTTAAAGTATCGTGTTCCATTTGAACGGTATGCAGTTCTGAAAGACCTTTGTTCCGGAAGCAGTCTTGTATCTTTTGGTTGTTAAAAGCCAAACGTTCACGATTAACAAAATGTGGAGATCTGGGCATTGGAGGATACTGATTGATTTGATTCATTAATCCATCAGATGCTCTACGGCCTTCACGAAAATTTATTGGTGACAAATTTTCTTGGTGTAATAGACGCGCCTTGCCACCGTCCGCTGAACTAGGTGTGTACGCGACAAAAGAATTGCGTCTGTCCCAAGAAGAAGGATAACTGTTAAGAGCGTTTACTACCGTATCGATGTAATTGTGCCCACAATCATTGGGCGCACACGATGGTAAACTTGATACTAATTCAGTCTCATAGTGACCCGTAACGGACGGTAAATCAGCCAAATTCTGGCTATGGCTTTTTATCACTGGCGTTGGATATGCTAATCGCTGCATAGGTAGAGGCAGCGTTGGACTAGAGGATATTACATCTTCTAAATCAGTTTCGATACCCTCGTCTGTCGATGTCGAGTACTGTGGTGCTATCATGGTGGTATGATCTAATCGAGTGTGATAGCATATTTTTGGTATTTCTTCTTGTGGCGCAGAAACCAAATTATTCGGTACAAATGTTTTATCCGACACTGGCTTACTCTTAAATTTGGGAAGTTGAGGGAGTTCTCTAAATGGCGGATGTTGTTGAGATTTAAGATCGGCTAAGTTAACGGAATGCTGAACAGCACGGCCCTGGCTATATGACCGCGGTCGATTGGACGGCAAGTGACTATTAAGGTGAACAGTTGCTGCGCTGGTCTTAGGTTGTTTCCATAAATCTGATATGTACTGGTGACCAGCTGGACAATCTATAGAAGCTCTTTTCTTAGGACTAGGGTGACCTCCACAAAATAAATTTGGTTCGTAAGAAACCGGAAGTTGTTTTTCAGATAACTTTCTTTCTTGAGAGTAATGACAATTTTCTTGCGATTTTTGTTGTTTGAGTTTTTCCAGAAGTAAATAATAAATAGCTGCATAATGATCATATGTTCGATTTCTCAACGACTGTACAAAAATAAAATATTTTACATTATTTTCCTTAAACTTTCATCAATAATATCTATATTTATATCAATTATTAATATTTATGAGTTAGACTAAAAGATTAAGTAAAATAATTTAGATATCAAGTAAAAGAATAGATGGTAAAAAAAAATAAAATTGCTCATATACTCTTGAAGATAATAAAAGATTCTGTAAAATATTGTTTAGTAAAGATCGTCAACAATGATCGAATATCGATATAATTTCGATATTGGAAAGTTTTTGATAAATTTTCGATATTGCTTTGAATGCGATTATAAATATAGAATTTGAAGGTTAATCTAAATTTTACATAGACCAATCATATCTATTTCAATGTTGCGTTAATCATCATTACGTTTAACATCAAAAATATGTGAATTCTTAAATTTATTGACAATTAAGCCTAAGTCACTGGCATCAATGTCATCTATAAAAACCCAGCACAGTGGGGTCGCGGCATAGTGGAGACGTTGCATAGTTGGGTCCAGTATAGATTTAATCTGACAGTGATTAAAATCACTATCATAAGAAACGCTTCGATGCAAATCAGTAGATAGTGTTTAATTNTCACTTAAATAAAAATCATAGTAATCATTTCTAATTAACTTTTGGCATTTAAAAAGATTCTACAATGGAAATATTCAGAATTTAATTAATTTTAATGATTATATATCTAAAAAAAACAATAAAAAAAAAGTTGTTAAAAAGATTTACTCAATTGAGCGTATTATAAAAATTTGATTATAATTGTAAAAATCTATCGTTAAATTCAGGTAAAACTAAAAATCATTTTTTTTTTTTAATTTATAATTTATATAGCAACATGTTACAAAAAAATTTGGAATATTATAGACTGGTAGTAGCATACACAAATAGAGTTAAAAAATTAATAAATTACAAAGTAAAATTATTTACTTTTGTAGTTGAATATTTTTATCATATCAAATCTATTTCGACAATAAATACTTTAAGAATATTAGAAATTAATGATTTTAATTGTTTGTATGGAAAAAGCTGATTAAGCTACTTTTTATTTGAATAAGGAATATTTTTTAGATTTTTAAGTGTAACAACTTAAACTAAATACGAATTGTAATCATTTGACGTATCGTTGAAATAGTAGGTCTAGTGAGGGTTGGCAAAATAAATCGTAGCCACAAAAAGAACCACATAGTGAAATAGTATTAACATGAATATAAATTTCTTCTCACGAGAGGAGACTATAGTGATAGGATCCTTTATATTTATTGATTAATTGAATCTAAATGAGATAAATATCAAATGATTTGAAAATTTTATTCTAACTCAAAAAAAATGCAAAATATTAATAGCCACAGACGAATTTGAACCTCGTACCCTATACGAGAAAGACACAAGTGTTACCAATTCGGCAACTGTTCGTTGCTTTCGTCGCATTATAAAATTAGCTATTTAAGCTAACTTAAATTTAAAAACCCAGCACATTGGGATGGCGGCACAGTGGAGTCGTGGCATAGTTGGGTCCAGTATAGATTTAATCTGACAGTGATTAAAATCACTATTATAAGAAACGCTTCGATGCAAATCTGTAGATAGTGTTTAATTTAAAAAAAAAAATTTGTCAAAAAAGTAGGTCAAATGAGAGCTGAGAAAATAAATGATAGCTACAAAAAAAAAACCACATAGTAAAATAATATTAATATGAATTTCTTCTCACGAGAGGAGACTACAGTAATGGAATCCTTGATATTTATTGAAGTTATTGAATCTAAATGAGATAAAAATCAAATGAGTTAAACATTTTTTTTAACTCAAAAAGAATTTTAAAAAAAATCAGTGCCACAGTCGTGAAAGAACCAAGTGTTACCGTCTCAAAAACCGTACGTTTCATTCGTCACTTAATAAAAATGTAAATTTAGCTAGTTCAAATTTTGAAGTTATTTTTCTGGACTTCAAAGAAACAAAAAATTTAAATATGATTAATTTTTTATACTATGTCATTTAGATTGATATAATATTTATGAAAAACAGTGTAATCCCCTTATAATAAAATAAAATACATAACCAAGAATTTTAATAAAAAAAATAGCATATTATTGAATACGGTAGCCATTTGCGCATAGAAGATAGGTCGTCGGGACAAATTTTTTTTTTCATTTTATAGTACATAAAATAAGCTTTAATTTGATATATGTTTAAAGGACGCAGTATTTCCGGAACATTTTCAAAAATTAAGTTGAAAAAGTTAGTTTTTGAGAAAAAGTTGTTATTTTAAATCCCCCCCAATGAGCAGGTTAAGCGTTAGATTTTCAAAAAAATGATATCAAATGAAAGGGATATATCTAAGGTTTTAGTATAAAAAAAATTATGTTGATTTGTTTATTTTTGAAAAAGTTATGATAGTTTTAAGAAAAAAAGTGAAAAAAATGACGAAATTTACCGATTTAAAAAATTGTAATTTTTTTTTAAATTTCCCCCATTTACGAGGAACGAGGGAATTTTTTTGAATTTTTAAGAGTAATGTCTTGAACTAGATACGATTTGTGATCTTTTGACATATTATTCATCAAAATCGGTCCAGTGAGATCTGAGAAAAAGTGACAACAGTCATAAAAAGAAAACATAATGATAAAATTAATACCTTCTCAGCTTCGCATCGAAGCTAAAAAATATTGGAAATGCAATATATAAGTTAAGCAGTCGGTGCAAGTGAAAATAGTTAACCTTATGTTATTGTTTTATATTTATGACCTTGAACAACACCATAGGTAAGATTATTTTAATAATAGAATTGGATCATACCAATGACATACTTTTCATATTTACAATGTATATAAACAAATCATTTTGGTTGTTGATTTTTCTTATAATATTTTATCTTATTAGTCATAAAACTCCTCATTCGTAATTCTAAAGTTATCTCTTTGAGGTTAAATTTATGTTTAATTTAATATTGAAGTACAAAAATGTTTATAATGTTTCTATGTCACATGATCCCGTGACAATGCGTATTAGATACTACTGCGGTAACGAATCGACCATGTCGTCCCTACCTTAACTATGGTGTAATCGAGGTTATTAATTTTGCGTTAATTAATAACAAACCTGTCTAGTTCTTGACGTATTTATATCCAAACTACTCATAAACCTCAATACTTGATCGTTAGGTTCTGCGGGCATTTCGGCTGCAGTACCCGGTAACAATCTAGGTGCTTCTTCCAACATCCAAGGATGCCTTTTAATTTGTTCTATAGTATATCTTTTGTTCGGATCTAGTATAAGCATTTTGCGGATTAATGATTCACAACCTAAGCAAAAATACGTAAATAAATAAGACTTAAGTTAGAAATACAACTAAGCTAAGCTATAATTAAGTTTTAAGATCTAATTTCTTGTAATTATAGATCAAAAAAAAAGAATAATACTATTGTAATGTGTGTAAAATTTCATAAATATCTCACTATTTTTATTTATGAAGTGAATTAAACATTTTTAAAATAAGATAAATATATTTAAACTCTTACGAAGTCTAATTATAAAGTATTGATACTTATGGTGTTACTTGTAAACTGGTTGTATAATGAGATTTTTTATTATGTATTTATTCAAAAAAAAAAGTAATAACAAATTCTGTGAATTTTCTTCATATTTATAAAATGGTACAAAAAGATAAATACCATAATAAAAATTGGCAGATAATTGAAAACTAGATTACGCGTGATACAACAAAATAAATAACCAAATGTTGTATATCAAAGTTTTGTCTAATAAGACATTATAGTTATTTCTGAATCCTTTTACTTAAAAGGCAATGTGCAGTTTTTTTTTATTCTAAAAATTTATATTCAGTGGTTAAAATGGTAAAAATTAGGAAAGGGGACTATAGTTCCTAAAAATCTAAATCACAAAAAATTGTCTCCCCTCAAAGGCTAAAAATGATATTCATCATTATACAGGAATAAATTAGTACCTAACTATAATATTTTTTATTTCATGAAAAATCAATAAGAAACGAATATTATACAATATGTCACAAAATGAGTATCATAATTTTAATTTATTATAAAAGTAAATGCAAAACAGTCTTTTTAAATTTTAAATATTATACTATAACAGAAACAAATTGAGAAAAAATATTAACATTAACTAATTTAGGAAGGTAACACATAAAAATATGAAATGAAAAATATATTAATATAATTTATAAAATATTCAACAAATTAAAAATGTATTAACAACCGTGGTAGTTTCTATTGATATCATTAATGTTTTATCACCTTAAATTTTTATTTCTATCACTTTACAACCCTTAATATAATAAGTCTTTTATTCTATGTGTAGAAATTAATTTTTAAGCTTATATTAGAGAATTTATTAATTAACTTTTGAATAATCCAAAAAAAAAACAAATAACAATAATTACGTCACGGTCAACCATACTCCAAGTACTTATATTACCACGGTCGTATTATAAAATTCTTATCATTTCATAATTTAAGTTCTTCTACAATCATATTTTTTTAACAATTTTGACCATTCGAATAATTTTCTTATATTAACTACTCTTTTTACTCTTTAATGTTCAAAATTAAAGCGTACCCCGGCATTTTGAGATTTGATTTAAAGAAAACGCTAGATTTTACTCCAAATAAGAAAAGGGACTCCGTCACCCTCCGTCCACCATCATTTAAAAATACTGTTTATATGGCGTTTAACGACCAACATTTTTAATATGTAGATGAAAAAATAAAATATGATAAAGCAGCTACAGCGAATTTTCTATAATGACCTCCAAAGGTACTTCTAAAAGTAATTCGAATGTTGGAGACCTTGTACATATTCAGCAGAAGCAAACTTTGATGAATACAATGAAAAATTATTTTTTCTAATAAGTATATACTTCTTTTATTTTTCAGTATATTCTTTTGTGGAATAAAAATAAAATTTTAATATGACTAAATTTAAAATAATAAACTTTTAAGCAAATAAAATCAACAAAAAATTTAATTTTTAGTCGATTTTATTTACGGTTATATTTTAATATGCGAAACAACATTCGTTTTAACCAATGTCCCATAAATTATTCGTTGGGTTATGGTAAAATAACCATTATTATAAGAACTCCTACATGATTTAGAAAGCAAAAGTTGATGAAATACCCACAAAACGATCAACAATAGCTGGTAGCGTATGAATTAATCTTTTGGTAAAACTAGCCAACTGTGTTATAATGACGTCACGGCATGTGCGTCACAAGAACTATGAATGGGATAGGGAATATTTCAATGCCGATACAAAGTTAAAATAAACCACATAAAGGTACAAGTAATTTAATATGAAACATTTTAGTACTCTTCAGTGTGTATAATAAAAAATAATAATTCTGGTCTATTCTTTTTTAAGTATTTTAAATTTTTGCGTTATCTAACTTTATATTTAGAAAATTAAAGTAAAAAAACTCTACTTAGACACAAAAAAAAAATCGAAACATAATAGGGAAACCCCTAGAAATTGACAAAGCTTGGTAAAGAAGCTTTACCTCCAGGGTATCCTCCCTATTTGAGTGTTAATTTGAAGCAATCAACAGGTTATTTGGAAGAATTTAAAAAATTTTTAAGGTTGTCGACATTTTGCGTATACCTATATAATTTAATAGAAGAACTACAAGTATACGATCTGCACACCCAAATATTAGACTTCGTTAGTGTATGGTCATTCTCAACTATCACTTAAATAAATACAGCATAGCTGGTTGACAGTTACATTGAATAAAATTTGTTCTGCTTGGCATAATGTATCTTTATGTACTTTTTTCAACATAAAATAATTGCTCTTTTCAAATTTGTTTACTGCGTATAATAGAATTAACAGTAATTGTATAACGTTTAATATTCATTTTAACACAACAATTAATATGTTCTAAATCACAAAAACTTACAATCAATAGTTAGCTACCAATAAAAATTAAAAATAATTTGAATTATTGAGTAAAAATTATTAAAATCCCAATTAAACCAGGTGGTTTAGATGCAAAAAAAAATGTCAAATCGAAACTAAACTTATACGGAATAAATAGTAAACTTAGAAAATAAATGGAAAATTTTTGAATTACGTTTCATTTTACTGGAAATATGATTAACTTAATATCTAGCATGTTTAAATATAAGATGTGATGAAAAAAGTTAGAATATGAAACTTCATTTAATCACACACATTTTACTAAAAGAGTGAAAAAATATATCCCTGAAGTAGAACAACATTTTTGTTGGTTGTAAAAAAAAAAATAATAAAATATAAATCGCTAACCAACATTTTTTTACTTAAATAAAACGTTATACTTCATAATACTAACCTGTGCTCATAAAGTATGGTATGCGGAATCTTCCAGATAATACTCGGTCTCTAAGTGAATGTAATGTGCTACCGTCAAATGGTAAAGCTCCACAAACAAGAACATACAGCACCACACCCATACTCTACATACAAATTATTAATAAACAATAGTTAGTACAAAAATGCTATATATTAATAATCAACAATTAAATATATGTCTAAATGAATGAGATAAAGAAAAAACAGTAGGGTTTCAATAATACTTTAAAGATAAAAAAATCTTAGTTTTTGTTCATGTGAATTAATAATATACAATTTTTTAAATTTTGTACTGCATTAATTTATAATAGACAAGTTTTTTTTTTAATTTATAACAAACCTAATAATTAAATACTGTTAGCAGTAGAATTTTTTTAGATTAAAAAGTGTTTTTTTAAGTAATAAACCATTTAATCAATTGAAAAATAAAATTGTTTTATTTTTTAATTCTTTCAGTTACATGTTTTTCCTAATTCATCAAACATTAAATATTTTTTGTGCTTATTCTATATACTTTCTTTGGGTGCCAACTTTATTTTTTCAGAGGGCAATGTATACAGAGCCGGATTAAGACCTATACAGGCCCTGAAACGGTACCTTTAGATGGACCCCTATGGTAATTGTCGCAATCATAATAAAAGTGATGAGCAAAAAAAAAACCAGAAAAACTAGTCACTAATAAAAACGAGGCTAGTAAATTCGAGACGGGCCTTGGAGTGTTCGCGCCCTTAATTTGGCCCTAAATGTACAAACATTTTTATCTTATTTATTAGATATTGATTTAATTAAGAAAATTTCTGGTCGATAATCACTTTTAGACCAATATTTTAAACATTATTACCTCTAATCATTACTTTAAATTGTTAATAACTTCTAAAATACTAATCCAAAAGTTATATCGACCAGTCATTTATTTTCTTAATTAAATAATTATATAATAAATTAACTAATTAATTATGTATGTTGACATTTAAAAAATAAAGCTGACAATCTTAGAAGGTATAAATATAAAAATATATCATGGTTGAAAATTTAACAAAAGTATATAACTAGAAAAAAAAATTTACCAATATTATTTATATTTTTCGAATAAATAAGTGGTTTATGATAAATGAGTTTATGTATAATTTCCGTATATTCTTATAAACATTGAAATTATAACACCACTATAACTTTAGCGACAGTATTATAATCTGCATAATTAAAAATAATTTACTTTACTTGAAAACAACTTCAGAAACACAGGTACCAAAGATACTTATTATTACGCGCTTCAATTTCAGTTTATACGATTGTTCGTTTTTAAATATTTAAGTAAAAAATAAAGTTGCGCAATAAGGTCACAGTTCCGAAGTGAAAAACATCAGCCGTGACGAAGAATAGATATTAATTATTAACATCGCACTTACTACGACTTAAATGTAACTTCTAACAATAGCAGTTTTGAATTACTAAGAGAGCAAAATCTAAATATTATTTTTCTGAATGAAATTCCAATATGATAATATTGCATTATTATAATGTGCATTTTTTTTTACCCAGACGTCGATTTCAGGTCCGTAGTACTTTTTGCCTTCAAAAACTTCTGGTGCAGCATAAGGAGGACTACCACACCAAGTAGCTAGTTGTTCACCTGGCGTAAAATAATTGCTAAATCCAAAATCTGCTATTTTTATATTCATGTGAGAGTCTAAAAGTAGATTTTCAGCCTGAAAATAATAATTAACAATCAGAAAATATAATTATATTTTAATTTCAAATAATATTACTTTCAAATCTCTATGAACAACATGTCTATTGTGACAATATTCTACGGCAGAAAGTATTTGCCAGAATTTTTTTCTGGCGGCAGCTTCAGTCATCCTTCCATATTTTGCTATGTAATCTAAAAACACATGCAATTAATCTACATTAATGTTTTATATTGGCAATAATAAATATAAAATTCATGAATTTTATCATGGCACATGTTCAGTATTCTATATCTTAGATAAAATGGGTTTGCAGAACTATTCCTAATATTATTAAACAACAAAATATTTACAATCATATATTTAAACACTTAAAAATTTTCATACAGTTACTAGACCTTGACTATCAATATTGAAGAAAAACTAATAACTAGATACTGTAAAAAACTGTCTAACTTAAAATGAAATACATGATATATTAATTAAATTGTCCTTAAAAATATAGTATTTTATCGTGTTAGTTACTAGCTAGCTACGGATCGATGAGCATTGGAAATTTATTAACGTTCAATTTCAAATCTTACTACCATAGTACAATTTAAGTATAGTATATCATAGTATTGACATTGATTTCAATATCTATAAACTCTAACAGAGAGTAAATAATTGATAATATATATATAATATACTATTTTATCTATATTGATAATATAAAAAATATGAAGAAAAAATCTTCATAATATACAAACAGATTTTAATAATTACAAATTGAAATTTTAAGCAGCTATATAATTATATATATATGTGTATGTTAATTAATTAAATATCAAAGAACGTTCATAACATGAATTATATATAGTTTAGACTAACTTATACTTAAACTAATCCGATTAAATTATTATTTTGAAGATAAATATGATTTAATGACTCATTTAATTTTTAATTTAAATAACATTACTTAAAATTTTAAAATAGTACACCACTTTACAATCTTAGAAATAGAAGTTTTATTACAAGTAACCCCAAAAATTGGCAATAGTTCATAACAGGGTTTAAAATAAAAAAAAACCCAGCATATATTGTGTTTAATTTTAAAAAAATTTGTGTATTATTCCAAAAGCTACATGATCTGCTAGTTCCTTATTAATATCTTGATTAAGATAAAGTATGTCAAATGAAAAAGGGATTATTAAAAAATATTATTTCTCATAAAAAAATTGTGTTGATCCATACACTTTTCAATAAGTTATAGCATTATAAAGTTAAAATATAAAAAATAAAATCGAGAATTTTCACACGAAAATAGCATTCGGTAGCCATTTTTGCCGTGAAGACAAATCCAGAGGTCAAATTTTTGTTTTCAAATTAAAGTATATTACATTAGCTTTAATTTAAGATATATATAAAAGTGTTAGACCTTCCGGAACATTTTCAAAAGTTAAGTTGAAAAAGTTGTCATTTTAAATCCCCCCCTGTGGGCAGATAAAGGGTCAAATTTACAAAAAAAATATACTAAATGTTAGGTAAAAACATCAAGCATCTATAAAAATAAAAATTATATTGATATGTTCATTTTTCAAAAAGTTATAGCATTACTAAGTTAAAAATATAAAAAAAATTATTTTACAAAAATCGTAATTTTTTATTAACTTTGATGACTATTTTCACCACGAAGACAAGTCCAGAGGTCAAATTTTTGTTTTCAAATTAAAGTATATTACATAAGCTTCAATTTAATATATATATTGATATGTTCATTTTTGAAAAAGTTACGGCAGTTTTTAATAAAAAAAATTGAAAAAATTTCGAAAATTAGCGATTTTTAAATTTGTAGTTTTTTTGGAGGTTTCCCCTATTTACGGACAACGAGGGAAATTTTTTCAATTTTTAAGGGTAATGTCTTCGACTATATACGATTTGTGATCTTTTGACGTATCGTTGAAAGAAATCCGTTCTGTGAGAGCTGAGAAAAAGTGATAACACACACAAAAAAAAAAAACACATCATAGTAAAACCAATACCTTCTCAGCTTCGCATAGAAGCTAAAATTGTCTTTTTGTTTTTATATTATAAGTTTAAAACATTAAAAAAATTTTTAATGTGGTTTTAATTAATATTCAATTTCAAAATTTCAAAATGTTTAAAATAGTTGAAAATTAGTTCTGCAGTAAGTGTGTCGTATTGAGTATATATTAAGTCGCAGAAGTAAAGAAAATTGATTGTTATACCATGAAAAGAAGCAAATCTAGAGAGAGTATACTGATTTGTAATTAACCACGCTAAAAAGAATATGTTTATTTTATAGTATACACTGTACATAATATTTAGTTAAGCAAACTTATTGAAACAAATAAATAAAACGATAAACTAAAATACTATCAAAAAAAGATCAAAAAATTTTAAGTATGAATTAGTCTACCGCTTTTGCTAGATAATATTAATCTATTTTACCGCAAGGCGTTAGTAATAGATTTAACACGAATATATATACCTAATTTCTTTAGTAGTTTAATTTTACAAGTCTTATCTGAAGAATTATAGATGTAAAATGTAAATTAATGTTTAAAAAGCAATTAAGTATTTTGAACTTTTTTATTTGATCAAAATACATTATTGCATCGAGTACAGAAAAGCATTGAGATTTGAGATTTGAGACTTGATATTTATTTAATTTGTAGTATTGAAGGAAATACAAAGTATAATAATTTTATAATTAAAATTAGTTAGTGCGACTTTAAAACTTTCAAACAAGGCGCTTACTTGAATAATCTTAAAAATTTTTTGCAAGAAATATTTAATCAATATATTAATTTTTTCAATAATCTATAATTTTCAGTTAAGACACACGTGGTTACGAAAATAGGCCAACAATACCAAACGGACACGCAATACCCGTTAACGATTTTTGGCGAAACGCAAGCCACCACCGTACTACACCGGCTCTCGTAGTCAAGAACTGAACTACAGGTTACAATGTTGTTAGGTTTGCGGGGATTTTTTCATGGAAAATCCACAAGATCTATCTGATTTCCACCCGGTCATCTTATAGAACTATGATTCCGACAATTAAATTCAGTCAAATTAAGAAAAGTTGGTTCTTTAACTTTCATATAGATCTATATATGATATATATAGATATATGTAGATAATAACCCATTAGGTAGAAAATTATGTACATAAATTATGTATTTTACCACGTGCATTCGTTACGATTACACATAACTAACAGGCAAGGCGATTTTACTCATCTCAATAACCGTCAACCACCGCGTGCTTTTTAAAACTGGCGACCGCGTTGCGATCAATAAACTTCAACAACGCTCTCGTTCATACTCCTTTGTTGTATTTACAGGGTGACTTAAATCCAATTGTTAATTTTTAAAAATTAAATACTTAAAAATGTTATTCTTAGATTTCAATTGATCGATATTTTAGTTAACATTTTTCTAGACCTTTTTAAATTAAAATGGCAACGCTTTCATAACACAGTAACTTGAGGGTCAATTATTAATTAGAAAATGAATTAATTAATAAAAATGGTACAAAAAAAAATGAATTACTTCAATAAAATAAAAAAAATTATTTTACTTATAAATAAACTACAAAAACTATAGAAAATAAATTCTAAATTAAACAGTCAGCAATTTTTCATAATCTCAAAATCAGTTATTCAAACTATCATATAATTATTATACTGTAATATAATAAATCTTCAAAATACTAATAATATTTAAATAAGTGTAAGAATATTCATCTGTAAGTTCATATCTTTTACCTGTACACCGTCAATGCAAAACACTAACTGGATAAAACCTATATCTACTTTTTGCTTAGTAAACAACTTGTGTATATTTTACACTTTCGCCTCGTCATTTTCACTATATATGTTACTAAATACGCGTAAGCTTAAAAATCCCTAGAGTATTTTCGTAATAACGATAGTAATAAAAATCTTCATAGAATAAAAAAACATCTGTCGTTGAAAAGAGGTACAAATATAAAAACCAAATACCATAATTTAAGCAAATATTTACCCCATTCATAAAAATAGTACACAAGTAGTATGAAGTTAAGATGTTTTTTTAGTTACATTTTTCTGAAATTTCTGTAAAAGTTCTAAAAATGAGTAAATTTAGTAATAATTTAACTTATCTATAACTATAAGTAAAATTTTTTTTTTTTTTAAATTTACTTAATTTTGCTTTTGAATTACCAAATTTTTAAAAAGACTATTACGATAAATCCATTGGAATAATGATAAAAATTGATTTCTTGTCAATGTTTTTTAACCTACAAATGTATTTAATAAATTGATACTTCCACACCATTTAGGTCAAAAGTTCAATCATCATTTTTTACTTACAACGACAATTTTAATAAAAAAATCTATTTTTTATTAATATTTTTAATATAATTTTAGTTTTAAATTAACTAATTATTAGATATTATATAACGTGTTTGAATCAACGTATAGCGTTCAAACACGTGTATAATATCAAATTTGTAAGTATGTATAAACGATCGTAGATGAAGGTTTGTGTTCAAACGATGTAAAAAAAATAAGTTGAGTAAAATTAATGAAATTTATCAAAAAGTTCTAGTTAAAAGTATTGAATATTATTGTTAAGACTAACAAATATTAATGCTTTTCTAGAACGAAATAGACGCAACTAGGCGAAGTTGGCGACTTAACCTTCCAGATGATAATTTAGCTACCCAAAGAACTAGAAAATTAAATTAATTAATTAATAAATATAATGTTTAGAATGAGAGACAAATATATTAACCCTTTAAAAATTGTATCTAGTTACTCCTATAAATATAAAAAAAATAATTAACACCTACATACCAAAAATTTCACCTTGACTTGCATATTCAGAAATAATATAGATCATATCTTTTGACTCCATCACCTAAAAAAACATACATATATAAACATTTAAATGGTCTATTAAAAATTAATCACTAGATTATAAATAAGTAATTTCAAAAAATTTCAATTTAACTTTAGTTTATCTTCACACTAATCTCAAGTTTAATAAACAAGATATCACTTTTTTTTTTATTAACAAAAGTTTTGTTATAGTACATAAAAAATAAAAGAGATGTAACGACATGAGAAAACTTGATTACAATTTATAACATTGTAAAATGTAGAAAATAATATTACACAATGAAATATTTTTTGATTTTGTGACAACAAATTAAATTGTTTTACTATAAAACCATTTACAAAAAAAAAATGCTTAACATTTTTGTTAAGCATATTTTTAATACTTCAGTTTAAAGCATATTTTTATATGTATTAAATTTAAGTTTTGGAATTTTGCCTAGTGAAACAATTCTTTTATTTAAGAATATCATTAGAAAGTAGGCAGCATTAGCAAATTATTTCTTTGGTTTATTTTTTTATTAATACTTCAATCAGTGAATTTGATAATTGACTGTCAGAAAATATAACGTTATATGATTTTTTATATAAGAGGGAAGTGAAAAGTATAGCATTTTTAATTTTTCTCTCCTTAACAATTAATTAACGTCACTGGAATAAATAAATTTTTGATAATAAAGTATAATTATATATATATATATTGATTTTGATTTGACTAACAATTTCGCATAGAAGAATAAATGTTTTGCCAATTTTTTTTAATCTTAAAGTTTATTTAATAAAATTTAACTTAATGAAAGTTTAAAGGATGTAAATTTCACAGTATTAATTAAAAAGAAAAAAATTGGTAAACTTTTCACCATGTTAAAACTTTTTTAGCATTTAACCTTTTGTCAGATTTTAAATATAAAAAAATCATATATTTTATAGTATTACCTATCCACATTACGAATTAATCCAGTTTTTTTAAGTTATATTATTTTAAAATGTCAAGGGAAAAATCAAAATTTGTCGTTTTTTTTTTAAATTGTTGTTTTTTAGATAATTTCATTTAGAAAAAATTGAATTTTTTCAAATTTTGAGTATATTAGCTATGATTATATATGATTTTAATTATTTTAATATATTGATCACTTATTTGATCTAGTAAGAGCTGAGTGCAAATTAATACAAAAAATTAAAATCAAGAAACAAAATTCATTATCTCTATCCAGAAGTTTTCTCGTCTTGAAATGATAATATTATAAAAAATTACTTTTTATCAACTAAAAATTTTGCAATCCCCTCTTGAAAAACCCCTGAATTTGTGTTAGCTAATATTATATTTGTCAAGTACCAACAGAATCATCTTACCTGATACAATTTAATGATATGTGGATGATCCAATTGCTTCATGATATCTACTTCTCTGTGAACTTTTTCTAAGTTTACAGCATCCAATTTTCTTTTGTCTATCATTTTTATTGCCACCTAGTTTATACACAAAAAAATATAATAGTCTGTTTAACTATGGAAGTCTTGAGTCAAAAATAATTATAAAAAAATATTTATTATACATTAGTTATGAAATATATTTAATAATTTTGTTAATTTAACAAAATATGAATGTTTAAAAATTAATTATTGATTTCTAAGAAATTACATACTTATTATGCCATTTGATTATTATAACAAACTTAAAAATACTAAATATTTTAGATAGTGCATAATTACATATTTAATTATACATTTTCACATTGTACAAATGAATTTAGTGGCGCAACAAACGTTAAATCCATGTAATAAAATTTCATTTTGTATGATACTACAATTTTATCTCAAGTTATTCGATTAAATTTCAAAGATTGGGGTTTGAATATTTAACCCCCTTTCAGTCAACAATATAAACGCTTACGCACATGCGGATGAAACATTACGGAAATTATATTTTTAGTAACTTAATTTTTGCTGAACGTACGCAGATAAACACACAATGTGGAATAGTTTACGTCATACGGAAACTGTCGACGAGGCATTTCACGTGGTTGGGTGGCGTTTGTCATTCAACACGGCCAAGATAAAAAACTCGTAAAATCTTAGGCGCAACTAGCAAAAAATTCTAATGTGACTTAAATAATTTGACCTCTAAATATTTTTCAAAACAATAAAGCAACAACTCATAATGGGGAAGTTATCCGATTTTATGGCGAGTTAGCCAAAATCACCATATAGTTTCATAATATAAATAATAGTTTCGTATCTAAGCTAATAATTTAGGCTTCCCAGCTATCTAATTTTGTTTAAACAAAACGCAAATGCCACTATTTATATAACTAAACATATATTTTATAAAACAGCAGATTATATTATACTATAAAATGGGTGCTCTTTAGAAAGGCAGGGGGACATACAGGGCCACATGAAGGAATTGTACTACTTGAGATACTCAATTCTGCTTCCCTCCAATGATTTTTTTATTTTGCTCATCAAAAAAAATGTGCTCTATTATATATATATCACTATTTTTTTTTTTATTTAAATGAGTAAAATAAAGTCTATTATAATTTATATTGCTCTATATTTAAGTGCCACCCGGGGTAATATTCCCAGTACCCCCTAAATGTATCCCCGAGAACATGCTCCCTTGAAAATATGAAATCCTTCAAAAAATATTTTTTTAACTGTATATATTAGTTTTCTCTTAAATCCAAAAAATAATATTATACGTTATATTTTTAATTTTATAATAAATGTTATTGATTATTTTACATTTCAGAAACTTTTTATTGTTTTCCTTGATAATATAAAAATAAAATGTTTGACGATTAAAAAAAATAGGTTTTGTGTCCCCTGGATTTTGTCTGTTGGGTTTATTATTGGTAACCCATTTATTATAATGTATTATCATTTTTTGATATGTTATAATTTTTAGTTATATGCCAGAAAAATAATCAACATAGAAGAATCTTTATCCGTGTTATGGTAAAAATAGAGCGTTTCTAAATTCTAACCTTTAATTGTTAATACTTGAAAAATTATATTACAAAACTGTTTACCGACCAGTCAAAATTTTATTTAGAACATTCTCCGTTATTAGTAAACATAATATGTACTCATTTAAGTCTCGAAAGTTAACCCTAAAATCTACACTAATTCTTAGTGATATTACAGAATAATTTTTTCTTACAATAAACTTGATATTTACAATGGTTTATTAAAATAAATTAAATTTTAATTTATACATATTTATTAAAAAAAACATTTAAAAAAATGAGGTAGTATACTTAAATCACACTGTATTTTATAGACAAAACTACCATTACTACTTTAACTCGAAACATATAAAAGTTATAAGGTAAACTTATACTTGATTTTTTTTTAAATAGCTGTAAAAGTTAAAATTAATAGTTCCTTGACTAAGGTCAAGATAAAATATACGAAATTAATTCCAAATTTGACGTAAATTTTTATTATTAACTTAAATAGAGATTACGAAGGTATAATGAAAATATTTTTCTTCTTGATTTTTTAGACCCACGATAGTGACAAAAACCTCAAGTAAAATAATTTAAAACTTAAATCTATTCATACACATTAACAGTAAAAAACTACTTTTAGATACATTTTATTACAATTTTTAATATATCGTTATAAGTTATCAATTTTGCTATTTTCGGGTTTTACTTTAATTAAGCTTTAAAATGATAATAATACTTAAATACATTTAAAATAATACTTAATTTATAAATCATTAATTTTACTTGAATATAACTTAAAACTTCCAGTCGAATGAAAAAAATGTATACAGGTGTCTCATGTGTAACTGACAACACTTATAACTTTTGATACAATTATCATTTGTACAAGTATTTGTCTTTTTTTTAATAATTATTGCCTTCTTAGATTACATTTAAAGCGTATTTTTTTTATTTATCACTTATACATTTTTTATAATAGAAAATTTTAACCATTTTTTTACAAAAAATGTTGATGAGTTAATAACAATTTTAGGACAAGTAATAATTGAGTAACAATCATTTTAATATATATATATATATATATATATAAATAGTAGTGATAAATAATAAAAAAAATTGTTTTAAAATAGTCTAATAAGATTATAGTAATTTCAAAAAAAATTCAACAGAATTATAATTATATCGAACGTTATAATCGTTATTAATTAGATATAAGATACCCTAAATATACAATGAATAAATATTTGTACATGAAAATGTAATTTTTTTTTATTAAATTATGTATTGCATATTTTCAACAAATCAATTTATTTCTTAAAAATATTTTCTATTTCAATGGATACACTTTTTGTATATTTGATAAAAACTTTTCAACAAGATATTAATTTTATTAACATTAATTAATTAAGAAAATTGTTTTTGAAATAAAAATCAGCATTGTTAGATGCTGATTGGCCTCTTGTGGAGATGAGATATAGTATAATCCTATTAAACTAAATTTAAAAACGTTTAAATATTCAAAAGATTAATTTTAAATTTGACAGTAATTTATCAGTAGGTTGATACGGGTGAAAACTAATAATTGATTTTATTTAAACAACTGTTGTTCATTCATATTATGTGACTAAATGTTTGTGACAGAATTGGATATTTCAGTTTATTTTAAAAATTAACAGAAAATATTACAGTTATATTATTATTAATATTGAAAATTATAGAAAAACCAGCTTGGTAATTAATTTTACAAAAATAAAACACAAACGTATTTATATACAATCTTGATCAAATTGCTTAATACAATATGTAGGTAATAAGTAAACTTAATTACAAGAAAAAGCATTGATTTGGTTCACGACATATATCTTTTTATTTTTACATTGATAAATAATTATTTCATCGAATAAATATTTTTGGTAACGATTCTTTGAAAAAAAAATTAAAAAATTAATTATTCATGAACAACAACGTTGAATATCATTTAAACGTTAAAATTAAACAAGTATCTACTTTTGCTTCGATAATATGTATTTTCTTGTTATCAACTGTGAAAGAAAGTATAGACGATAAAAAGTAAATAACTACAGAATGTCAAAATAACGAAAATTTATTTTTGATAATAATTTGTTGGCCTTAGCGGCTTATCCATTGACTTGTTGATTATTGTAATTTTAGCTTTTTGTTTCTTTCACTAAAAACGATAATTATGCGTAAACCCGAATATAACAAAGCAATACAATACGCGGTTATATTTTAGTAAATAAATCAAAGCATTCAGCTACAAACAAAATCATCTTATTTCGTACAAATACTTACAGAGATTTTTATATTAGTTTTATGGAAAAGTCCTTCAACCCGACTATTGTCTTAAATTTAATTATAAGTATTTTTTAACGTTAGAAATAATTTTGATTACCAATATAAAGTGTTCAATAAGTAAGGAAGCAGGTCAATAGTTACAAATAATAAGAATAATAGAAACCCGTTTCTTTACTTACTGAATACTATACAGGTACACTATTATAATTAGTAGGGTTTGTCAACAATATATTTTTATATATCGATATCGTGATATTATATTGCAATATTGAAAATAAAAATTTTTCTTGATAAGGCGATATATCAATATAGTATAAAAACATAAATCGATATGGAAAATAAAATTTGGTATTCAAAAATTGAATTTAATATTTAAATGTTTTCACCATTTTTTTTTAAGAATACCATTAAGTTACTACTGTTGTAAAAAACAGACTATGGTATACCAACCAAATCAGATATGATAATTATATAAAAAAAATAGTAGCCAGAGAGTTATCTCATAACGATAATCAAACATTTTCAAGTTACTTTTTATTATGAAGAAATAATTTTTTTTTTGTTACAAAAGACTTTTTCATTATATATTTAATATATAAAATGGATGAAATTGTTCTTTATTGAATAATAGCATTATAGTATCAGTGTATTGGTTTTAAATAATAATAAAAAAAAGATTTTAATTATTATTTATATTTTTTATTGCACTGTCATAACCGAATACAAACAATGTTCTTTTCAATAATAAAATTTTAACTTTTACAAAATAAAATTTTAACTTTTACATCATTATTATCTAATAGAGATTTTTGGGGGGGGCTCAATAATTTCATTTTATTTCTGAGATTGAGTTTCAATGAATTTTTGCGATATATCTTCTAATTTTATAATTTCTTTCTCTAATTCTCCTCATACATTACTTTGTTCGTTTTTTGTTAAAAATAGAAATAACAACAATGTCATAATAAAAACTTTATCTAAGAATAAAATTTTGTATCAATAAATATCATTTTTTGTCTTGTCTCAATTCTATATTTCATAATATATTTTAATATAAAAATATTAACAAGATTATCATGAACTGTTTTTGGTCTAATATTAAATAATATATATTTTATATAAGTCATCAAAATTCAAACAGCTTTTTTTTATTAATAATTTTTTTTCCATTATTACGATATTTCAAAATAATCGTATCGTGGGAAAAATAAAAGTCGGTGATATCTATATCGTTGACAAACCCTAATACACTGTAAATTATACAGTTTTGTAAAATATTCTAATATAAGTATTGTAATACTTTTTGTACTTTTATGGTATTCTAAATAAAAATAAAAATATGTATTTTAAATGTAATTTTGAATATTATTTTTTTTATTTCATTTAATTACTATAAATACCGTTAACTATTAACTTACCGGGTATCTGGATAATCAAGTCAAATTAAAGAAAAAAATTGTTTTTTATTGCTGCTCGTGTAGATAATATTTCATTATCATTTACCAGCTTTGAAAAAAAATGTTTTGTAAGTGCCAGAATGTAAATTATATTACTTAATTGATAAAATTTAATTATTTATATATCTATTGTATTTTTAATGTTATTTTTTATTTTAATAATTTTTTTTATGTAAAATAGGTTTATATTGCAAAGCTATTTTAGTTTCTTTTTTCTTATTTTCTAAATAACCTAGTCCTTCAATAAAACTAAAATGTAGCGTAGAACTATACGGTGCTCAATTGTCCTGGCACGGAATGGTCGTAATTTTCAGTACAATATATAGATTCAATTTATTATAAATATTGTTAAGGAAATTTATACAAATTTTATTTTATAACTGTAATCATTATTTTATATTAAATAAACTATTTTTTTAATATTCTTAAAGTATTCGAATTATTTTTTAATAATTCAAAAAAATGTATTTTTAATTACTATGATAACATAGTCATAATTGACTATGTTATTAAAAAAATTATAAAATGTTCAAAGTTTACCACATTATTCTATAATTACATGATACCAGTTTTTATGAAATTATCTAAACATTAATAATAATAATGATGAAAATAAATGTAATGCACATAAGTGATCAAAGAAAAGCCGTAATAGGTACTAGGAAGTTAATCATAGCCCCTTGTGTGTTAGGAAAACACATTTAAAACTGGCAGTTTTAAAAGTTTGCAAAATCAATGATTTTTACACAAAGTCTATCGTTTAAAAATGGCCTGTAAACTTATTTTAATAATAAAACAAAAAAGGTACTATTTTTATTTTAAAAAATATATAAATAAGTGTTTCACAAAATATTTGAGTCATATACCACAATTTCTATTGACCTACATGAATTTAAGAAATTTATAATAATCTTATTGTAATCTACTCAAAAGAGATTAAAACGTTTTTACATATTTTAAGTTTTTGCATACGGAAAATACTGTCATTATCGTAAAAACAGTTATGTAAAAACTTAAAGTAAATGGTTGAATCGAGAAAAACAGCGAATAGTCTTTCTTATATTACGCTACTTAAAACCCACAAGTAAATATTTATATTAATTATAATTTAAAAATTATTCATAATCATAAAATCCAAATAAATCTTAACTTTCTATTAAATCGATAAATCATCAAATTTACTATTCACATTATTATATTAATTACTATTTACCTATGTAAAAAAAAAAGTAAATAAAAAAATACAATTTTTTTACTCAAATTTGAAGAACCCTTTTATATAAGCGTTTTTTTTAAATATACGTTATTTAATTCTATCACTCTCTATGTAAAAAATTGTAACTTATGTTACAAATGTTAATAATGCAATACACAATACGTTTATTGTTCCTAATATGTGCTAGGTCAACTTTCTGGCACTTGTTCGACCTATATTCAATAATTTATATTTATTTTTTATTTGTTCTTATACTTAAAATAATATTGTTGGTTATTGTAAAATAATCTTAAATTATTTAAATAAAAATAATTTATATTAAATATTTAATAAAAATCACCGGAAAATGTCGAGTTTTTTAATTAAAATAATTAGGCTGACTTTAAAAGAAGTGACCTTTAAAATATCATCATCTGTTTTTGCAACAAAAGATACTTAAAATACTTTTTTATATTAATTCTTAATATATTTAATTAGTTATTGATAAATTATAAAGCACAATTAATAAATTTATATTTTTTTCCAAAAAAAATTAATTTATCAGATAAGTGTAAGTATATGATAAAATATCTAAAATAATGTAAAACAGTTTTTCACGACCATAATTGGAAATTTTGTCTCCCAGTCAATATTTTTTAATCATCCATGTACAGATAGTTTCGTATAGAAAATTCTAATCCGATGCAAATTTAAGGTTAGTGATTAATGGATCGCCCCCTTCGATTTGTTCATTTTTTAAATATCATAGTAAAGTATTTTTCAACGTACTTTAAATATGAGTTCTAAATGTATGCATAATTTCAAAATATTAGGAAAGTTATAAACATCGGAACTCTTTTGTCATAAATTTTTTACTTTTTATTTTCACTGTATTATAGAGTATATAGAACGGTCTAAAATGTCTGACAAGTCCTATAACTTTTGATCTAGTTAATATTTTGCAAAACTTTTTTTTAACAATTGTTATACTATTGGACTATGGACGTAACTAAAGCAAAAATACTGGGGTGCTGAAATTATATTATGCTCATAAATCCATGGAAACTCTGATAATACAACACCGAGTAATATTTTTTTTTAATAATTACTTAACAAAGCCATTGTAAAAAAATAAAAAAACATTTTTTTTTTTTAATAATAAACCGTATTAATATTATTTCATTATCATATTTTTGATTATAAAGATAACCATAAAGACGTTTCAAAGTATATAGAATTTTTTTTATCATTTATGGTTACTGTGATCTACGGAAAAAAAAAATATTTTATAAATGAAAAAAGTTATTTTCACATAATTTCAGTGAATTAAACTGAGAGTTGGGCTGCTGCACCATCCTCAGCACCGCGGCTAGTTGCACTAAGTTTTGGACTATAATAATATCATAATTTATAATATTTTCAGTGAATATATTTAATCTATATGATTATATAGTAAAAACTATTTTACTAAGACAATTTAAATTAATCAAATTCAAAAGTTTAAACATTTTTATTTGCAATAACGTTTAAAGATGATTAGTTTCAAAATTTATCCCTTGTTTCAACTATACTCGATAACCATCAAAAGTTGTTGACATCATTGAACAAAAAGAATTCTTTGGTGTCTCTCCTAAATGTTGGGAATATAAATTGTTGTAATCAGTTTAATGTAATCTACATAATAATATCATCCGAAAAACATAAAATTAGGTCATTCAAATTTAACTAGGTGCCTCCAATATGATGAAAAAAGATAAGGAGGTAAACTAACTTCTTAACTATCTTGCAGGATGCCTAAACAATAGTACCCAAAATATAAAACTCATTAAATCAACTTACTACAAAATGCTTAATAAGAAAACAAATAATTGAAACATTTTCCAAATGTTTATTTTACCTTACATCTAATACATATATTTGATTTATTATGTAAAACTAATTGTCTGTCATCGACCACAAAAATTGAGGCCCTATTTATGAAATAAAAAATTAACTGGAGTATGTGATACAAAAAATCATCCTCTTCCGTACTTCTTTCATGAAATTAATAACATAATCTAATATAAATTAGTCATCACGAATTAATTTTACATTCAACAATAGGTCGCTTAAAATCATCTAGTTCTTTGACCAACATTTTGTTTAAAGAAATGTAAATAATTGTTATTATGAATCGTCCATGATTTTAAGATCCTACAAAATCTTATTTGGCTTATCACATTATCAGAGTAAGTTAATACCCAGTACTAATTCATTAAATAAATAATACAATTTTTAGCTGTTTAATAACTAATTTTAGTATTATATATTTTAAAGGAATTAAATTAATAAATCATGTTTGTGGTAACATACCTCACTTCTGACCAACCGATGTGTGGCTAACCGCACCTCTGCAAAGTTTCCCTTGCCGATACGCCGATCGATTGTGTAAAATCCAATAGTGTCCGGTTTGGTATCCATTTCTTGATGCTCGAAACAATTTGTTGACATCTAAAATTTCTTTTTATCAAAATAGAACTGTACAATGAGTCGCGATACAACAGACGTTGCGGAGCACCGACGATAATCAGTTTTGGAACGCATAACGGTAATAAACTGATAAATAAACCAATGGAATAATTAATATATGTGTAAAACACTAACGAAATTATTGGCGAATAAAAATGCTCAATTGTATTAAATACAACATGCTCGTCGGATTGGAAAAACGACGGCCGGCGAAAACGGTGACCGTGAGCGCGGATTACCGACAGTGCTCTGACATCGTACAGCAGCGGTCCCGTTTCCAATGTTTCCGCGTGCCGACTTTCCCAGCCGGCGGCAGCGGTGCGGCCAGTGACGTCAGGCGCGGGCGGAACGAGACGCTAAAGCGCAACTGTGGATACTTTATGACGACGACGCAGCACAGGTACACCCGCGAAAATCGAATTATCATATTACACAACGATCATCCTGCAACCGAGTCAGCTGCGAGTCGTAATGCAATTTTATTAACCAAGTTACCGGATGCATTCAATCTGATACACTTTAAATACACACAATTAACAGTTTAAACAATATTATTTTTACATTTTATGGCAAAATAATGTTATATAACGTCATATTACGTATAGAAACGTATTAAATTATACACGAGCAGTTAGTACACGACATATCAATATGTTCTATTTCAATCGGTTATTTATTCGAGTAATATTATTTTCAATGTTGAAAACAAAATTTAGAAGACAATAATGATTATGATAAGTAAACAAATTCATGGAATTATGCCTAATAATACGCAACGCCTTTCTGGGTATTTTGTCACAAACGCATTAAGAAAGGGTTCGGTAATGCAACAAGCGGTAAAGTAGTGATACTTCGAGGTCTTCGTTGTTGGGTATCTTCAATCTTTTTATGATTAAAATTTAGAATTTTTCTCATAAAATAACTCTTACATACAATAAAGTAAGATATTAGTTAATCTGTGTGTATTTTTGAGTACGAGTGTAAAGTATTCGAACACATATATTTTTTTATTTATGTTTGGTATAATACTCTCGTGGAATATAAGTCATTTAAAAATTACTGGGAAGTAACAGAGTCCAATAATGGTCAAATGATTTTGCTATTAGAAAGAATTAAAAAATCTTCTACATCTTCATAAAAGCTATGTTCCAATATCCCAAACCTATTTCTGTTCATATTAACTATATCAGGGTATTACTGAAAACTATTGATGTACATAAATGACAAACCTTGAATTTATTTAAAAATAGTATATAATTGAATTTACCAAAATATAGATAACCACTAAGACTTAAAATTTAAACTTCAAAATTTGTAAGAATAATTGTTTCATATTAGTAATATAATAATAATAGAACTTTTATATACATAAAAAATTTCCCAAGTTTTGTCATTTTTATGAACATTGTATAAAAATGTCAACAAAAGTATTTCCATTGGAGGGGAGGATCTTTTCCCGTAATTCCTTCTTACTTGACCACCACAGCAGTAGACAGAAACGTCTATTCACAATCAGAAAAATCAAAAATCATTTGTGATCCCTTATTTTATTTTCAAATTATTACGCTATGTTAATTCCTTCTTTTACTTGTAAACTAACAAATAAAATAATACTACCAAATTAGTATTATTAAATTTGAGACAAATTTAATCATTTACGCGAACTTATGGGGTCTCAATGTTATAAACCTCTAACAATTTTAGCTACCTAATGTAACACTAATGGTTAATTAACTTAAATTATTTATATTTTTGTAAATTACAATATCAATAAAGATTTTTTGTTTCAAATTAATTAAATATTAAAATGTTGAAAGAAATATTAAATAGTTAATAACCGTGATCACAATATTTTCTCAATACTTGTCTACTTTACGGTTGTAGGCACAATGATTACAGGCCAACTGTGCTACAACACAGTCCGTCTTAGCATATTAAATTCAATTTTTGTTTTAACAAAATTAAAATTATCAATTAACTATTAAGAATGTTATATCATGACCAGTATTTATGACCTACCATTAACTGCTCTAACCATAGTAGTTTAAATTAGTGATCAAAAATCCTAAAAGGTTGTAAACAAAAATTATCTATAATTAGTTTTTTAATTAATTATATTTAATAAAAATATACATAAGCAAAAAAATTGCTTGAGGATGAAGTTAGAGAAGGCATTTGCCCTACTTACCTTTTAGTAAAAACGCCACTGTACAAAAGGATAAAAATAATAAGTAAATAAACATAATACATGTTTTGTATGCTTATATGCATGATTTGAAGCTTGATAAATTTGAATAGTGAATTTTTATTCATTATCAAATAAAATGAATTTAGTAACAACAATCAAAATTGGTTATTTCCACAATAGATTTATAATTAATTATCCGTATCGTCTAGGGATTTGGACTCCTCCTAAACACCGATATGTTTACATTATTTAATATACAGGGTGTTCAGTAAAACATATAAGTATTCTAAGTAAATTTTATTTTTTAGGATTTCCCTCAGAAAAATTTAAAAAATCCGCTTTGAATTGTAATAGTAATTTATTTTTAGTAGAAAATATTGATTCCTCGTGTCATCATGGGAAAAGATTATTAAGTTCTGTGTGATGTTCGATTTTCAATATTTTTTATAACCCTTCAAAGGTCATAGAGTATTATTTCTGGGGGAGATAAATAATAGCCCACCATTATTTAAAGTATAATAAGATGACAAGTTAAATTATATTGTAAGACCGGTAGTAAAATAACCCTCAGAATCCTACACCACTAATATTACTATGTAGAAACCGTAAAAGATAATAGGCATCTTCGTTTTAAAACTCGCAATGTCCTAATAAAGTATACATTATGGTATTTTTACGAAAATAAAACTGGAATTAAGATAAAATTCTTACAATTGCTTTTATTGTCTGCTTGTAATTTTACGAATTTTAAGATGGCGTTTGTTTCAGATAGGCAATTTAAGTACACAAAAACTTTATATAAAAATAAAAACGTTTATCTCTTCATTCACTTATAACAAGTATAGTAAGGTGTAATCCTAGTTAATATTAAAAGATGGTTTTTTTGTAAAAAAAACAATTGTATGTATAAATTTTAGCGCGACAAAAGCTAGAAAATATCACAGATTAATTATTTGAAGAACCATAGCAAAAATCAGTATGTATATATATATTATATTTTGCCACTATATTCTATGTTTTTGAAAAATAAAAACTTAATAAAATGTTGAATATTTAGTGATAATAATCTGACAGAACATAAAAAGTTGAGTTGGTTATTCGATGAACGTAATTTTCAAGGAGACTGGGGAACATAAAGCGCCCANGATAATAATCTGACAGAACATAAAAAGTTGAGTTGGTTATTCGATGAACGTAATTTTCAAGGAGACTGGGGAACATAAAGCGCGCAAAAAAACATTCGTAAATATTATAACAAAACTGCATTGTGGGGAGAGACAAAGGGATGTGGTTGAGAAGCTCTCCACTTAGTCCTATTAAGCAAATTTATGAGAGTTTAAACTAAAACACCTAAAATCAAATTTTCTGATTTTTGACCGTGGATTACTGAAATACTAAATATTTTTTTTTAATCATTAAACAATTTAAAAAATATATACATTTTATAATTAAAACAAACATTACGTTTTATGAGAATTATTAGGGAAATTTTTTAACACATTAAATAACTGTTATCAAATCGGTTTATTATAGACAAATTACATATAATAAATTTAATTGAACAAAAACCTAACACATGATTTATAAAACTATATTTCATAAGGTACACGTTGTACTCGTAATACACAAAGAAAATAATTTTTTAAAAATAAACTAATATCACCCAAAATCGAGTACAACAAATTTTGAGTATGAAACAAATAAATTATTATTGTAAGTACATGGCAAAAACTATTAATATTAACTTGTTAACCACCAACAAAATATAATAACTCACATGTATATATATATATACATATATATATATAAATGTTTGCGACCATTTTTTTTAAATTTAGTTGCCCCTAAAAAATAATATAATATGATTTTTAAATAAGCAAAACAAACTTGAACGTACAAACTTAAAAAAAAAAAAAAAAAAATTGTAATGATGTTTTTTTAAAGAAAAAAAAATAACAATCATATACAAAATATTTGCCAAGAAAATGTGTGACATAGTCACTAAATTTAAATTATTATAAATGTGTATTTTTTTTTAGAAAGAAGGAAAAGTAATTTTAACACTGTTTTTAATATATACAAATTACATACATTTATAATTACTATAATATAAAAATTTCTCATTGAGTATTAACAGTTTCGTTAGAATTTTTTTCGAAGGAATGAAAAAATTCTATATTTCATTATATTATGATAATATTAGTAGTAAAACACAAATTACATTTATTCAAAATAAAATTTGGCAGACCTTTTAGTCATCCCCGCGGACATCACTAGTATCACATGTGTATTCTAATATATTTGATCTACCATTGATTTTTTCTTTTTCGACATCTTGCCAAGCTAAAACATAAAAAATGTAAAACTTTATATTAAATTTATTTAGTATAGTACTTATATTCATAAATACATGTTTCAAGTAACATCTTTGGTAATAATATTATTAAAATACTATGTATTTTTGTTTGATAATGCTTGGTTAAATCTTTTGTTCAGTTTTACAAACTCTGAGTAGTATAACAAATTTTTTTAGTTGTATTACTTTATAAGTGAGAATGTGATGTGCACTTAATATTTCAGAGGGGTTCAAATTAAATGAGTAACAATTTTATTTTTTACTTCTCCTTATTAAAAATTAATAAAAATACTTATTTCTTGAGAGGTTTGTTTAAAAGTAGTTATAAGTAATAATCATTGATGGCTAACATAACTGTATGTATTAAGTTTATATTTGAAAAATTATCAAAAGCTAAAATAAAATGGGTTTATTTATTTATTTATTTNAAGTAATAATCATTGATGGCTAACATAACTGTATGTATTAAGTTTATATTTGAAAAATTATCAAAAGCTAAAATAAAATGGGTAATGCATTTAATCATTTCAGTATAACAATCTAAGTTTATTTTAATATAGGTATATGGAATTAAGATGTTTACATAATTACATTATACATACTAATTTATTTACCTTGTTTAATAAACAATATCACTTCGTTATAGTTGTATTCAATAGGTATCTTTTCTGGCTTTTTAAATTCTTTATTACCATCACACAATAAATTTTGGTCTATTTCGAATCCAAAAGACAGGCTAGTATCTACTTCGTACTTATTATACATTATAGGACTTTGTTTTTTCTTTGAAGGTAAACGTACAGTCAGTGAAGCACTTTGGGGGGATATTACTGCAGGAACTTTGTTTAAAACAGCAGTCTTTTTAACGGTCTCAGTAGCCGTTTCACTGGATTCATGTACAATATATGTAACATGTACATCTCCATTTATGTATTCATTAGCATTATTTACAATATTAGTTGTAACCTCAACAATTCGTTGTGGTAATGTAACGGTAACTGTTGGTATGGACTCTTCAGAGGTGGTAACTACACAAGCTGGTTTGGTTATATCAGTTTTTGGACTACCTTTGAAGGATTGTTGCTTGGAAGGTGTGGATGAAGCTGGCAAAGAATGAACAGAATCGAGATCGGAATTATCATCAGATTTTTCTGAATGTGGCATAGAGGAAGTAGATTTTCTTCTTTTTTTACTATTAACATTTTTAGGTTGAATATACTGTGATAATAGATATGAGTCATGAGGAGGAAAGTTATTAGATGATGCATTCAGCTTATTTTGAGAATTCTGTTTTTTTCTTCTTTGTTTATTAGTAACTAACAGAAAATCTGCAGAATCGGTATCTTGAGATTCAGATGACAAAACATCAAGCCTTTGATCTGTTGATGCAAACTTTTTTGAAGTTTGATTTTTTTTGGGCTCTTTCTTTTTTGATTTTTTACAACTTTTAATTGATTTTGATTCATCATCTGAACTATCCATGGGTTGAAAAATTGAAGAGGAGACTTCTTCTACACTATTATACTTTATTTTCATTCCTTTCCTATTCTTAGGTCTTCCACTATCGTCGTCTGAACCTTTTCCATTTCGATTTTTGTTTTTAATTTTAGTAGTTTTATTTTTTTTACTATCATTACTTAAATCTCCTATGAATTTTAAAATTTCATCAATATTTTTATCACCCCTATAGCCTTGTATATTTTCAGAAAATACAACTTCATCTTTCTACAACCAAAAATTTAACTTTTATTACTTTTATAAATAATATTTAAATTATTCAACAAACCTTTTTTAATTCTTTTTTCTGTTTATTGCGCTTATGAACATTACTGTTAGTATCGTCATAATTATTCCTCTGCAAAATAATTAAATTAAAATTTGATGTGGTACATCTTATGTTCATAGTTTATAATGAATAGTATATTGTACTGAGTTTTCAATAAGTAAGGAAAAAAGGTTCTATTGTTTATTGTTTGTAAAAATTGACCCATTTCTTTACTAATTGTATTCTCTGTATAGTTTATTCTCTACATGGTTAAAAATGAATGCTTTTGAACTTAAAGTTAATTATTATTCTATAGTATATGGATAGCATTTATTATGCTAGTATATACAGAGTGACTTACTTATCACAAACCATTTAATTAATTGAAAAATATAAATAATGTTATTCACTTTTTTTAATTTTTCAATCATCAAATTTTTGTTGTGTTCATCGTTTATAACTTATAAGGGTGTCAACTATAATTTTTCAAATGGCAACACCCCTAATTAACTATCTTATTTAATAGATTATATATATAGGTGTCATATTTATATATTGATGAGAGAAAAAGTATGAACAGAAAATGTTTGGTTATAAAAATAACAGCACCCATTCTTCACCACCAATCATTACTTTAAATTGTTAATAACTTCCGAAATACTGATCCAAAATTTGATATCAACTAGTCATTTTCCTAATTAGATCATTATCTACTAAATAAGCTAGTTTATTGAGTTGCCATTTGAAATATTAAATTTGACACCCTTATAAAATATAAGAGGTGAACAGAAAAAAAATCATGATTTAATAATTAAGAGAAACATTGAATTAAAAAAAAAAAACAAAAAATAAAAAATTATTAATATTATTTGTCGATTAAGTAATTCATGATAAGTGAATCTCTTGGTATATATATATTTTTTTAATGTCTAAATAATTAATTTGAATCAATTAAATTGAAAATTTTGCATTTTACAAGATTAAAAGCATTATTATGCGTACAAAATAAAGTACTAAATTAAAAAATTGTTAAGTATTATATTCTGTATATGCTAAAACCTACCCTGTTATTATTAATTGTTGTCTGTATTCCTAAATTATCTGAAAAAAAAAAAATTATATAAGGTTTTCAGTAAGTAAGAATAAAAGAATGAAATATGAAATCTGAGGATGAAAAATTACATTAAATGAAATTGAAATAAGCATGTTAACCTATAATTACTTAGGAAAAATAAATTTTTAAAAAAGTACTAATAAAATAAAATTTTAAAATTATATAAGAATGCTAAAAGAGTATTTATAATAATTTATTAGGTTAATTTTTTTTATAAATGTATTACTCTATTAACTCTAAACTCATATGCGTTATTACACACTGAATTTTATTCCATTTATTAATTATTAAAAATCAAACCAAAAAAGCAATAATTGCGTAGTGTAAATAAAAGAATGAGAAGTGTAATATTAATCAAATTTTCAATATACTACTAGGTCAGTAACTTTTGCAATTTACCTGTTATTATCCTCAGTTTAATATTAATTAAATTTATACTATGAAAACAATATAATTTTTTAACTCTAATTTCCAAAATATTGACTTAAATCACAAACTCAAGCAAAATTAATAGTTTACCTTTTACTGCTGAATAAAATACATGCAAATGATAAATCATTGATTTATAAATGTTATCACTTTTATAAATCTATTTACAATTACAATACATAATATCATCATACTCAAATTAATTTTTAAAAAAAATCAAGATGTTTTTTTGTATAAAAAATAAAATAAAATATTTAATATATAATATTTTATCAAATAAAATATTTTTGATAAACAATTACATTATATTATTTAAATACATATTTTTGGTATAATTTTTTTAAATTATTTCCAATTTTAATTAAGTAACTTATACGTAAGTATATAATACAATGTTATAAAATCAATAAAAAATAACATCTACATAATGGTATAAAAAATGAATTAACAAGAATTTATAGAGAAAAACTTTTTCAAATAACTAAGATAATTTTATTTCTAAATTTAAAAAGCAATGGATTATGAACATGGAATAAAATTTATTAGTACAACATTTAATGTTGTACATATAATATACTATTTCTTTATGTACATTAATTAATATTAAACCTAATGATGAAAATTTATATTTATTCAAACATTTAACAAATGGTATTTGAATTGAGCACTTGTTTTATATATAAGTAATGATGAATAATTTATTTTTTTTTTAATTTGGATAACATTTATAAAAATCAATTCACCACTAAAAATACTGAATATTTGTATTAATTTGTAAGTTAACTAATTAAAGAACATATAACAAAATTATTTTTATAATTTAATTAAAATATAATGATATTATGACTTATTAAATGACCATTACTATTTATCAATTTTAAGTTTCATGTGTTTTAAAAAATGAAATTGTACATTACAAACAAAATGTATGATTTTGTTGTAAATGATAAATCATATATATATAGAGTGTGACCTAGGATTTAAAGATAACTTAAATAACTTTTAATCTAGTTAATATCTTTTACTGATTTTTTTTTCAAGAACAGTTATATGATAGATCTATAATTATATTTCAATAATGTAAAAATATAAATCTCTTTTATCTCTCAAGAGATAAAACTACTAATGAAATAATATGTATTGTTCGTGTTTTTATTTGTACTAAAGCTGGTCATTGGAATGTTAATAATTTTCATGGAAAAATCCATATTCATATCATATTTAGTGTGAAAAAATTGTGTTTACTTTGGTCTTTTTTTATAAAACATAGGCAGCGTTTGATACTGTAGAATAAATACAGAAATATTCAAATTTTTACAAAATTTAAAACGTTACAGAAAATTAAATACCAAACAGGAATTAGAATTTTTTCCACCGAATTATTTTTTAAAATCTATTCTAAAAAATGCCTATTTTGATTTTTTTTAAACACTTTTCTTAAATTTTTAAAGTTAAATTATTTTTTATTTAATTATAAAAATGACATTAATTACATAATTATTATAGCCCTCAAGTATATTAACTATTAAAAAAAAAAAAAGTTATTTAAGTTGTCAGTAAATGCTGAGCCACCTGTATATAAAAAATATATTCTTTGTACCAACATTACTATATTTAAGTTGCACGGAGAGACTTAAATTCATTTTAAAAAAATGTTACTATTATTATTCAAACTATTTTTTTAATTAACAAATTTACCATAACTGCTAATCAAAATAATATATTACCAGCCTAAGTGTACATATTTAAAAATTCAGGTTATGTATACCTAAAAATGGATGAAGAAAAACATAAATACGTAATTATACTAACGCATACCAAAAATATGTTTAACTGAATTTGAATAAAAAATATAGTTTAATATATAAACATTGAAATAGATTTTTAGTATAAAATATATATTAAACTAGAGTGAAATAAAAGTTACCATTTGGTGTTAAAAAATGAAAACTCATTGGAGACGTATAACCATTATACGGATTTTGATAACAATTATTTTGACCAGCAAATAGATGTAATAAACGGTGATCTATCATTTGCGAGTCTTTATTAAATTCTGGTATGATTGTTGGTTGATGTATACAGTGTTTCACATCTTGATCGCCCTCACCTGATGTCCGTGGTAATACTTTCAAATAGAATATAAAAACCATGCCAATTAAAAATGAAAAACAAAAATCTCTACTTAAAGAAAAAAAAATTAAAACTATTGTTATTAAAATAAGTGTTCCATTTAAATCCAAAAAATAAAAAATTTATTCAACTGATAAATTATGAATAAAAAAATTTAATTGTCTAAATGGTAAAATTGCCAATAAAAATATAACATAATATTTGTGCTCAAGTAATCATAAGTTTAATCATAGAATATTTTTAAAAATAATTAATTGTGCTTTACTTTTAATTACCTACTAAACTAATGATTTTTAACTTCATAATTATATAAAGTACACAAAGATTTTATTATGTATTTTATGAAAAAATACATAAAAATAATTACAAATCAACAGATACTTGGAGACAATTAAGATCTTTATTTTAATACACTAGCGCCATTTACATTAGACCAATTTTTCAATAATAATAATATTTCAATTAAATATTATAATAATCTGATATGCAGGGAAATAAATGTTACAAAACAAGCTTTTATTTCAAAATCATAATTTATATAAGAGCCGAAAGAAAATTTAAAAAGATTAATCTAACCAACAAAAATATTATATTGAAACTTATTTAAAATTAAAACTATATTAAATAATATTAGCCATATGTGATAAATTTTTATTATACTGAATCTTGATGAATAAACCAATAATGGTTAAAACTTATAAAGAATGTAGTTTAGAATATTGTGTTTTAGTAGCTATTATCACATTAGAAAATAAGTTGAAAAAAATGTTACATTAGTATCAATTCTTAGCTATACATTAAAATTATTAAATTATAATTTTTTAAATGTTCTAAAATTGATTAAAAAATAGATGAGTATAATTTTTAAGTGCAAAACTTTGTATATTAATCAAGAAAAATAAATCTTCAAATATTTAGCAAAATAAAATTTTGGCTAAAAAACATGCCAATAAAAATAAAACACACTTACCAATAAGGAAGAATCTAATTGGATATATAACTTATCAAGAAAAACACCATGCACTAATTAAATAGTAAAATTATCAAATTAATAGTCCTACTTATTTTATTATCTTATGTAAATGAAATAAAAGCTATTAACTCCTTTGAGATTTAGGAAACACACAATTGTATTAACTACAATTAAAAAAAAAATAAACTGTACACAATAAGTAAATAATAAAAGAAAGCACAATTAGTTATGAAATTATAACAAGTAATTGGCACTCTTAATCACAAGATATTTATTTAAATACTCAAGCTACTTAGCAAAAAACACATAACCACACATTTTTTTAAGCAAACCTCTATTGCTTAGATATAAAAATAATAAATTTACCTTTAGTTACTCCATTTTTAGAATATGCTGATGAATCGGTTTCTATATAAGAATCTTGATCATCAAAGTTTTGACTAGACTGCTATAAATATTTTACATAATTCATTAATATAGTACCTTAATATTTTGTCAATGTATCTATTAATTATCTCCTCAACATTTTGCTTTAATAATTTCATTTTATAATATAACAACTAAGAAATTAAATATTTAATTTTTAGAAATTTATTTACAATTTCAAAATATTTAACTAATAAAGTTAATTGATGCGACTCAAAAATAATATGATATTTAAATATAATAAGCCTACAATCTACAACCTAACAAAGTAATTTAGATATTCTAAGGACTTAAAAGTATGATTCATAAAAAAATAACCAGAAATTTAAACATTTTTATGTTATTGCTCCTCTCATATTATTTATATATTTTTTTAAGAAAACAAATTAAATTTCTTTTTAAATTATAAAATTTAAACTTTAAATTTTTTTACTAAATATTCACCTTGGATAGTAAAGGAGTGGTAAAACGTTCATCAATGTTAACTTCTTCTTTTGCTGAAGAAATTTCTAAGCTTGCATGACTAGTATAGTTTGACAAATCTTTATTTTCAATTTGTTCATAACCAGGATCACCCAGATCAATTGTTTTATCTACATTTTTGGCCATTTTTGATGATTCTGCTATCTTCTTCCTTGTATTTTGATTACTTTTTTTATTGATTAAAAGAGATAATGCTTGTGCATGATTAACATGACTTGGAAGAGAACCACCTTCAAGTTGTCGAGCGCTTACTTTAGTAGTTGAAAGACGCTTCTTAAAATCTGGAGCTAGATCAAAAGCTTCAAGTGATGAAGTCTCCTTTTTAATGTGTTGTTCTTTTGATATTAAAGTAGACAAATCAGTCTGACTATCCACCAAACGTTGATTTAAGAGAGGTCTTTTGACATCATCCTCTCCATTTTGTGTTACATCTTCTAACAAATTCTGTAACAGAAATCAAGTGATATTTAATCTTATCAAAATATGATTATATCATATGAAAACCTATGATTTAAATTATTTTTTTAATACAATTTAATATATAATAAAAATCCTTCCACACTAACAAAATTAGATTGTTACTTTTCTAACATTATTATAATATCTAATTCATTATTTTAAACTGATACTTAAAGAGACAAAGAGTATGAATGGATTAAAATGGATAGCCAAAGCTCATTAATCAATTAATACTACATAAGTTGTAACTATCAAATTGATGAAAAATGAATTAAAGGCAAAAAAAATATTTGTGTATTAACTCGCCTATCATATAAAACCTTTGGTATATCACTGTAACAAATACTAATTTTATAATTCCAACATTGAAAATATATGTTAAAAAAGAAAGATTATATGAATCATTAATTATGATATAGATAAATTAAAAATCTTAGAATTCTTTCACTCATGTTGTTTTACAGATATAATGGATTGCTATGATATATAGCAATCCATTATTATCAAATTTTCTCAGGTTTAAATCATGTTTTCTTATATAAATAATTACTATTAATTGATATAAATAAACAATCTGTAATATTAAAAAATAATGACTTTTTACATCATTAAACAGGGTGAATAAATATTTCTAGAACGTGTTACCAAAAATTCTTAGGCAAGACTACTATTACCAAAAATTATAAACTCATTCATACAAATAATAGTAGTTTTTAATAATAAAATAATATGAATATTATGAAATTCAATCTCATAAAAAATATATATACTTATCTATACTTTTATTTAAAACAGTACTGTAAAGATTTTTAACTAAACTAATGTTTTAAAATAAATAATAATTTAATTACAATTTGTGGTATTAAAAATTTTGTTAACTAGTCATTCAATTGCATGCATATGTATAATTAAATAAGTATGAATTTTAAATAAATTACAAAAACAAAAAAATTAACACAACAATGATAAAATTTAGTTTTACACAGCAGCTAATAATTAGAGAAATGTAATGATAAAAGTGTAATTATTATACATACATTGTAAAGTTCACTTTTGGTTTGTTTTGCAGTATCATAAGCAACTACTTCTTCCAGCAAAGACTTAAAACTAGCTGTATTCAAATTTGATAAGTCCACTGATAATGATTTTGACTTGTTATTCTAAAATATCATAAAGATAAAAAATGCATATAAATATAGATAACAAAATGTATGACCTTATAAGATATAAAAGGGCACTAACTTAGTAGTATTTTTCATAAAATAAAAATATTTCAAATGTACTGCGATAGATAAAATGTATAGTAAAATGAGTTGAAGGAATTCAAAGTTAATGAATACATTAAACACTAAGTTTCGAGATGCAAGTTCACTTTTTCATAAATGTAAATGAATCGCATAAACACACGGGCGCACGATTCTTATGACATTAAAATTTGATTACTCATTATTTTTACGTAAGGTTTATTATCATAGTTAAAACAACACAAAACATTAATAGGTTAGGTGAAAATATCATGGAGTTTTTTCGTAAAATATTCACAGAGTATAATTTATGTAAGATAACTGTAACTATGTTCATGACTTTAATTTCAATACTAAACTTACATTTGAACAATCGGCAGCGCAATTCTGGTATTTCTTGTCGACGATGACCGCATCTCTTTCATTGATGATAGTCGAATCGTCGCAACCACCGCGTGAAACCGACGAGCTTTTATCGGGCGCTTTTGGTTCGAATTTGGGTTGAGGCAACGATGCCATTACTGTTGTTACTGTGATAGTGATGGGGGAAAATCAGCAGGCTATATATTTTTTAAAGTATATTGTAAGTCATTCTCACGGACATCGACTTAATATTATAGGAAACTGTTTTAAATATAAATAAAGCGGCGGGAAATAAACCGGTCATTTTATTGTCACAGATCATTCGTTCTTGGTGATCCCAATTCGAATGTTACGTTATCACATTAAAAATGACAAAAAAAATTAAAGTGTAAATATTAGTTACAATAATAATTGCATAAATTAAGTACGCTATTTAGTAATTAGGTACTACAATGAAATACACTACGAAGGCGACGAAGACGAGAGATTTTCGTAGATGACGGCAGTTCGATACAACACATAATTCACGGTTCATCTGAGAGTAAACAAATTATCACTTTTTAACACGGCCTGTAGTGATGGCTAATAGATGTATGTCGGTGACGGCATCAAATGCTTGCGCTCTTAATAACGAATTCGCCGTAACGAGAAATTTACTGAACGACGATAACTATCGTAGTGGTCGTCCGTGTTTCCGGTGGTCACGGAGTATATTACAAATACACACACACACACACATAAACGCGCTAACGAAGAAACTTAGAAATGTTATATTTATAATATGTATATGCGCATGTATATTTATATAAACATATCTACATTACATATATTTATTTTTTTTATTAAAATTAGTGCGGGTAAAAATTTATGTATACACAGTTCGCGTAGTGATGCCTGTCCTATCTTTTGACTGGGATTGAGTCGAAGCAAAGAGAAATAAAAATATAAAAATCACCAATTACAGTGCATCCATATAAAACTTGGATGACAACCTCACTGCTGTCATTGTTGCCTACAGTGGTGATAACAATTCTTTATCTCAAGCAAATCTGAATTACAATCTATATTTTGGCTTTTATTGATATTAATTACTATGGTCTTAAAGCATTAGATCGAATTAATCATGTTTGGGTCGCATATACATATATATATATAATATAAATGAATCGGTAGAAATATTACCAAAAATGATTATTAACAGAGACGGGTAGGTAATCTTTTGCCTACTAGGCAAATTACTTATTAGATAAGACATCAAGCCAAAAAAGTATTACTTAATTTTTATTAAACTGTTTTAAGTCTTAATCATTTATAAAAAATCAAAAAGAAAAGTTTAGAGCAACCCACAAAACTTTAGGAGTTTTTTTCTTTTAGGAAGATGGTTTGTTAGGAACTTATCAAGTAGATGCAAAGATAAATTTTTAAAAATTTTAATAAAATAAAATATTTATTTGAGATATATTTTTCTTAAATATAAATATAATATATAGTAAAATTTTTTAGAGGGATAAAATTTAATTTCCCCTTTCTTAGAATAATTTGTATACAGCATTAGTTTCATTAACTCAAAAAATACATCCTACGAGAAGAAGTAAATATTAAAGTATAATTATCAATAAGTATGGTGAACCTCCATTTAACAAAAATGCTGTAGTCAAAACTTTTTTCTGTTGAAAGTTTCACTGTATTTTCAATGTGGCCTATAAATTGTTTTATAAAACAAGGTCAGATAAAGCGGTAATCCTATTTATCCTGGCTTTGAAATATTCTTATTGTAATAGAATTCAAACTTGTGTAGTACTTATCGTATCGTAAAACTATTATTTTACCATCAGGAAGCCATAATACAAATTATACTATTGTAATATGTTGGTTTTAGTAGCAATAAAATTCCAGTTAATAATTAATTAGAAAATACTTGCTAATATGTACATTGATCTTATAAAATCTTAATTCCAACTGGGGTTCGTAAATTCAAGTTTCTACTTTAAACTATTTACGCAATCTCTGAATAATTTTACCTGCGCGTGCGTGTATTACTAAATGATACTCGTACTAGAATTTTCATTTGTCAATAATGTGACCTCAAATTATTTGTAATATTTTCGAAAATTGTATTCAGTAGTGCCAATTAGAATTTTTTAACCTTATTAATGTGCAAAATAAGAAGTAATAAACGACACTTCATCTATGATGTTAGGCATATTTCTGTATTTCAAACTTTAAAAACTGTTAACAAATTAACAACACATGCGTACAACGATCATGTAATATATACCTTGTAAACAAAGATAAGGCCAATTTTAGTATATGCGATATTAGACGATAAAAAGTGCGTCAACTTGGACTTTGGTATTCTCTTGTGCATTTTGCGTCATTCAGTCAAACCAATCTCCAGGGTTGTAAGCTAATTATTAGTATTAACTTACATTAAATTTTGATTATTCAACAGAGAAGAGAGATATTTCAAATCATAATAGCAATTAACTACTAACTTATCAATTTTTTATCCTTCGAATTTTACTATTAATTGTTTGTGATCAAATAAATTAATAAAAAAAATATTCCTAAAGTATTTTATAAGAACATATTTACAGACGTTTAACCATTATCATAAAATAATTACACATAACTCTTAACAGTTTTACTATGAGTACGAAACAAGAAAATATTTTTTTATTTGTTCCAAATTTAATAGGTAAGTTAGTTTCAGTAAAATATTTGAGTATTACATTTAAATCTCCCCTAGTAAAGTCTTGTTGTAAAATTTTAAAAATGATTGGCCTATTAATTCAAAGTATTATTTTTAATGAATATTTCATTTAATTTTTTTACTTTTTAATAATATTTACAAATATAGTTATACTTATGGAGTGCTATAAGGTGCTTATTTCACTAAGTCATAAATTAGTATTTACATCTGATTATCTATACAATGAAAAAAAATTAAGTCATTTTTACATCTTTTAAAAAAGAATATTTTAGTAAAAGTACTATACTAGGATTTCTAATGTTTGCCATTCATAATTGTGGTATTAAAAAGAAAACTTGTATTACTGTAAATAGTAATTTTTTTTATTGGAAATTGAATTGTCCGAATACAATTAATTTGTTTGTTTATATATTTTTATAGTATTTTCTTTTAAAACTGATCAAAAGAAATAATAAATTATATATTTAATATTTTGAATACATTTTTTTTCTTTCAAAATTACTACTTTAAATGTATTTAAGTCATCATTATTTGTATACATTAATTGATTTAATATAAAAAGTAGAAGAATTATCTGATAATCAGTTCAATAAAATTTTAATTGTTTTTAGTTAATTAGAAAGCCTTTAAAACTAGTTACAAATTACTCTTGGATTTATTATACTTAATAGTTTATCTTTATATATTAGATTTAAACTTATAGTACCCTTCTGTATTACAAGTTAACATTTTGTATTAAAATTTAAAATGGGTCAAAAAATGTACAATTCTGGTTTTTTCTATTTACCTATATTATTATTATGCAAACATTTTTACACTTATTATTAACCTATTTAGGTGGTATATAAAAAAGTTAATTTTTAGATAATTAGTGTAAATATAATGTTAAAAACGTTTTTTAAGTATTCATTCAAACATTTTTTTATACAATAGATTTTTTTCCTTTTAACTATCACATTTGTTGTCTAACTTTATTTATACAAATATTTTTTAATTAGGTTATGCTAGAATTCTTCTAGCATTTGTATCTATGTACTTTATGCCAACTAACTATAAAATAGCATGTACATGCTATGTCGTTAGTGCTTTATTGGATGCTTTTGATGGTCATGCAGCTCGATTGTTCAAACAAAGTAAGTGATTGTATTGAAAGTTAATGTATAATCCTATTTAAATTATTAGTAATAATATCAATTGAATTAATTATACAAAGTAATTTAAAAGTCTTTATCTGATAACAAATTAATATAATTTAGTGACTGCTTCACTTAAGTGAATTTTCTATGTATCAAAAAAAATAAATTTGTTAGGCATTTTTTCATCGCTATTCATCATAGTAGATGATTAATTATAATGATAATTATTCAGTAATCAGTTTATAATGAAACTGTTATTCTACAACAAAAGACGTAAAATGCTCTAAAGTATGAATACCTTTTTGTATCAAATTGATTGTTACGATCTATCACAACTGTAATTATTAGTGGCAAAGATAAATTTAACAAATGTACAATTATTATGATATATAGATAACTAACCCATGACAAGTGGTTACCAAATTATTTTAATTGGTATTCAAATGAAGACTTAATTATAATAAACACTAAATAACAAAAAATATGTGTTTTAGGTACCAAATTTGGAGCTATTCTTGATCAACTTACTGATCGCTGTGGAACATTGAGTCTATGTATTGCACTATCAAACTTTTACCCAAAATACATGTTTTTATTCCAACTTAGTTGTGTTATTGATATTTCTTGTCACTGGATATATTTACATTCGTAATAATAGTATAACAATATTGACTCATAAGTGTTAGTATATTTTATAATTTATTTTTAGATCCATTCTACAAGGCAAAACAACTCACAAATTTGTAGATATGTCTGAAAATCCAATCATGAGATATTACTACACATCGAAACCAATATTGTTTTTTATGTGTTTTGGAAATGAGTTATTCTTTGCATCACTATATTTGGCTCATTTTGTTACAGGCCCTATTAGTAAGATATCATTAAGAAAGTGATGAGAATTTTTATTTAATAATTTTTTATGTTTAGTTGCAGGACATGGTCTTTTTAAGCTACTTTGTTTAATTTCTACTCCCGTTATGATTGTTAAAACAGGAATTTCATTGCTCCATTGCTATATTGCTAGTATAAATATTTCTATTATTGATGTAAATGAAAGAAAAGAAAAGAAATAATTATTATTTAGTTAAAATTATGAGTACATTCATTATCTAATGAATAGAAGAGTTTTATTAATAACAATTTTATTAATTTAAGCATTCCAGTATCATCAATACTACTTTGTTCCTTATAATTATTGATATCCTTATGAATGTTTTATAATTTCTAGTCATTTAAACATTTTCAATACTGTATAGCTAATAGATTATTTACTAAAGCTGTAAAATATAATTTTTACTGAATTAGTCTTTATTATTTTCAACTTGAGATAATTACATACAGTGCTATTTATTTTATAATGAAATATTTCTTGGTTAAGCGTAATGTTTGAGTAAATTATATCATACTTATTTTATTTTTTCAATTTTTCTCTAATTGTAGTTTCCTAAAAAATATATAATGTGTGAATTATTTATGTACTTAGTTTATGAAATTTAATGATTAAATAAATATATGATTATTTAATGATTAGTATATATTGCTTAACTAATTATTCCTTATATATTTTTTAGTTTTATTATTAAAATTTAATATTTTCAATTGTTTTTAGTTGTATATACTTAATTAAAATAATTTTTCTTTTATAAAGGAATTTTATTCTGTCTATATTTAAAATCAGTTAAAGTTGTATAACATACCTACATGGTTTTTTAATTTTTGAATATTTGTTTTTTCATATAGTTCTTGATAAACATTTTTATTTTTAAAAAAAAGTAAACAAATTTTTTTTTTGTCTTAATTAACAAGTTGTTAAAATATGCAATAATATACTATAATGCCAATCTTATGAAAAAATAAGAAAAAAAAAAATTTTCTAGCCATTAAAAGATTATTATTAACCATTTTGTTATAAAGAATTTTTGTTTTATTTTTGAAGTGAAACTTATTCACAGATGGTTCAAAAAATATAAAGAATATATTGTGTATCATGTTCAACCGTCAAGGACAGATTCTATTGTTTTATTAAGTATGAGTAAAAATTTTATTATTCGATAAACATATGAGTTCAATAAACATTTACATTCTATATTTTTTTGTAATTTAATGTAATAATATAAATAAAATTTTGAAATTTAAATTCATACAACTTGATATTTAATATTAAAATATTTATTTTTAATTAATAAATTACTTTTTAATAATAATAATTTATTACTAATATATATAAATTCATAATTTGTTAATTTAATTATAAAAATTCCAAAAAAAGTGCACTATTGTATATATTGCAAATTAAAAATTATTAATACACATTAAAAAAAAAACTTTAATATTTGAAAATAAGTTGCTACACATATTTTATATTATAATTTTATTTAATTTATTTATTTTTATAATTAATTAAAATAAAATAAAAAAGTATACATAATGAGTATAAAAAATATTTTTTGAATAATATACATATGAAAATAAATAATTATAGCTGAATTATAATATAAAATAAAATTTTTTACTTATATTGTTATTCTATTAATAAAAATAAATATAGATAATATTAGGGCCGATGTGAAGGTGAGAAGGTATTAATTTTACTATGGTGTGTTTTTTTTTTTTATGTCTGTTACCACTTTTTATCGGCTCTGAAAGAACCAATTTCTTTCAACAATACGTCAAAAGATCACAAATCGTATTTAGTTGAAAATATTATCCTCAAAAATTGAAAAAATTTCCCTCGTTCCCCGTAAATGGGGGAAACTCCAAAAAAATTACAAATTAGAAATCGTTAATTTTTGACATTTTTTCAATTTTTATTACTTAAAACTCCCATAAAATTTTTAAAAATGATCAAATCAATATAAATTTTTATTTATAGATTCATGATGTATTTATCTATCATTTTGTATATTTTTCTTATAAATTTGACCCTTTACCTGCTCGATAAGAGAGATTGCCCACTGGGGGGGATTTAAAATGACCACTTTTTCTCAAAAATTTACTTTTACACTTAACTTTTGAAAGTGTTCTGGAAATACTGATACTTTTATATATATCTTGAGTTAAAGTTTATGTAATATCCTTTATTATGGAAAAAAAAAATTTCGGACTTAATTTTGTCTTTACGGTGAAAATGGCTACCGTATGCTATTTTTGTGTTAAAATTCTTGATTTTATATTTTACATTTTTAACTTTAAAATGTTATAACTTATTGAAAAATGTATGGATCAATACATTTTTTCATGAGAAATACTATTTATATACCTCTATCATTCGACATAATTTATTTTTTAAATTGGACCATTTCCCTTAAATAGAGGAATGCGTATAGAAAGTAGTTCTTTTACAACTTAATTTTTTCAATTGTTACGGAAATGGTGTCACTTCTATATATATCTTAAATTGAAGCTTATGTAATATACTTAAATATGAAAAAAAAATTCGGACTTTATTCTGTTATCATGGTGAAAACGGATATCAAAATTAATAAAAAAAAAAACGATTTTTGTAAAAAATTACAATATTGAAATATTAAATATTAATTTCATATTATATTTCATTTCTATACTTAATATTTATTCATATATTACACTTATAAATCATAAAACTTGTAATTAGGATATACATAAGAAAATGGGAGATCATGTTGCTTTTGGAATAATCCATCAATTTTTAAAATTAAACACTATCTACAGATTTGCATTGAAGCATTTTTTATGATGGTGATTTTAATCACTGTCAGATATCATCTATACTGGACCCAACTATGCTACGTCCTCACTGTGCTGGGTTTTTTAATTTATTAATGTATTTATTTAAAGGTTACAAGACTTTGCACGTTTAAATTTGGCATTAAATGCGAATAAATAATGTATTTTTTTCTTATTTATATTAATTATTTGTTCTTATTAGTTATGTCTTTTTATTAATAATGTAATAAGTAAATTGTCAATGATTAATGTCAGAATGTCTCTGGGCAGACCTGGTAAAAATTTCAGATTTTAAATCAATAAATGCTGGCGGCAACGTTATTTCAGTTGTCGTAAAGCCATTATCCTTTCCATATATCTTTTGTGACAATAGTATAAAAAAATTAATTATGAATTTCAATTGAAAATACATTTTTTAGATGTCATTTTTTATTTTATTACAATATAAACCTAACATTCTATCAGTTGAATGACCAATAAGTTATATTCATCTGAGAGTACTCATAATATGCAGTATTTTTTTTTTAATTCATTAATATTAAAACATATTTTGTTATAAAATGTGTATCATTATTTTACTGTTAATATTCTATTAAAATTAAAATATATTATAAATATGGAAATTAAATTTATGTTCATAGTATTAAAGAACAGGAGCTATACGAATCGGGGATAAACAAACACTTAAACGGAAAACAAAACGGAACGTTATAGAACAATTGCTAAAAAGTAGTAATAATATTAATTAGAAACAGTATTACAGAGAATGAAAATCAGCCCTAGTGTTTTCTCTCGAGATCGTGTTAACTGGTAAAATAGTAGAGGAATAATGCATTTCAATGGATTGAAATTGATAAGAAAATTATTTGTCCTATCCTATCAAATACCATTCTAATTGATATTGCAGTACTGATAAATATTTTATCATAAAATACCGTTCATACCGAATATCGTCCCAATTTGTACGCGACTTCTATAAAGTTATCTGATTATTCAGAAAAAAATTCTCAGCTTAAATCAAGTTAAATGTTTTTATTAAAAGCAAAACTTTTTTTAATGCCTTTAGTTACCGGCGTCCAAGTTGTAATTTGGCGGTTATGTTTAACTATTGAAGTTATGACCAAAAAAATATATTTTATTTAATAATTTGTATTTTCTTGAACTGTGATTTTCATTGGACAGTTCAAAATTAAAGTATGATTAAATAAATATTAAAATTTTAATTTGATGTCGACATTCTCTTTATTAGATTATTAATTGTTTTTAATATTTATGAACTATTAATCTGGTTTAAAATTAGTTATAAGTAGTGGCATTCAAAATTCGATTTGGAATATTACCTGACATACTTCGTGTGATTAATTATAATATTGTAATTAAAATTAGTTAAGAAATGACATAGAAAATATAAAAGTTTGTAAATATATTTTTTCATTTTAATGGATACATTTAAAATTTTTTATGACTTAATTTAAAATTAGTCAATGTGGAGCTACCTAAATTCCAAAGACAATGTAAGCTGTTATTTATCAAAAAAAAGAAGATTATAAATGTTACTAGCTTCATAGTTATTGGTACTTAGATTTCTCAAGTAGAGTGTTATGGAAGTTTCTCACGAGGATCATCTTTCTATAGAATTAAAAAAGTAGTTTTTTCTTAAATTATTTCTCTGTAAATTTGAGATTTGTCTTTATCAGGGATAGAAGAATAGTTAATGTTTAGAAATGCCGTCAGGCCAACCTTTACCACCCAAAGAAAACTCTCTATTTAAACGGATTTTAGTAAGTCTTAATATTTCAATTTTTTACTATGAATCTGTCGAGTATAATATTCATTTTAAATATAAGACTCGATGTTAGTTATTCATTTTGAAAAAGTTCCAACTATTATACAAATATCAATTGTCATAGAAAATTTTTTTTTGTTAATCTAATTTACTTAAATTACTTTAGAGATGTTACGAACAGAAACAATACAAAAATGGATTGAAATTTGCCAAACAAATTCTTTCAAATCCAAAATATTCAGAACATGGAGGTTAGTTTTGATAATTTTATTTAAACTAAAAATAAATATAACATGATGATAGCCTATAGTCAAAACTAGTATTTACAATTTTAGTATTTTACATACTATAAAATTTAACTTTAAAATATATTTTATAATGTACATTTTATTTATAAAAATATTAATTAAGTAATTTTTTTAGAAACTTTGGCTATGAAAGGACTTACTCTAAATTTTTTGGGTCGTAAAGAAGAAGCTTATGAACATGTTCGACGTGGCCTTCGAAATGATCTTACTTCACATGTATGTTGGCATGTGTATGGGTTATTACAAAGATCTGATAAAAAGTGAGTTGAAAGTATAATATAATATAAAATCCTTCCATTAAAATATTTAACTTTTTTAAATTTATTAGTATTTCATTAATACATAATAATTTTCATGTATTATAATATTCTATTTAATAGTAAAACTACTTGATATTTATTCTTGTCAAAATATGAACTAATCATTTGGTGTTTAATGTGTGTTTTCTCATATCTATTTCATGAAAAAGTTCTCTATAAGAAAAATATGTTAAATAACTTTTAAATTATTTTGTTACTACTGTGACTTTTTACAATTTACCATAATTTGGCTACTATCATAATATAACGGTTTCTTTTACTAGTTAAATTTTTATTTTAATCTTAAAGTAAAAGTCATTTAAAATTATTTCTGATAATTTGTTTGCAAAAATGTTTGTTATATATATTTATTTATGTACAATTTTGTTTTTTGTTTAGGTACGATGAAGCAATTAAATGCTATAGAAATGCTCTAAAATGGGAAAAAGATAATATTCAAATTTTAAGAGATTTATCATTACTGCAAATACAGATGAGAGATTTAGAAGGTTATCGAGTAAGTTTTTTTTTATTTAAATTATTAATAGAATTGTATTATACATTATATCAATTAATTTTATAGAAAAAAACTAGTCCTTTTTTTTTTTGTTATACACAGCTTTGTATATCATTGTTTTAGGATACAAGATATCAATTATTTATATTAAGACCTACTCAAAGAGCATCTTGGATAGGTTATGCTATGGCATACCATCTTTTAAATGATTTTGATATGGCTTTGAAAATTCTTGAAACATTCAGAAAAACACAAATGGGTTCTGTAAGTAATATAAGATTTTTTTACTCAAATACATTATTTTATTAAAATCTTCAATTAAACGATATGTTTAGGCACCCTTTGATTTTGAGTATAGCGAACTTCTCTTATACCAAAATATGGTTTTACAAGAGTCTGGTGGCACAATGGATGCAATAAAACACCTAGATACCTACAAAGAAAATATTTTTGATAAATTAACAGTTTTAGAGATTTATGGTAACATATTTGCTATTTTTAAGTTGAACTATATCAAAGTTTGGTATTATTTGACATTATTTTAAATAGTTAATATTCTATATTACCATAATTTGTTTTTTAATATCATATGAATTATATGTTGTTTTAATACAAGTTATTTATTTTTAGGATCTTTGTACTTACAAATAGGAGAATATCAGTTAGCAACATTATGTTATGAAAAATTACTCAAGAGAAATCAAGAAAATACTCTTTATTACTTAAAAATTAAGGAAGCTAAACAATTGGAAAATGATGAAAGTGTTTATTTAATGCTCTGTGATTATAGGCAAAAGTTTCCTAAAGCTCTAGCACCTAAACGGTTATGTTTAACTTTTGCTTCGGGTAATTTATTGAAAAAATCATTATGAAAATACATACTTGCACTTTTTATATTTTTGTTTTATTTAGTAGTGTATTTTATATTTCTACTATTAGTATGAATTGTATAATAATTTTTATTATTATTTAATATATATTTTATATGTAAATGTTTTAGGTAATTCATTCCGAAGTGAAGTTGATTCCTATTTAAGAGCAGGTTTTCATAAAGGTGTTCCGCCACTTTTTGTAGATTTACGTTCTTTATATAAAGATAAAATTAAAGTACAAATAATTACCAGTTTATTGGAGTCTTATGTAAATAATTTAACTAAGTTTAATTCTTTTGATAGTGATGGTAAGTTTGATTTTTTTATATTTATCAATTTATATTTTCTTGCTTATATTATAATTATATACTTATGTAACAATCATAAAACATTAGAAACAGCAGTAAAAGAACCAGCTTCTGCATTGCTTTGGGTATACCATTATCTAGCTCAACATTATGATTACCTCAATGATATGCAAAAAGCATTGACTTATATTGACATGGCCATTACGCATACTCCCACATTAATTGAATTATTTGTTACTAAAGGAAGAATTTTTAAGGTAATTGACTATTACTTGCTATTAAAACTAAACATTGTGTGTTAAATTTAAAAAAGTATTTATCTAACAATAATTATAATTGTAGTTTAATTATTTACAGTAATTTAAAGTTGTAATAAAAGGGTTGAATACTTAATATTTAAAAAAAAATTGATTTTATGGTATAACTATCATAAAAATAAATGATGAAGCTGTGGAAAATTAGTTTAATAAAACACTTTTATGAGTAGTTTCATAAATGAAAGTTAAAATATTTATCAACCCTCAAATATAATTTTATCTAAATTAGTTATATCATACTTAATTTGTCTTCATTTATAATTAGCACGCAGGTGATGTGTATGAAGCTTACAAATGGTTAGATGAAGCACAAGGACTGGACACAGCTGACAGATATATTAACTCTAAATGTGCAAAATACATGCTTCGTGCAAATCTAATTAAAGAAGCAGAAGATACATGTTCTAAGTTTACTAGAGTATGTATTCATAAAATAATAATGTTATTTCAGATTTTTAAGAAGTATACATAGTTTTGTTAAAATTAATGTTATTTTTATTTCTGTATTGAATTTTATATTTTATTAAAAATTTTTTAATTAAAACAGTTGAACTAATACCATAACCTAACTTATTGATTTTTCTTAATTTTGATTCTCAGAATATTTTATTGAAAAAAAAGATACTATAAAAATCTAGTATTCTTATAATAGATTAAAAAATTGATGAACTTTAATTTTAGGAAGGAGTATCGCCTATGGAAAATCTTAATGAAATGCAATGTATGTGGTTCCAAACAGAATGTGCATTATCTTATCAAAGACTTGGAAAGTGGGGTGAAAGTTTGAAAAAATGTCATGAAGTAGATAGGGTAATTACATTAAAAGCTAATTTTAATTAATTATAATTTGTTCAAATTTTGATCAATCTTTTTTAATGTATATTTTTATTTATGTAGCTTAACTTAGTTTCATTAAAATTATAAATCTAATTTCTTAACTAATAATATTAAATTTTTACTCATTACTATATAGCATTTTACTGAAATCATCGATGATCAATTTGATTTTCATACATATTGTATGCGTAAAATGACATTACGGTCTTATGTGAGCTTATTGCGGTTAGAGGATGTTTTGCGGTCACATCCATTCTATTTTAGAGTTGCTAGATGTGCAATTCAAGTTTACTTACATTTACATGACAAACCGCCGACTGATTCATCATCTAATAACGAATTAGATACAGGTAAGAATAATTTATTTTAAATAATAACACATTATAGTTATTTTTTGTGGTAAATTAATATTTTTAAAGACTAGTTAAGTTATCATATTATAAACAATATGAATTTTTATATTATAAATTGTAATTAAATGGTGATTCTAGTTTCCAATAACTATTAAAAAATTGAACTTAAAAATAACACTACTTTTAAATAGATTCATATTATCATTAATATTGCGTATATCATACATGTATATATATTTATGTATGTGCGTGTGTATGGAATGCACTTTTACTGACCTGCACTATATATCCTCAATTCTATTTATTAAAATGCTTATAATTCAATAAGTACTTATATTAAAGTTATTATCGACCCATCAACATATTTTTGTAAGAAAATGTTTACATTACATATATAATATACATTGTATATATCTCTTGTATTGAAACATGTATAATTCAAATATTTTTTTTGATCAATCTGAAAACTTGCTAAAATTAATATACTGTTGCAATATAATAACAATATTTCTTTAAAATACATCTTATACTATCAAGCACTTCAAGCTATAAAAACTTGTACAAGTTGCAAGGACTCTATTAAAACTTCATTTTAAAATTATTATTATATTATTACATCATATAAGGAGTTGTTACTGTTATTAATATTTTAATTAATTATAGAATAGAACCTTTTCAAGAGAGCTTTTAAAAAAAGAAAATGCTATTAGAAATAATTGGGTTATAATGTTTGTAATATAATATAAAAGTATTATTATATTATGTTACCGTGGATTTTTTCATAATATTTTCTAAATTTGCATTTAATATTGAATAAATTTATTTTATAAAGTCCAGCCCTAAAAAATAATTTTAAATAAATATTCCTTCCAATATTAATCCTTAGTAAATTTTTAAAAGCCTGCAACTCTAATTATTTACTACCTTTCAATTATAATAAATCAAAATAAAAACTTAATTTTAATTTATTTGGGAAGCAATTTTTAATCATATATTGGAGATGATGATATTAATATACATTTTTTAATGATTTTTAGAGATAATTAGTAGCGTTTCAACCTTTTTAATAATAGTAATAATAATATATTTTCCAAATTCTTACTGTTTTAGAATAAGAATAAAAGTTTTAATATAAAAAAATTGAGTTGTACTTAATCCAGAGTGATTGTTTAATTATGACTCGCACAATATCTTAAAAATTATAACACATAATATAATTTTTCCTTATAGATGTAGTATTTTACATTTTATAATTTCATGAAAATAATTGTTCCTTACCCCTTACTTTCCCTTTTACAATTGTATCAACATAAGCTTTCAAGTGAAAACATGTATATTTAAACAGCTTACAAATAAGAGAATGATTTTTTTTCTTTCAATGAATTCTAAAACAGCCAAGGAGAACTAGCTTTAAAGTCTTACATTAAGTAAATGATCTAACTAAAAAAATAACTGGTTATAAATGACTTTTGGTCCTGTAGTTTAAAAAAATATTAGCATTTTAATACAAGGTTGGGAGGAGTAATGTAGTTCATAAATACTTTAAGATAAAAATAAACGACCCATACTTCGCTTTTAGTCTTCTATTAAAATCTACATTATGTTGCTCTTCAACATTCTGTTTTCTACACAGTAGGCCATATTAATTTTGTCTGTTTTTATAATTTCCAGTATTACTCAATTAATTTTTTTAAATCTATTTTTAAATATTTTGAAATATTTATCTAAAATTTATATGTTGCATGTTACATTTAAAATATATTTTTTGTGATCTAAACCAATATTCTGGTATATAAATCTATTAATTCTAATTCATTATTTTTAGTTTTAAATGAGTGGTTATTTTATAGAAATTAATAAGTAAAATTAATTTGACTTAATCACACCAAAACCATCTAACGTTAATTTGGAGTATATTAATGTATTTTAGTTTACTAACACACAGACATAAGTAAAAAAAACTTTTGTATTATTGGTCAAACCTGCTTATCAGTATGTATTTTAGTATGTTAAATTCAAGTTTTAAGTTATTTAAGCTCATACATCTTAAAAATTAAACAAATTGCAAAAAGTAAATGAAAAATTTTTCGATATTTGATTTAATGTTCAAATTAGTTCAATGAATATATGAAGTTTATTAAATTTCATCACGATTAGGTAATATAAAATTGCAATAAAACATACCTATAAATATCAGATACTTAAGGCATGTTTACTAGATTAATAGATCTAACGTTCTCATATTTTAGCTTAAAAGTAAAGTTGAGAAAGTATTAATTTTATTATGATTTGTTTTTTTCTTGTATTATCACTAATATTTGTTTCTCACTAGACCGATTTTTCTCAATTATATGTTAAAAATCACTAATTGTATTTAATTGAATATATTATCTTCAAAAATTGAAAAAATATTCCTTGCTCCCCATAAATGTGGAAAATCTCCCCAAAAATACAATATAAAACATTGGCAGATTTTGATATATTTTTAAAAAAATTTTGACTTAAAAACACTATAATTTTCAAAAAATGTATGAATCAAACCAACTTTTTTGTTTTAATACCTTTTTTTTTTGTTTTTTGTTCATATGAAATATATATATATATATATAAATAATATTGCTTATGGAAAAAAAAAAAATTAATATTTGCATTAAAAATTAACTTTAAATATGTTTAAAATTATAGTTTTTATAAAACTGTTAAAAAAAAAATTGACTTCACTACTTGTCTTTATGTGTAAACATGTATTAGAGTTAAAGAAAAGATATACAATTTTCATAAAAATTTGGTAAATATACTTATATTGTTAAAAAAAAAATTTCTAAGGAATGTGTAATACAATTTAGTATTTAATCTAGTAATTTCATATATGTATAATAAGAGAATGACTGGGGACAATATTTTTGGTAATTTGATACATTTTTGCAATACTATACTATAATAAGGCTGTGTATGAGCCTTAATAAATTTTGAATTTATTTTCAAAAATTTTAAATACATGGGTCTGATTAAAAGTATAGATTATTTTTATACGTGCATGTGCATGTTTGCTTGTTTTTTTTTCTAATTATTGAGAATTTTGATATTTTTACTCAACATTCTTAATATAGTTAGTTAAATATTCTTATTTTATAATTTGTCACTAAAAGATTTTTCTATGGTTAATATTAATGCTTACCTTTTACAATTACTTTCCCATTTAGTTTAACATGAATAAAATTTAAGATTGTTGTATTTTTCAACTGATTAATTTTAATATCAAAACATTTGTTTACAACTAGTATACAAAAAAACTTACTGAATTCTAATAATTACTTAATTTAAAAAATCAATAATATTAGTAATCTTAATAAATTCATATTTATTAATTTAAATAAATAGTTGTATCATAAATTAATGAAGTGTATCATTGTCCATTATGACACAGTAGTTGAATTATTTGACTAAAAGTTAATTTTTACATAAAGTGATACTAACTATAAAATATTACAATAATTTAGTTTCACTGTTTTTAAATTGAAGAACTGTATACAAGTAATATAACACATATGTACAAAGTATTTATATTTGTATACTATTCGTATTTTTCCATTAATCAAATACATAAAAGTAGATTTAGATTTAATTATGTTAAATTAATTAAACTTAAATAATAAAATAGCTTAGGTAATTTTAATAGCTGTACATAGTATTACTTAACACAGTCTTTTCTTTAACAGTATTAAACTTTTGATTGTATTAAGTTATAAATGTTTTTTTTTTGCCATCTATCTCTAGTATTTTCTTCTCCACGTACATAGTACTAAAAATGGAAATACAGAATTTAACTATAGTTCAAACAATTTGTCATTGAACATTTCTTTTATAATACTGAAAATTATTATCATGATTTAAATTGTATTGTATCGGATGACCAGTATGTGTTGACATAAAGAAAAAATGACTGCCGCTATTACCCGGTAAGTTATATGAAACGACGCGATTTACTGGTCGTTGTGTCGATACTACGTTTATGTACTCAGCATCCGGATCTTTGGCCGGCAGTGGTTGTTTGTAATTAACTTGGGTATCGCCTATCAAAGAAACAGGCCTTTGAGTAAAATATTCGGCGTCTTGATTTCTAGTCGGTAATGGAAATTTATAATTAACCCGTACATCATCAACAAGAGACGTCTTAGGGAACTTAATGTATGGTCTCTGGAACCCTTCTTTTAGTCTATTTCGTTGTGGTATTCTGTAGTTATTTAAAGGGTTTTCCAGGTACAAGTTGTGTATTTGTTGTACGCCATTGGCATATGGCCGTGGCGTCGTACTGATCACTTGCACCACTGGCTGCTGTTCGTTATATGGCAACACGTTTATATATGGACGCTGTGTTGTAACTGACTCCGTATTGGTTTTCGTATATTGCGGCCGTGGAGTGTTTTTCTGGAAATTTTTAATTGGCTCCCTATTGTAATAATTGTCAAATTGTAGTGGTTTTGCCGTCGAATGTTCCGGTCGTTGTGTGACTGATTCTGACGAATATGGTTTTATTGTAGCTATTACGAACTCGGAGTTATCGTTGATCGCTGGCAATGGTTGTTGATAATTTACTCTGGTATCGTCAGCTAGGGATATGTGCGCCAGTGGCGTCACATATTCAGCATCCGGATTTTTCGAAGGCAAGGGATATCTGTAATTGATTTTGATGTCATCGAAAAGAGGAGTCAGTTGTGTTACTTGTTCGACTTGCTCTGTCGAAGGCAAAGATTGTTGCTGGTAGTCATACTGCAGCAAAGATGGTTGTGACGACAGGTAAGGCCTGACGGTCATCGACTGGTGTTTCAATTTGATTTTGGTCGGTGAGCATGGCGTAGATATTTTAATAATTTCGGCGTCTGGGTTAATTGTCGGTCTTGGGTTTTTGTTGTTGACTATTGTATCATCGATGAGCGATACTTGTTTGGGCTTGTATGCGTTGTAATTTTTAGGCGGTGACATTGAAGTAACTTGAGCTGCTTTTTCAGCTTTTACTTTTTGACCAAAAAGAGCAAAATATTTTTTCGTATTTTCGTCCACCAGACCGGCGTCGTCCTGCGTGAAAAACGCGTGGTACGGGTTGTCCGTGGCATAACTAGGCCTGTCCGTCTGATAACCATAGCCACCGTAGTCTTCAACCACGTCAGAATAATGTTCCACTTGTGGCTGTAATACAGGCTTTTCTACGTATTTCGGTTTTGACCATTCGGGGCGATTAACTCCTCTTAATATTTCATAATTTTTTTGTTTTTCTTGATGTTGTGGCGAAGGTGTTGAAGATGGTACACGAACTGTAATTGCAGGTTTGGGTTGAGGTTGATGAGGGTTTTTGTATTGAGGAGCCGTGTATTCGTACTGATAATAAGGTTTGGTCGTTGTCAATTTATCATGAGTAGTCTGGGGACGCGAGTTAGGTCGTCGGCTGACAACCTGTGCATCGAGATCGGCGTACTTATTGTGTTTGCTTGGTTTCTCTACGTCGTAGCTGTTATCGTACCCACCACCTCCCGCTAAACCGTCATAATAGTAATACTCGAGACGGCCGCCGATAGGATCCACAGGGAATAGTTGCTGTTGGTTATAATCGTTTTCTACGTTGTCATCGTAATAGTAGCCTACAGAATTATCCGTAGTAGTAACGATGTTTTTTATCTGTAAAGGATTGTCCACGTAGTTGCCTGCATCGTACATCGATATTGGTATCCAATTGTTATCGTGCAATATCTTCACGTTATGAATTACCTTGGGCATTTTGAAGTATGGCTTTTCATTGAATCTGGGAATGGTTTTACTCGTGTCCAAGTTAATTTTTTTCGGTTTATTGAGAGGAGCGAAAAAATTCGGCGGAGGCGGCAATACGATTCCGGGTACAAGAGGACCGGGCGGTACCCTCGTTGAGTTTTCTTGGTGATAAACAAAATCATATTTTGGCGGATAGTATAATGACTGGTCGTCTTCGTCGAACGTCCCATTTGATGGTGGCGGAGGTGGCAAGAACGGTTGGAATTGTGATTGATAAGGAGGTCTCCACGCTGAACCATTTACCTTCACGAAATCTACCGGACCCCCGTCTTCCAATTGTATGGGGAATGGGGGTGGTATTTTCGGATTGTCCGGTATTTTTACTTGCCTGGGCGGTGCTATGTAATTATCTATGTACGGCCAATTAACACTAGTTGTCTGTGTGAAATTGCCTCCTTTTAACACGAGCAGGTGGTTTTCGGCTAACCATATCTCGTCCTTCACGAGTCCTCCTAGACTGTTGACGTTGTCCTTAGGAACTTCAGGATTGATACTGTAGCTCAAAACCCCCGGCTTCGGCGGCCGACCATCGCTGAACAATTCTTTATGTATCAGCCCGTACTTACCTTCCAATATTTGTTGTGTGAGCGTTTTTTCATCGTCGTTGCTCGATTCCACTGAACTCCCTTCCGCAGTATTTGGTTCAGTTTCTCCGTTGGCCGCAGCTGGGGCCAACATTTCTTCCCTGTACAAGGGATCCGCAAATACGGTTGTCAGCAACAATACTTTTAATATCACATAATATGGCAGTTGATACATCTAAAACACGTTTGAATGATAATTAGTCTTCATTATTGTTTTACATAATAAAAATAATCAAAATGCAGGTTTCGACCGGAATTACGCGCTTATGAGTTTTGATTTAATTATTGTTTGCCTATTTTGTTGTGTAACGATTTTTCATATTTTTTAAGAAAAATTTGCTGTCGTCATTTTAATTGCAATGTTTCTTGCAACCATTTGACGCGTTACTTATTTTATGAAGACAACAATAATTTACCCATCATATTTGTATACACATCGTATATACGTTACAGAATCTGTAACATCATTTCTATACGCTTAATCCGCTAGTTATCATATAATAACCGAGAGTTTACGCACTAAAAAATTCAATAATCATATGCTTACGCTCTTATTTGGTAATTATTTCTTAATGGCACACGTCTTATTTAAAAGTTCTAATCTAATCGATAGGTAACTGTGTTAAGAATTTCAATTATATATATAAAATTATAACCTCTAATTATTAACGAGTAAAACTGCTAAGTAAATTATTTTAAACGTTTACGCTTTTAGTTGTTGTTCAGTAACAATGTCGTTTACAAAATGTTCGTATGATTGAAACATTTTTTAATTGTTTTTGAAGTAGGTGTCTATTTAACGAAACCACAATTATAGCACTATCGCGTATGCAAGGAGTAGCTGCAGTATTGATATGGCTCTGAATACATTTAGCTGATGTATCAGCTAATTATCGATTTTAAATGGTTAACCACAGTAATGATTAATTATATGCTCAATGACAACAACTAATGGTGTAGGGTGTCGAACGACAATTTATCACCGATGACGTCGCAAGATCAATAGATTTCTCTTTTTTATCAAAAACTAATTTTCCCTTAAATAGCCAATTGAGAACGTTTAAATGATATTGAAAAACAATTTATGTTGTTTTAAAAATAAAACTTCAATTAAAACGAATATTGATTAAATGCGTGACGACATTGGCTTCGTGCTTTTACTTAATGCAGTTCTATTTTTTCGCTCATTTCATAATAGTATTGTAATAAGTCCTATAATATGTACTTTGTTATATTCTCTATTATTATCTACGCCTATAAGCTACTTCAGAGGTACATGTCGGAATTTCATAGACAAAAGAAGTTTACAACCGGTTAACCTTGCTCTGATACAAGACACGACTTCGGTGCCGTTTGACCTACAGCAATGTCCATAGTGCACTTATTATTGTCCAGACGGAACGCCCCGAATCACTTTAATTTTCTATAGGGATCGGATAAATGCGAATTTCATAAGCTTTTCACGCCAGAATGTGAAAATGAGAATTACTGTTTCTTGTACGAGCCAAGAGAATATCGATAAAGTTTTCTTTCTGAACCTGCTACTTATTAATGTTGACTATAAAATATTTGTGGGTGATACTTGGGACAAATTTATTTAGACTAAATGCTTTGCTTTCGTAACGAGTGCGGTGTACATGTTCAATGTGTTTCTGTTTATCACACTTTGTCTTGCTCGACTGTAAATAAAATTGCTTTTTTAAATGAGGGTTATGCTTATGTGTTTATAAAATTACAAAGTAAACAGTTACCCACGCGAAACTTGTGTATAGTTATATACTTAAATATACAACTGACCGGTTTCTTATGTCAATGACTTTCAATTTCTGCACTAAATGTCTAATTTCGTAATTCTAATGAGTTGGATTATATATTTTCACCATATAAACTTTTATCATATGTTGTGTTCAGACACTATTGTTGCTGTTGCTCGTGAAAAAACTTCAAAAAGCTTTGTGTGCATGTTGTACACTCTCGAGTAATCGAATCAGCGCTTAGAAATCGTATAAACCCGTTACAAATACAGCGGATTTGTTAACTTAAATTTTATTTTCATACACGAGTTACATCTGAAAATGTTACATAACTTGAATAGTTTTATTATTTTTTCGCGTCGCAACAATCATATCTAATTCACATGTCCTCGTATGTGTCCAACTGTAATCATTTGAGTAATTGTCAGTCTTTTATAATACTGCGCATTTCTATTGATTTTGATATAACGGTATTAATTTGTAGTTTATTCAGTTTTTGTATAGGTCCTTTCCAATCCTATAATGCATTATAATTGTAAAACATTCCGATGAGCCATAAATGGTTTCCGTCTACTAATAATTACAATCTGCTTAGTTTATTTTTTTGAGTTTCTTCTTTTGAAGAACTTATTAATTTTATCACCGCCTTTATTTCACACGGAGGATGAAGAATACCTTGAACAACAATGCGTATACTGGGCGTTAATTGAATAAATCCAAAATAGCCACGTGTGGTGTTTATTATGAAAATATTTTTTTTTCATATTATAACGTGTGATTTTTGTAGTAAATTTCGAATTTTTATCGACGGCTGTATAAATATAAAAAAGTTATGACCCCCCCCCCGTATCAATTACTGATGGTTAATCTTATACAAATTAGATAATAAATAGATGTATATTTCAATCTTTATTCGAAAATTTCTATACAATATCTTTTTATAATAAATTGATAAATAATTGGTAATAAATGTCAGCCGGTAATGAATTATTCAGTTATAGAATAGGTAGTATTTTAATTGTGATAGTGAGAGCAGTTTATTTTTATTGATTCGCGTAAATTTAATATTTTGCTCATATTAATTTTGAAATTTTTATTTCTATAAAGCGTACTAATTTACACATTGTCCATGTAAAATCCGACTTCGGCCTTAATGCATGTAAATTATTTTAAGAAAACTAAATTATTATGTACCTACGTAATTGGTCATAATATCCTTTTCAAATAACATTTCCTCATCCGATTAATATAATGATCTGTATAATAGTCGTAAAAACTTTGGGGCGACAACCTACTCGAATGTCGTTTGCGTATTAGGTATCGTAAAAGTGAAATCAATATTAATGAACGCCAAAGTTACTTTGAGTAATCATTAATCTTATTGCATGTATACTCTCAATTAGTGTAACCTAATTCAATAATAACACTGTAATTCAAAAATTAATCAGAAATATCAATTTTAATGTCAATGGTACGAGTCGAATATTATTTTACTAGAAAAGTCCGGATTAGATATGTTCGTCATGTCGGAAAAGAAAGAAATATTAATGTCTTTTCGGTTATAATTCTGTCATTTTTTAGCTAAGCTCATTATACGATAAGTACTAACCGTATTTTCAAGATTTCTAAATTTTCCTATGAGACATTCAATGTATTTTGATGGTAGATTTACCGACAATTAGTTATGGTTATGACTCAAATTATTTTAGTTTGCTTAAAAATAACAAATATTATCTAGCCGGATGCCTTTCATAGTTGTTCACAAAAATTACTAACAATGAAATTAAAATTTTATCACTTGTTTTATGGCTACTCGTATAATAACAATATTGTTTTGTTTGCATTGTAAATCGTCCTTTACTTGATATTGATTTTAATATAGTTTAATGAAAATGTATTTATTTAGTTAAATTTCACTTTTATACGAATATACTTAAAAGGATATTTCAAATGTATGAATATTTATGAATATGTTCTTGTTTATTCAATTCGTGAATAATAATTCTTTCAATTTCTACAAAATCCACAATATTAACCTATGAATATTATGTTTTCTTAATTTCTTATTTATAAGCGATTGCGTGATGTGTTGAGTATTCAAATTAACAACTTTTCTAAAGTAACAGACTGGCGTTAATATAATGTCAATATTAATTGAAATCATAAAAACTTTTCCCTATCTTAACTATAATCGATAAAATGTATTTTATGATAATTTCAATTCAGGGATTTATCAAAATTATTATCTAATATATATATATATATATAAAATCGTATTAATTTATTCAAGTCGTGTTTTTTAATATTCAACTAATCATAATCGTTCAAACCTAGTCGGAAGGTTTCTTCTCGTGCACTTATTAATTAATAATTTGATTTCAACGAACAAGTTAAATATTAACTGTAACGTACAACTCTTATTAAAAACTAGAAAAATTATTTTGATCTATTTATCTTGAAACAAATCGTATAAAACACCATTGGTTAATTTTACACGAATTTTCTAAAAAGCGTGTGATACCAATGCACTCGACGTTAAATTTTAGCGCGCAGTTTTAAAATAATAAAATATAAAATTGTCCAAACCTTTAAAATAAGTAGATGTATATTCCGAATAATCAATAATTGAAGTGCCCATCACACAAAAGTCATACACACCATTTAACTCGGAATTCAAAACCGAACCGATTTTTGAAAACGTGCGTCATACTACGTCCACTTAGAGTACCACGACTTCACAACGCATACTGAACACATGAAATGCGCGTAGAGTACTGATAGCATAATTCATTCATACGTTTCATCGGAAGGAGTAGATAGAACCCTCTGGTCTTGGGAAAGTAAAGCGTCGTCAGCTTGTCAGTCATAATCTTGTTACAATTGTTTAGTGTTTGTATTTAAATATAAGATTTTACAACATTTCCAAAATGATTTTTACTCAAAATAATTTCCCATGATGAAACAGTAGCGTTAAGTTATATTATTTACAATAAGACTTTCTCAATAATGTGTTTGTATTTTCGCCGTGAAATGATTTTTAAACAAATTAAAATTTATTACTATTTCTTCTTTATACATACTTTGTTTGCGATTTTCATTAATGACGTTCTATAAATATTATCAAATAAAATTTATAATACACTTATATAATTTTATTTTTATATTCTCTATGTAAATTTACTTATGTAGCAACTTAAACGGACTATTATTAATTTTATTTTATATTTTAGTAGTCCGCTTAAAAAAAAATTCTGATATCGAAATTTTTAACCAAACTGGCGAATTTTATTTGCGAGATTCTAATATAATGAGTTAAATTACAATAGCAATTGAGACTTCATATATAGATAGACTTTGATACAAATTGTAGCGTTTTATGAACTATAACACTGTAATTTATAAACCGATAATAATTTTTAATGATTTTTGCACCTTTTTATGACGTTTCCAATAAACTGAGCATAAAATCACCTTCTGTTTTAACCAAGTTGTTACCTATGTTAATGTATTATTTTTTCAGCCATTAACAGATTTATTACTCTTAGTCTTGTTTTTTTATTGTATCACACTTATACTTACACGTTGTTAATATAATATTTTATATAAACGTAATGAATCGTGCCGTTGTAGTCTGCTGTATTTGTGGCGATGAATAACATGCATAAGAGTAGAGTCTGTGTTCATTTTGTCATTTAATAATGTAATTTTGCATTTGAATAATATATATTGTATACTGTTCGCGAGATGTATAACTTAATTAAGTCGAGTTTTACTTCCTCGAGTAGCAATTCATTTAATTCGTGACATGATCCTCCTTCTCTGCTTCATAAGTACAACGATTGGCGATTCATGTTAAAGTATACTTTTTAATTTATCACGCACGTCATACGTTTAATATTTTATTTCGTCTGAGCATTTCAAAACATTGTTGTTTATATTCGGTATAAATGATTTCAAATATAATTTCTTCTGTTAGCCCTTAGGTAGTGTGACTATTGATTAGCCAAGAAAGTAATATTCATGAAAACAATAGTAGAGAATTGGTAAACAATGGATCAAAACAAATTCATAGAGAAAGACCAAATTATGACATGTGTTTGACTGTCATAACATAAAAATATAAACAATAACAAATACGCGGTGTAGTTTTGTTGTTTCTACTTGAATGTCGCGCATTATTATACGATGACCAGAGTTCTCTAACTGTAACATATTATTATGTACTTGCACTTTATGTATAGCGTGTTGATACTGTTGTATGGACTATATTATAATCATGTAGTGCTCTATTTATTTTATAATATTTCATATCAATCAAAAGGCGTTTATATAGGCGAGTTTAAACAGGAGACTTTCATGCGTTACACAATATCCCTAAGCTTAGGGCTGGGCCGATTAAGAATATGCCGTGTAACGTGCAGATATATCAACACAAGATAAACATCGTCAATATTATTTTACATATATTGTCATAATACGTATTATAGTTTTTATTTTTACTTTTTTTCAACGCTCCAATAATTTTTGTTAAGTTCACTTCTCTTTTAAAATAGCCAGAACGCGCGGTTTGGATTCTTGAGGCCTGACGATTGATTAATATTTTCATTATACAGCCGACTACTATGGTATATTCTGCTAAATGAATAATGCAACGAGTCCAAAATATATGACATAATTAATGCTCAATAATGATGTTATTATTAATGTATAAATCTTAGTAGCAGTCCGGTAGAAATGCTGATATTGTATAATGCTCTAGATTCATAGCTTTAAGTGGACATTCTTACGTATATTTCAATCATAACAGTTATCCGAATAATTGCACGTTTTCGTTATAAATGTGTTCTTTTGAAAATAAATGACCGTAACTACTATTCTCATAGGACCGAAGGCTACGTAAATTATTATTTATTATCTATTTGTCAACATTCAATTTAGATGGTTTAATCGTTCATATGTGAGGTACAATTAATGTTTTTTTTTTTTTTTACTACTCTGATATAATTTATGATTTCAACCGGTATCGTCCGAGTCTGGTGATTTATTTCGTTCGATTATGATTCGCTTCCCTTTTAACAACACTGTCTTTTTAGGTTATGTAACTTTTTTTTTTACAATTTTCAAATTGTATGCAAATAAATTTTCTAATGTGTATTTTTACGTTTTCGCGTTAAGCGCATTAGCATTTTGCTCTTGGAATTTATGTTTTTTTTTTCAACATTACAACAGACGTATAACGGGCGAAAAAACCACAAAACAGGTGTGGTGAAAGTTTTACAAGAGGGCGCGGTAACTTTAAACTAGAGCAACTACCAGAATCGTGCAATGGGCCCCGAGCTATACACGCGACCTGCCTCCTTCCTTTTTTTTCTTATTTTGTTTTTTTTTAATCTCGGTGTGTGTATCTCGTTACAATGGTCAGCTCGATTTTCTACGTGTAATTGGCTATTTTCATGGTGTATTGTAATGAATCTGCGTGTGCTACCATTCTGCAAGACGGATGTGATCTAGAATTTGATATGCAACGCCGGTGTATCATTTTGCATCATGGAGGAGAGAGGGTACGGCGTATAAAAAATAATATCCGAACCGGTAAATATTTTCTGAAGGAAAATTTTATTAGTCACGTTTGACGTTATTTCTGAAATAGAATCAGATTCTAATTTGGATACCGTATTTCTTATATAAACATAAATTTGTGGTAATTTATGCATAACAACCAGTATGTTATGACATTACGTGCGTTCGCGAAAGAAACGTCCGGATACGTACCTATTTTTTGTGCATGGAAACATACAGATCCGCGTTCTTGATCACTTACTTGACTCTGTTATGACGCACGACAACTTAAGATTTTTTAAAGATTAATTTTTTATTAGATTTTAACGTGAATCAGTTATTTTCGACTGATGTTATTAAAAGAATAAATAAGTATTATTTTCTTCGACAGGACTTTAGATCGTAGAACTTGATGATGAGTAAGATTGGAATTTTTACCGCACGTTTCTTATTTTTTATTTGACCTTTTTGCGTCCGTCATTAAACTAAAATTTCATCGAATAGTCGAAGCGCGTTAGAGTTGATCGAGTCAATAATTCGCTTTAATATAAATTCAATCCATCGAGTATTGCACGGATTGAAACATACTTATTTGTACAAATTTTTTAATACTTTTTTAAGCGTAATTTTGAACACAAGTGCTTCGGATAGAGCACTTAAAACTTCTAATTGCTATGTGGAGCGTAACGGAGAAATGTCCAGTGTACTAACCTACTTGAAAGTCTTTTAACCAAATAATCAAAATACCATAAGTAGTATACGTTATTCGGAGTACGAGGAAAATTCCATCTTGACTTTTTGGAACGCATTCAGAATTTTCCCGTAACATTACTGGCAATATATTTTTGATTCGTCTCGTGCGATATGGTTAGGCACCCGCCATGAATGTACAAAACATAATAATATCGTGACCGTTATCAGATTGAACAAATATCATTAATTAAGTTAATCAGACAGAATCAGCTTTTATCTTCAAATATGAAGAGCATGTCATCGTGTGAACCACTTTCCAATATGTTGTTTTTAACTTTAATGTGCTGGAGATATTAATTGTTTGTGTTTCTTTACAGAATTTATTATAATACTAGTACTAATGTCCGATACACACCCGAGAAAACGCCTTTTTTCGCAATAGCGTCATTACTTATTAGTGTTAATTAGAATACTACGAAAATAGTAATCTAACACTTAAAACTCGTCACGATCCGTCTTATTTCATTTCTAATTGTGCCACACCGACCGTATAATGTCCCTCGTATACATGTTGTAGCAAATATTTATTTATCAAACAAAACGAAAAAATTAGTTCTCTCAATTCACTTAAAACGTTTCACATCGCATTTTAAACGATGTTCTCATCCCGCGAAATCTTGAGAAATTCAAATTATTTGTCCATTGTGTGTTAGGATGAGTTAAATGTTTAATTACTAAGTAAATATCTGTCATATTTAATGTTTCTTTATCAAGGTTAAACGCGTATTTGTTACTTTTTTCTACTAACCTTAAGTATAAATTCTGTTGTTTTTTTAATACATTTTACTCATTGACATTCGAGTGCACAAAATAATTGCATGGTAAAATGCATTTGGAAAAATTGTCTTTCAAAACTAAATTCGACTGAAATGTCGAATCTACTTTCCGTGGGTTATTCTGAAAAAAATATAAACCGTTACAAAAGTTTATCACGCTTATTTGCAATGGCAATCACGATTAACTCGATAGCATAGCTTAATATAACAATTAAACAAGATAATAAATTATCATACGAATAATATGAAATATTACGACTTGATGAATGACGTGTGCACGTACTTCCGTACAGCTAAGGTACTTTTTATTCATTATGACTTTTTCCACTCTCCACTGGGACCCTAAACCGAATTAAGGATTATTGATATCCGATAGACGCGAGTCGGACTCTTTACTTCCGACAGACAAGAGGTAAAACAAACTGTCGGGAACATCAAACGCATGATCAATGGTTTATTAAAACAAGCATCGTTGTGTTGTGATCACGTGCCGGGCCCCGCGGCAGTTGCCGTTTAATGCCCATGAATATCATTATCATAATGTGACGATAAATCGACAACAGAAGCTACTCTCTTCTCGTGTGTATCAGTTGGCGTACGTGTCGGTTATTCGTGATTTGATTATGATAATGACGACAATGCAAAGTGAAGAATCGTATGGCTCGCGCGAGTGTATGTGTTGTACGAATTATCAAACAAAAAGTCACGAAAAAATCATTAGGTTACGGTCAAGGGGGCCATCACCATCAGCGTCGGCGGTGGTAATGAAGAGACCGGTTTTACCCAGTCGCGCTCATCCTGGATGATGAACACGGTGCACTTGTACATGTTATTATTTATTGGCGTGTGGCGCTATCGGTTTCTGCTTGGTCATGATTCATCATCAGTCTGCTAGTTAAAAAACATATCGGCCGCTGTCTGCACGTCACGACCGACGGAGAATGTCCATTAATTCATTAAACAGCGCGCTCACACCCACCCGTGCGTTTGCAGAACTGTGCTTGGATTGTATTTTTTCCACTGTTACAATTATTTGGGAAACGATTGTTGTGTTAAGAAACGTCGTTTAGCGCAATGTTTAACGGCGGCCAAGACCCAGTTCTCATAAATAATAATAACTAGACCTGTTGTTTTTCTTCGAGATAATTTTTTAGTTTCACTCTTCTTTTTCAGTTTTATTTTCTGTTGTTTCTTTTAGTTCACTTTTCATGTTAAAAACTCTTACAATTGCCATCGCAGTCGTCTGCACAACAAAAAACCAATAGAATTACGCTTTCTATGTAGTAATAATAATATATATTTATTAAAAATTAATCAGTTATCAAAACAATAGCCTTCGAGTTCTATTGATTAACTGCAAATGGTCTATTTTGCTAACGATTCAATTCTTCGATGAATTTCCTACACTAGTATTGTTATTAAAATAGTATCTTTTGACTCGGTAAAATGAGTGTGCTCAATTGTTATCAATGCGCTCTGCGAATATTGCCAAGCGTTTTAAAAGAAAACGGGCCATTTGGAATTTAATACTGCACACAACTACTATGAACTATTGTATGTTAACGTTCTGCTGTAAACAATTAAAACTATTCCAGTCTGTAATGGCATTTCTCACGGCAGACCGACACCATGCCAGTCAGAATCGAACAATTATTTCTGATAAATCTCAGCAGCCATGAGAAATTCATTATATTTGCAGTAGGTAGATATAACACCAACGATCATAAATTGTCCAAAACGAAATGACCTTACTAAATCCATTGTAATTATGATTATAATGCACTACTGTGTTGTGAAATCATTTCATTGTTATTTGTAAAAAATGCTTAAATGAAAATAGTATAACCTACTGTATAATTAAACACTTAAATGTATGTATCTTTTTGCTTGGGACGATTTAGGTAAATGTATTTATTTTTTTTTTTTTGGAAAACAAGTAATATTACTATTTTTATGTTTCTTTAAAATTATTAGATTATACTCAAAGTTAAATTATTTTACGCAATTAAGTAGAATTATTCTAAGAGGTCTTTGATTTTATGACATTAGTCGGTACTGTATCCTTGAGGACTTAAAGTAGTCAGTGATTATAAATAAATTTTGTCGTTAAGAAAATTGGTCAATTTTGTCTCTATAATGGTTTTATAATCTGTTTATTTTCTCCTCATATCGTTTGATTACTAATATTGAGTAATTTATTTATTGCCCTATAAATTATTTCATATGACAAATGATATTTTCGTACGATAGACCATGAAAACAATATACAAATGATATTTAAGGTAAGTTAAACACGTTCAAGGTTTTACCCGGAAGGTGGTTGATGAAATTATTTTACTCTTACGTTAAGTATAGTTACGTATAGTTCTAAATGAACCCCAAATGACAATAACTTTAACCTTTATTTAATTAACTTGAAAGGATTATGCAATTCATATCTTTACTAAAAAAAATTGCAACCTATAATATATTGAACTTAAATACCATTAAATTTCCATCATCTCTTTTCTTTATTTTAATAATATCACGTACTACAAAAATAAACATTTTTTACATGTTTTGAGTACTAATTTTTCATTATTAATTTTCATTGTAATATGCCCATAAAATATTCGTATGTATTAAAGATGTGCTAGCTTACAGCACTGACTTTTTTAAGAGAGGATATTACTCATATTATGTTCTGTANTTCATTATTAATTTTCATTGTAATATGCCCATAAAATATTCGTATGTATTAAAGATGTGCTAGCTTACAGCACTGACTTTTTTTAAGAGAGGATATTACTCATATTATGTTCTGTAACAGAATAATTTTTATCATTATTTTTTCATATAACTCATAATTATTTATTTACTAAGCAGTATCTTTTTAAAGCAATATTTCCATTAAAATGTGTACTTGTACTCAATACCTTTCAATAATGTTAAATGTGTTCTATGTCATATACGATTATGATAAAATTGCATCTTAAATTATTTAGAATCGTTTCTACCCTAAAATTTATATGAAGATATTCTACTGCATAAAATCTTTTTGAATATAGTCATAAAAATGACACATCCAATTAGTTTTTTGTATCAACCGTGCAATTCGAGAACTACTCAGGGACGTATTCACATATTTTCCGCCTATAGGCATTTAAAAATTTACCGCCCTTCATTACGTTATGACGGAGGGGGCTCATTTTTATATATTTTCGCCTTAACACTACTAATTCTTCCTCGGAAAAAGTATTTAAATATATTTTTCAAGTAAATCTATGTTTATTAATAAATCATAAAATAATTTGCTTGTAGCTATTAATATACATATCATAAGTACACAATAAATGATAACGATTATGATAAATATTTGGACGACAATATGTCTTATAACAATAAAAAAATAACTCGCTTTTTATAAATTTGTTGGCCTTCAATATTTTCCGCCCCTTGAAAAATGCCGCTGGAACTACTCATAGGCTACTTATATTATAAAGCTTACACTTCACTACTAACAATTCCTTTAAATTTTTAGCACAATAACAAATTACTGATTTTTAGTTTATTTTACATTTATCTTAAAACGTAGGACAAAGTTAAAGATTTATCTGTAATGATAAAATTATAAGAAAATTTAGTTATTTATTGATTTTTTTCTTCTAAACTTATAAATATCGCTTATTAATCTCCATATGTTGGTTTTATTATTTATATCTACCTTTGAAACTAAATCACGTAACATAGATGTTATAAAATAATTAATTTTTATTAAATAATAAAATTGATATTAATTATGAATAAGGTTTTTTCTTTATCATTCAAAGCTTACATTACATAAACTTTTATTAAGATTGTATCTTTTAAATCGACTAAAATCAATGTAATCAGTAAAAGTTAATTCGTCCATACTATAAACTATACGTTCTTAACGTGTTTATAAAATGAGACGATTAAGTTGAGAGATATTTTTCAATTTCTATTTAGTCCTAAAGTATTGTAGGGTGATTATCTTTATGAATTTACAAGAAAAACGCTATTGTAATAACAAGTTTTATATCAATATTGATATGATGTACTTATTGTTCATTCATAATGATTATTCATAATCAACCATGTTTGCTTTCTTAACTGCGACTTGTTACGAGAGTAAAAAAAGTAGTGAAATAAATTCAATTCGTTTCGAATGAGTTGATTGATTGTAAATGTATTTATTGCTCTATACCAAAAGCTCTTATTCGGAATCAATTACTATCCTACTAATGTTCATCGGGGCCGAAATGTAGATCACATTTTCCAATCTACACTTCCATTAACTCTAAGTAATATTATGCAATGACATTATAATGATATTTCTGTGACTGTTCATGTAATACGCAAGGTCTCTCTCCTGCGGTTCAATTTCGACATTCTCGGACCAGTTGTTTTCCTGTTATACATTTATATGTTGATATATCAATCAAGTCCTGGAGTGATATTTACACTATGTACTTATATTAGACTCGTACCCGGCCACATAATAACATGTTCTTTTATTTTTACTCATTACCTTGCGGTCTGTGTTCCCAGGCTACTACTCGTCAATCCCTTGACCAGACATTCCTATTGTAATTACAATTTGATACCAAAGATTGTTTTATTCTATTTTACATTTTAACTAAGTAAAAATTTACTTATACATCGCTGACCCAACTTTATACATCATAAATTGTGGATGCAATAGATAATGGAAGACAAAAAAGATGTCGTACTATTATTTTACACATATGAATATATATTACGACATCGTTTTGTCATTTTCACAATAGTAACTATTTTGATTAGACGTTTGCCTGTCTATTGTTTTGGTTCACCTATTACATTCCGACGTCGACCTAAGACCATACAGCGCTTATTTGTTTTCCTTTTTGAATGTATCCTACAGGTGTGGCTTGATAAAATAATAGATATTCAAGCTTTCCTATAAAATTAATCTTACCATGTTTTATGATGGATATTAAACTAAATATTAGATTATAATTTCACTTAAATTAAGGATTATTTTAGGAAATTTGGCTCCTGGACAATTAAAAAAAATGTTAAATAAACAACGAAAAGCGCAGAGGAAAGCCCAAGAAGAAAAAGCTCAAGCTCTTGCAGCACAAGAAAAACGAGATGCGCACAAAAATCGGCAACAAATAACTAATGCCGGCGATGATGTAGATGCGATGCCTTTGGATGAGCTGCTTCCTGAAAAATTAGAGAGAGTAATTTGATGAAAATTTAAGTTAGTTTATATTTATAATAACGTAATTTTTTTTTTAGGTCGAAGACCCATTAGAGCAGGCGATCAAATTTTTGAAACCTCTCCAAGAATTAGCTTCAAATAATATAGAAACGCATTTAATGGCGTTTGAAATATATTACAGAAAAGGTATATATTATTATACTCTGTATTATTCTATAAAAAATGTTTCGAATTTTTTTAATTTTGTTTAGACAAATTTTTACTGATGCTTCAAAGCATAAAACGATGTCATCGAATCAATCCGGATCATCCAATGTTCCATAGTTGTCTAATAAGATTTATGGAAAAGTTGTCTAAATTAGACAATATTCAAGAAGAAATGCAATTAGTGCTTAATAAACAATTAGAGCCAATATTAGGTGGAAGATCAGCAGTTGAAATTAACATTGAATTCCTCGCTAAACATCATAAGTCATTGCCATCATTGGTTCAAGGTATATATTGAATTAAAATTATATATAAATAGGTATATTTTTTAATATATATATATATATATATATAATTTTTAGGTTTAAAAATGAAATATAAACTGGATAATAGTTCTCAACAAGAAGTTCTTTCACAAATTACTAAGTTAGATAGTTCAATGGAAGATGTCAATATTGAAGTAACAATTTATATTGTTAAAGATTCGAACATATCTTTTTACTTAAAATTTTCATTTTAATTTTTTAGACATGTACTGATATCTTTAATTCTTTAAAAAATGGCGAATTTGGAGAAATTGGTAATATATCTGAAGAATACCGAAAAGAATGTTATAAAAGATTTCCTTTAGCAACAGCATTTCATACAGAACATGACCTATCCCCAATGGCGTTTTGGTCCAACTCTTATAATACATTAAATGAGACACAAGAAAATTGTGTCAGCAATTGAAATTGGGCATGGATGTTAGATCAAAATATATTTTTAATTTTGTTGAAAAATCTATTCTTATTATTTATTATAATAAGTCTTCAATATTAATACAGGCTTATTATATTATAGGAAAAACAATATTTGATTTTCACCTTGATGTCCTGTAAATAGTTCAATATTTCTCATTTCTAACATGTTAATCGACTTAAAGTTGTTTTGACTGAATATTTATAATTTATTTTATTGTTTTGAAATTGCGTAATGAATATGAAAAAAAAAAACTTTAATCTATTTGAATATTTTAAGCCCAAAAACATGTTTCTGTGATAACATCTAATATGTAAACTTTCTTGTTTTAAGACGACAATACAGGTTTATGAAGTATCAAGTTTTGAAAAAATCTTTATAAATCTGTTAGTAATATATATTATTTACTGAGTAATATTGAATTTGTTAGTATGAATTTATTTCTTGTATGAAACATACATAGACTAGTTAATAGTTCAATTATTTGTACAATGATTTCAATATAAAAACTTTCTGTTCAATAAATCAAGTAAAGTTTACAACTTGTACGTTCAATAAAATTAATTTTTTATTTTAATAAAAATATGAAATTTAATTCATTATTGTCAATTTATATTAGACAAATAAAAAAAAAATTGTGCTAATACTATGTATAAACTTGTTTGAAGACCTATGATGACAATTGTGTTTAAATGGTTATTTAAACCATTAATTTTCCTTTTTGAAATATTTGACGGTTAATATGATTACATAGTTTTGGTTAATAACTAAGTGCGATTATAATACTATGCTTAATTTTTTTGTATAATGGCTGATGATTGACCTAAGTGAAATCAATTTTAAAATGATTAAGTACCCTCCTCAAATGAAAAATATACATTTTTAAAACAAATTATATTGTTGGTAAGAGGTAAATAATAACTATAGATCCAAACTCTCGCCTAGCAAACAGAGCTGTCTATAACTGAGCCTTGAACTTGTAACAGCCTCTAACAAGCCAATTGTTATAGTTTTGTATTATAACAATTAATATCCCTATTCAATCAAAAATAGTGAATATAAAGCTATATTTTGAGAAGATAGCTGATACTTCTCGGCTTCTGAAGTCAAATTTTTGGGTCATTATATGAAACAACCTATTATCACACCATTAATTATTATATAATTGTCAAAAAGGCAATATAGTTTTGTATATATATTATGACAAGGGAAACTTTATTACAATAATTAAAGTAAGGAATAGAATAAGTTCTTTTAATAAACTAGAATTTATAAGTTTGCTAAAATCAAATTTATTTATAGATTACAATCCTTACTCTATTATGTATTTTAATAACATACATGTTACCTACACTATATACTTACTTCACTTAATATTGTTAAAGGCCTAAACTTTTCATTTAATACTTATCTAATAATTGTTATAAAAATTCATTATTTATCAACAATGAATATTTACAAATTGACTTAAAATTGGTAGATAATTATGTACAAGTATCAAAAATTTTAATGACAACTAAAAAATATATAAATATAAATCAGAAAAGTATATTTAAACAGTACATCAAAATTATATTTTATGAAGTTGACATATTTCCTTTTGTTTGATCTTGTTCTTGCATATATTTAACTTTAGATCGCTCGAGCTCTTTTACTCTACTGCGAGCATGCTCTAATCGATGCCAAGCCATTTGCAATACTTTTTGAGATGCATAACCGCTGTTTTCATAAGGTTGTCCAGTTGATACTTGAGTGAGGTAATTTATTTGATCCGTAAGTTTGGATTCAACACTTCCCAAGCTTTTTAGAAATTGATGAGATTGATTTTCTACTTGTTTAAGACTAGACTTTTCTTTACTGAGTTCTAATAATGCTTGACCTGCACTTTGCAAACAAGTTATTATGTCTTTTTCTATGAGTTCTAAAGCTTGTATCCTTTCCATAGGGGCAGCCATAGTGATATATTATGAATAAACTCAATAAATTTTAATTTTTAAAAATTTAAGTATTTAAAGCGTTGAATTAGTTTTCATACCTTTAAATATAATGTAAATCGTTATTAATATTCTCACATCAATTTGCGTTTAGTAATAATATTGATGACCGATTGATACAATAATAATACTTTTTTCCCGAGAAAAATTCAAGAGTTGAAATCTACAATACTGATATATTTATTATTTAAATTCGATAACACTTAAAATACTTAATTCTATTTTCAATATTTTACCTATTGAATTATTACTATGCATAGCCGTAACGCAAAATTTCCTTATGTTATCACAAACGCGAATAGATTGGTGGTTTTTCATGGAATATTAGACGATATGAGCATAAACCACTTTTCTTAGGGAGTGCCATGATTGTAAAGTCTATATTATAACAGTGCATACCATAGTCGAAAATATAACATATTATCAACAGTATTTTAGTCCAATAATATTTCACTCGTTGTACTTTAAACGAATTCTATACTTTTCGATTAAAATTCAATTCGTCTTTAATATATTAATGACGCAAAATACACATCTATAATATTTAAGCTGAAAACTGTATTTATTTTATATTTTAATTTTACTTTAACCTATAATGTTAAATTAGACAAATTTATATATATATTTAAAATAGTTTTGGATTTTACGATTTCACTAGAAAAAAGCTTCATGGTAACTTTTTTGATGGTCAACTTGCAGTTACTCGTCTTCTATCTTTTTACTTATTATTATTATTTTTTATTAAATATTTGGTTTTACTGTCTTCTGAACAGCATTAAAAGAGGGAGATGATTGAAGCTTTCGGTCAGGGAACCGCTTTTTTTTGACACCTCGCCATAAACGTAATAAGGAGTTAAGTTATCTCAGTTAACGAAATTCCTAAAAAATTACATATGTTGTGTTTTTAGGATGAGGAGAAAAAATAATTAGCATCTTCAAAAATGTTATCATAGGTGCCTATAGAAATCTCCAGAAAGAGTTATAAATAAAATATTTTTGTGTATTATTTATTAAATTAAATATCTATAAATTTAATAAATAATTACAAGCCTACATATTATTTTACAATACACAACGATGCTCATAATTCTAGCATTCAAAATTTAATTTAATAAATTCTAATTTTTTTTTTTTTAATTAAAAAAATATTTGGAAAAATTGTATAATAAACACAATTCTAAAAATTGATCAAGCAAACAGTCAAGGATAAAGAACTGAACTCTTTGTCAACTTTAGGGACACCCAAGAATAGTATATGGTTTAAAAATATGTATACAAATTCATATATCATACAAAATTACGTTTTTTTATAAAGTTAATAAATGAGAAGTTGTAATCTTCTTCTTCTTCTTCCTCGCCTTAATCCCAACTTCTTGGAGCTGGCCACCCTTTATCCTAAACTTCCACTTGACACAATCTTATACATCATTTACGCTCATATCAGCCATCTTCATATCACATTCAATTACATCTCTCCATCTTTTTTTGGTCTTTCTCTACCTCTTCTTCCTTCAACATTCATTTCTATAACTGTTCTTACAGCTTCCGATTCTTCTATCCTCATAACATGACCAAACTATCTAAGCCTATTTTCTCTCATCTTATCCAGGACGATTGACACTACACCTATACTCCCTCTTATATGCTCGTTCCTTATTCTATCTTTTCTAGTCACTTCACTCATCCATCTAAGTATTCTCATCTCTGCTACACTCATTTTGTGCTCTCCTTTCTTGTTAACCGCCCAACACTCTGAACCATACATCATAGCTGGCCTTATTACAGTCTTGTAGAATTTACCTTTCGGCCTCATTGGAATTTTTTTATCGCATAAGATGCCCAGACGCTTTTCTCCACTTCAACCACCCGCACTTAATTCTATGTCTTACATCCTTGTCAATACCACCGCTCTTTTGCACAACTGATCCTAAATACTTAAAACTCTCCACCTCTCTAATCACGTCCTCGCCTATTGTCACTGGTCTACTTATTTCACCTACCCCGTGTTCTCTTTAATCAAACTCGTACTCTATATACTCTGTCTTACTCCTACTTATTCTTAAACCATTTTCTTCAAGAGCTGATCTCCACACCTCTAGTCTTTGATTAATTTCCTCCCTATTAACACTATATCGTCAACAAATAACATGCACTATGGCACCTCTCTTTGTATTTCTCTAGTAATTTCATCTATCACTATAGAGAATAAGTAAGGGCTTAAAGCAGAACTTTGGTGCACTCCTACCCTTACCCGAAAACCTTCCGATACTCCTTCTACGCTTTTTACCCTAGTACAAGTGCCATCATACATATCCTCTATTATATTAATGTACCTTTTCGGGACTCCTTTTCTCATTAATGCCCACTTTAAAACCTCTCTCGGTACTCTGTCATACGCATTCTCAAAATCTATAAATACCATTCACAGCTTTTTCTTCTTTTCCTAAACTTTTCTCTTAGTTGCCTCACACAAAACACAGGCTCTATTGTTGACTTACCAGGCATAAATCCAAACTGGTTTTTAAATGCCGATGTCTCATTTCTTATTCTCTTATCTATTACCTTTTCCTAAATTTTCACACTATGACTCATAAGCTTTATGCCTCTATAATTTCCACACTCCTGTATGTCTTCTTTACCTTTAAATATCGGCACTATAATACTATTCCTCCATTCATTTGATATTTTCCCTTTTAATAAGATTTTATTTTTATTTTTTACATCATCACTCGAGGAGAGTACCTTATTATCAACACTATTTATACACCTTATATAATGATAATCTTTAAACCTTTTCTCTCTTATTTTGGCAAGTCTATAAATTTCTTTCTCGCCTTCCTTTGTTTCTAGCCTATCATACCTCTTAAACTTTGCTTTACTTACTGCACACTTGGCTTCTATGCACAAGCGTTTATACTCCATCCAGTCTTCTCCTTTTGCTATACTTTGAATTGCTTTTTCTTACTTTCTATGATTTTTTGAATATTCTCATCCCACCACCAGCTTTCCTCGTTTCCTGGCATTCTACTCTTATTCTCACCAACAATCTAGCAAATCTATTCCACACATCATTTATGTCTCTCTCGACATTCCATACCGTCCTCTCTTTTACCGTCTTTACTAACTCTTTTTCATTTTCCTCTTTCAATTTCCACCACCGGATCTTCGATTTTCCCCCTGTATTTCTTCTATTTTCGTTTATTCTTTTTACGGTACACCACAACTCCATTACCATCAGTCTATGTTGTGTAGTTACACTCTCGCCTGGTATAACTTTACAATCTTTTACTCGCTTTACGCCCTCTCTTCCACATAAAATAATCGATCTGTGATCTTTTCCTCCCACTCTTATATGTTATATAATGTTAGATCATAAATTTATATGGTAGTATATTTACATTAGATAGTAGTAAAAAGAAATTTAAAAAAATAATCAGGTTTTTATACCAAGTTGACAATATGATTTATTATTGTAGTTATTAGATGAGTTCAATAATTATTATTATCAATACAAAAATTTCCTTATTATTAAAAAGAAAAACTTCCATTTTAAAAATTTTATTTTATTTATATCATGCATTTAATAAAGAAAAATTATATATAAAAATGAAACATTCAGTCTCAAGAAAAAAAAAAAAAAATTAATAAAACCATAAAACAATTTTATATTAACATAGACAGTCTTTAAATATTTTAAGCTAAATATAATTAAAATTACAATATATAATGAAAAATAATTTATAAGAAATAATAAAAAATGTTTAGACCGAAAAAAATTAGTTTTTCGTTTTTAAACAATAAATGTTATTAAATTTAAAATTAGTAATCAAATAACAATGTAAAGTTGACTAACTTAGATTACATTAACAAATTAACTAACACTTAATAAAGAAAACAAATTAATTAAGATACACAAATAATTTTACAAATTATGTACATAAGTTATTTTAAATACTTAATCAGACACAAATAATGAACAATTGATTAAAAATGTTTAGTATCAAAATTTTTAACTTAAACCCTGGTTATTCTAATGATACATTCTAATATGTTTATAACTAATAGTTATGTAGCTGGGGTAAAATTGTCGGTGAGAAGGACAGAATTACTCTGTTACTAATCAAAATTCAAAATTTCCGTATCAGAAATAATCTGCCCTCCAAACAGACAAATATATAGTTTGTAGCTCTAGTAGATTGATAAGAGTAATTAATTGAGAACACTCAAATTAATTTTTTAATTAAAAACAAAAAATCAACTTAACTATTACCACTTTTATAAAAATATAATTCAAAGTAATTAAAAATATGCATATTAATTTTTTATTTGTGAGATTTATTTAAGTAAAATTTATACAAAATTATTTTATAGGCAGTGTAGTTGTAGTTTAAAATACTAATTCCATTATGTTGATGATAGTAATGATAATAAAATAGTTAGATACAGTACAATAGTCAACAAGCAAGCCATGGGTGATTTAATAAAGATTCTTTACTGCGATCACCATAGTCATAAGTCAGTTCTTCACCTTGTTTTATGTCATTTTTAGCAACTAAAATAATTTTAGGTATTCCAGACAGAACTACAATTTTTGGTCCCAAATTACCAAATCTTGAATGGTTTACCAAACGTCCAAGTCTTTTACTCTCGGCAGTAGCATCAATACTAAAATTTAAATTTACCAACTTTACAAATATTTTTTTCAAGTAATATTAAATATTAGAAATAAAAGGTTTTAGAGTATATATTAAGTTTATAAGTACTTTATTAAAGCATTAGCTAAATTTTTAATCTAAAAATGTTTATATCACTCATGCTATTCATATTTTAGCACTTTTACTTGTTATACATGTTGTATAGAATGTAAATATTCAATAAATCTTTCTTTAAATAAAAAATAAGTCTATTCAAATTAAGTTGTTCAAAGGAGTAAATATTTCTCAAAATTAATTTAAATAATATCCAAAAATCCATTTAATTTTGATTTAAGGCTTATCCCCAATTTCAATTTACTTTTTCCATTGAATATTATTTCCAATTTGATACATACATTCTAAATATTTCAAGAGAAGTAATTTGGCCCTGCCATACTTCAAATATAATATTATTTCTATTATAACAATTTAAAATAACTTTAAATTACACACTCACCAGTAATGAATTGAACCATACTTAAAATAATACATATAACAACCAGTAGTAGGATCTTGAGAATATAAAATTTCTCTATTACGAGCTTCTTGAATGGTAACTAATTCACCAGCATATTCAACAACAAATTCTCCCCTAAAGAAATCTCGACCAGCTATTATACCACGACCCTTATCAGGAAATAAAGTTACCTAAATGAAATTAAACAAAAATATATAAATATCATATAAATTGAATTCAATTTAGTAATTGACTAAAAAAAAGTTGAATAATTTTTTTCACTTTTAAATCATCCTCATTTTCAGATATAATTGCTTTTTCTAAAGCTCTTTGCTTTTCTTCATTGACAATATTTTTTGTTTTTCGAGCACTTCGCCGAATTGGAAAGAATGCCGTAACTTTTTGTTGTTTATTATTGGTCGGGTCATTAATATGTTTTACATTCAAACTATTAACATATACATATAGTTAATTCCAACACCGGAATTTTTTTTAAATATTTAAATTACCTTATTTTATGGTGGCTACTATTTAATTTAGATGGTGGTGATTGGTTAACATCTACTTCTACAACAAAATTAAAGAAAGTAATTGAATTGATTTAAATAAATTAAGTTAATTTTAGATAAAAAGAAAATTACTAGAGTTATAAGTTGTATCAGATATTAATGGCATATCTCTACTCACATCTTCAACAAATTTTACTTTAGGCTGAAAAAAATAATAGTTATTGACAATGATTTATATGATTTGAAATAAAAAATAAGGAAATTTAATATTGAAACCATGTAATGTCCTTTTTATTTAAATAGTGTAAAATTATTTAGCTATACTTAGTGGTAATTAAATTAAAAAAATCTTTGTTTTTATTATATACAATTTTTTCTTTAAGATCTATAGTATATAGATATTAAACATTGATTACTTTTAAATATAAAACTTTTTTATAGGAATAGAAAACAATTTATTTATTTGAAAAATTTGTGGTCGACTATCCAACTATTAAACTTTTATTAGAATGAACTTCATTTGTTACTAAAAATTTCATGTAGAAAATATTTAATAATTAAACAGTACTTTAATTAACAAATTAAAATATATAAATAAATTCATTACAAATTATTATTCAAGAAGATTGAAGAGGTATGTAAATAAATTAAAGTTTCATAACTAAGTTATAAAAAAATTACATAACTTTTAAATAAGATACTTTTTAGAAAGTACTTAAAAAATAATTATTTTATAAATTGAAATTATATTTAAAAAGTTAGCCAATAAAACTTTTTTCTTAGTTTTTTATCCTTAAAGTTAAAACATTTATTAAAATTCTATACCTTTTTATAATTTTGGATTCGATATATTACATTTTAGAGATTTCTTAGTGTTTAAAAGCTTTGATAAAAAATAGCTTTTATTATTTATTATTTTTTTTTTAAATTTTTGGTACAATGACACTTGCATAATTATTGTTAATATGACAATCTATAAAAAAAATCATATTTTTTATTAATGATACTGCTAATAACAATTAATTTTAATTAAATTTATAATTACTCAGGATTTATTCATGATAGTATTCATTAGCTTGTTTCCAAATTTATCATTGAATCGTGAACTTCTTCATAATTTTAGAATTGGGCTAAGAAGTTAATAATATTTCATATTGTTAACTCCATTCTTTATGGAGTAACTCCATATAGAATTAGTTATACTATGTTGATTTATAAACTTTTATGGTATTTACTCACACTATTATAAAATGATTTTACTGAAATGGACAAATTTATTGAGCCAAAAGGTTTTTTTTTATAAATTAACATATTTTTTAATTGAATGGTGTTTGTAAACACTATTTTCTTTAAATAGAAAAAATGAACTTATTTAATAAGATAATATACAACGTATTATTATTTAAGTAATATTCATACATAAATAATAATTACGCAGATTTTAAGGACTTCTAAAGAAAAAGACTACATTAAATTTCTAGTAACAAATTTAGTTGGTATAAAAATATTAAATGAAAAAAATTGCAAAAATATATAAAAATTGGAGAAAATAAACTTTATTTTTTTAACTTTTATACAAGTTTTTTTATATGTATATTCAAAGTCTAAATTATTCATAAAAACTAAAATCACATTTTTGTTTATAGAAAATTGTATGTATGTATAACTGATTTTTGACTGAAAAGGTTTAAAACTAGCATAACATAAGTAAAAATGAATATTGAATAATTTTAAATTGATTAAAATAAGATAATAATAACACTAATAAATTAACCTTTTTAACAAAACATGGTTTCAATTTAGAAATAATCCACTTAAAATAAAGGTGTAATTGAAAACACTGAATCATTTTATGCTAAAGAAAATTATACATTATATTAAATTTTAGTAAAATGAAAATCATAAGAAAATAAAAAATTGCCTATATTTATTTTTGTTTTTGAATATAAGTTCATTGCTATACATCGATAGTTTAGGATGTGTTATTTAAAGGTCATCAATAAGGCTTATAAAAATCATATTAATTTTGAGAAAATAAAAAAAGTTATTTCACTGAAATATAAATTTTTAATATGCCTCATTCTCTTACCAAATTCTTAATAAGAACACACTGAATTTAGCATTAAATAAAAAACTAATTCAGCTAAAACCTGAAAATAGTTTTTTAAACATAAAACATTATATTAGAAAAATGTTTTTGGTATTCAACTGATTGCTTCTTTAACCTTATTAAAATAGAACAAATATTATTTGTATACACATTCAAGAAAATTTTTAGTAATATTTTAAAGAAAAACATTCTATAATAATTTAAAATATGATCCTAAAATTTTGATTAATATTTTAAAATCAAAATAATTATACAATCATAAATAATAAAAAAATTACTTTTTCAGTACAGTATTTCTTTATAGAAGCTTGAGGAGACCGGAAGAATTGGTTAATATTTTGACTTGTTACACGCTTTGTTATTTCTAATTAAATAATAAATAAATATGAAACAATGAAATAAACTTAAAAAGAATTAGAAACTTACTTTTAACCATTATGATTGTTTGAAATAGATAGTCAACAGAATAAGTATTTAAAAAGTTAAAAACTAATGGTCCGGAATTTCTTAAAACTTAATTGATATAATTTGGTAAGGAGTGAATAGTAATCGAACCAAAATAAAGTTGTGTAAATATCACTAGTTCTAATAATGAAATAAAAAAAATATGAATAGCTATAAATCTGAGACTATTTAAACACAATCATAAGGGCAATGGCACTGATGGCAATGTTACAAACAAACAATTATCTTGAATTATGAGTGAACCAAACGCCATAATGTGAATTCATTGGTCGAATGAGCGTTATCATTTTTTCGGTTAATTTTATCATGACGCCAACTTTGAAAACCAAAAGTGGTAGTCTCTATAGTTTTATTTTTGGTTGGTTTTATGGTTCGATGTTTAAAAGTTTATTAGAATTGTCCTCAAAAAGCCTCTTGATATTTAATTACTCATGAATAAATTAAGAAATGGAGTAGAAATTATTCTAGTAGATTTTAGGGGTCAATATATTTTTTCTTCAATAATTTAGTTTTATAATACATTCCAAGAATTTTATCTTATTTTTTTCTTATTTCTTAGCAGTTTTTTTCTTATTTTTTAATTTTGATCTGTGAAAAAATATGGCGGAATAATAACGAATCAGATAAATGCATACTGTTTTTAAAACTATTAGCCAAGCGTTGCCCAATTAGTAATTAGAAGTGATACGGCTTTTTTATCTATATCAGATTTTTAAAATCCTATCTAAAAAACGGCGCTAGTGAGTTATGTGTAAGTGAGTAGAGATTCGCAGTGCCTGGCAGCCTGCGTTGTTTTTCTCTTTCCGGCAAAACTATTGTATTGATTCTAACCTGTATTCTTTTGTCCTGACAAAATTACTGAGAGTATTTTTTTCCCGGGACTGAAAATTTATAAACAACGATTTTTACGTAAAAGTTTTTTTGCCTTTTCAAAATTGACAGTACATTCATCCCCGAGTTACTTGTTGTTAAGTTAAAGTACTGCTGCATTCAGGGCGGTTCCACCAATAAGCTTGCAGCCGGATTTTTTTATTATGATCCACCGAAATTAATCAATACCGCTGTCGCCGATTCGCGAAAATTGTATTCTGGCCACATTTAGAACGCCAGTAACCCTTCCGTGATACATAGGAAGAGCACTTCTAATCTGAAATGGTTTGTAATTACATAGTCTTTCAATTTTAAATAATTATAGTGTTATAGTCGATAGTTTTAATATTCAAACTTCCATAGTGCATTAATAATTCTATTTCAGGCTTCCAGTGATATCAAGGTAGAAAAAAATCCTGATTCAGGCAGTGATTTTGATGATGATGATGATCCAGATAAAATTGAAGTCCCAGGTATAATTTTGAAATATGTAAAACTTATATATTATTTGAGGAGGCTTTGATCAATATAATAAAGTATATTAAAGTATGACCAATTTTAGTTTGGGTTTAATTATTAAGGGTATATTTCTGTTTTATGATTGTTTTTTGTTTTAATTTATCATTGTTTGAAATAATTTTGAGAATTTAAAGAATCAATGATTTTTCATAGAAAACATTTTTTTTTGTGTAATTAAAATTTTATCTATTAGTCAGTTTTAAATAAAATTACATTTGGAATTATAACTTTTTTTAAAATTTAGGCGGCGGAAAAGATTTAGCAACAGCAGCAAACATAAAATCATCTTTTAAGGATGAAAAACCATCTAGTACTAGTATTAATACTAATAATTTAAGCAAGCCATTGGAATCTACATATAAAGTGAATTCTAACAATATGGGCAAGTATAAAAGTTCTATTCTGTTATATAAAAATACAATGTTTTTCATCTCTAAGTAAGACTAATTTTATCCAACTGAATAATTGTATATTATTTTAATAACTTTGTGATTACGTATTTTAATATTATGTATTATTTTATACTAACAGATTAATACAGTAATATGTAGTGTACTCTAATTTATTTTATTCTACCACTAGTTGAAATAGATTTTAAAAATTTTAATTTTAAATTCTTGAATATTCATAATGAAATAATGAGTAATATTTAACTTAGGTTATTCAAAAGTAATGGGTGGTATGTCAAACAATTGGATGGGTTCAATGATGAATAATCCTTTTGTAAATATGGCGCAAGGAACTTCTAATATGATGTTTGCACAAAACATGCCTTATCCAGGAATGATTCCTCCAAGTATAAATCCAAATCAGTTTTTACAAGGTATTAGTTAAGAACTTAATAATTATTTTGCATAAATTAAATAATTATATTTTTTTCATCAATTTAGGCATGGGAGGAGGTGGAGGAATGATGGACGCAAATGCAGCAACTAATTTTTTATATCAGCTTATTAGTAGTGGTGGTAGTAATGCTGCTATGATTTCTCAACTACTGAATTCTGGAAATCCAGCTGCTAATTTATTTTTACAAAATTTATTGCAACAGCCAACATTCCCACAGCAAGGATTTCCTATGAATCCTAAAAATTTAAATCCATATTGGTATAATCAGTCAGTGAATAACAAAGTAACATATTAAAATATTAGCATTTTTTATATAGTTATTTTAAGGATAAAAGATACTAATTGAATTTTCATCCATATTTTTCTAGATGGCTAATAATCGTACTACAGAAGAAGAAGAAGACAATGAAGATGATGATATGGGAGTTGCTGAAACGTATGCAGATTATATGCCAGCTAAATGTTAATAACTTATTTAATAATTTTTTCCTAAAATTTATGTAATAATAATTAACTATTATGTGATATTTAGTGAAGCTTGGTAAAAAACATCCAGATCCTGTTGTAGAAACTGCATCTCTCTCAAGTGTAGAACCAGCTGATGTTAAATATGAATTATCTATACCTATGGATACTATTAATTCAGGATCACTTTCTGCTCTTCAGTTGGAAGCTATTACTTATACTTGTCAACAACATGAACACATTTTACCAGATGGCTCACGAGCCGGTTTTCTTATTGGTGATGGTGCTGGTGTAGGTAAAGGACGAACAATTGCAGGATTAATATATGAAAACTTTTTGAAAGGACGTAAAAAAGCCATTTGGGTTTCCGTATCAAATGATTTGAAATATGATGCTGAACGAGATTTAGAAGATATTGGAACAAAAAATATCAAAGTTTACTCTTTAAATAAGGTTTGTTTATTTTTATTTTATCCAAAGAAATATATATTCTTTTATATATATTTATATATATATATATATATATAATATATATTTCTTATTGTTTTGTAATTTTAATATAGTTCAAATATGCCAAAATCAATAGTCCAACCAATGGAAATGTTTCTAAAGGTGTGATATTCTCTACATACTCGGCTCTTATTGGTGAGTCAAGTGGCGGAGGAAAATACAAAAGTCGTTTGAAACAAATATTAAATTGGTGTGGTGATCATTTTGATGGAGTTGTATCCTTTAAATAATAATGTTAATACTTAAGAATTTTATTTATTCATCAATAGATGTTTATTAATTTGTAATATTTTTCAATTTTTCTTAACCACAATTATTTTAGATTGTTTTTGATGAATGTCATAGAGCTAAAAATTTATGCCCTGTTGGATCAACAAAACCAACTAAAACTGGTTTAACAGTTTTAGAACTTCAAAATAAGTTACCAAAAGCAAGAGTTGTTTATGCATCAGCTACTGGTGCCTCAGAACCACGAAATATGGCTTATATGGTTCGACTTGGCATGTGGGGACAAGGAACAACATTTCCTGAATTTCTTGATTTTATTAATGCAGTTGAAAAACGGTATATACAGGGTGATTTTTTTATCATAACCCACTCAATTACTTGCAGAATAATAATAATTTAAACATTTTTTTTTTTTATTATCTTTAGTTACACATTATTCTTTAATTTTTAACTATGTAATACTTTTTAAGTTCATCCCTTATGCCTTAGAGGGGGGTCAACTTTGTTTTTTTAAATGGAAACACATATTTTTAATTTAATAAAATGTTTGAGTTTTTAATGTAATAGTAAATGGCATTTGAATTTTTAATATAACTTTATTAGCTTATTAGATATAAACATTTAAAGTTTCAAAATTTTGAGTTAATATACATGTATAATACACATGGGATTGTAAATACAGATAGCTAATTGGATTTTTATGACATTGCTGTCTCAGTCACGGATTGTTTATTATCAATTATGATTATCAATAGATATACTTTCTGTATTGTCAGTTAGTGTATTTATAAACTCATAACAATGTGCCTTACTACAATTGATAATAACAATGCTGTGTACCTGCTAATATCGATGTTATAAAAAACCAATTAGCTACCTATATTTGTAATCCCTTGTGTATTATACCTATATATTAACTCAAAAATTTGAAACTTTAAATGATTATATCTAATAAACGAATTAAGTTATATTAAAAATTCAAATGCCATTTACTATTAAATTAAAAACTCAAACATTTTATTAAATTAAAAATACGTGTTACCATTTAAAAAAACAAAGTTGACACCCTTACCAGGCATAAGGGATGAACTTAAAAAGTATTACATAGTTAATAATTCAAGAATAATGTGTAACTAAAGATAGTAATAAAAAAAAAATTTTTAATTATTATTATTCTGTAAGTAATTGAGTGGGTTATGATAAAAAAATCACTCTGTATAATTATTATTTGTTTAATATTTTAATTATGATATAAACTTAAAACAAATTATCTAACTCAGATATTAATGTTACTAGTTATTAACACAGTTATCATTATTTAAGTACTCCTAAATAGAACCCATTTACTGAATAAATAGTCAACAAAAATTATTCATTTAAGGAAAACATTTGTCTAAAGAGACCTATGTTTATTTAAACCTTATTATCCATTAATAGATACTATCTTTATCTTTATAGATTAGTTACAATGTATGGTTCAAAGTGTTGGGTGGTTAACAAGAAAGGAGAGCACAAAATGAGTGTAGCAGAGATGAGAATACTTAGATGAATGAGTGAAGTGACTAGAAAAGATAGAATAAGGAACGAGCATATAAGAGGGAGCATAGGTGTAGTGTCAATCGTGGAAAAGATGAGAGAAAATAGACTTAGATAGTTTAGTCATGTTATGAGGATAGAAGAATCGGAAGCTGTAAGAACAGTTATAGAAATGAATGTTGAAGGAAGAAGAGGTAGAGAAAGACCAAAAAAAGATGGAGAGATGTAATTGAATGTGATATGAAGATGGCTGATATGAGCGTAAATGATGTAGAAGATTGTGTCAAGTGGAAGGGTGGCCAGCTCCAAGAAGTTGGGATTAAGACGAGGAAAAGAAGAAAATCCATTTATAAATACTGCAACTATTAAAAAAAAAAATTTTACTATTACCAGTGGCTGAACATTTATTGACATATAATCACTCCATTAAAACATAAAACTAATTAAAAATGTAAATAATTACAAAAAACTTAATATAATAAGGCAATAGAAATGTTTAAAAATAAAAACAATTTAATTAATTGGGATTTCGGCCCACTGAAAAATTCATTATTAAACTAGTGTAAACTGGCAAAATGTGAAAATATTACTTAGTGATGACATCACTAGGGGTAAATAAGGGAGTTTTCTCTAGTCAGGGTGTTAGTATGTGTTTAGCGTTGGTAATGGTAACATTGTTTTCGAAATACGTATCCGTGATTTTTCAGTAATTTTTTGTGGCTTTTTGAGTTAAATATTTTTTAGTTTTCAAATTAATAATATGTTTAATATAATTTTAATTTTATTTAATTAATTAACCACAAGTGATCAATTATTATTTTTATTATCAATTTCTTCATTTATATATTTTAGCGGTGTTGGTGCTATGGAAATCGTAGCAATGGATATGAAACTTAGAGGAATGTATATTGCAAGACAACTGAGTTTTCATGGTGTTACCTTTAAAATTGAAGAAGTTCCTTTGTCACCAGAATTCACAAATGTTTATGACAGTGCAGTGAAACTGGTAAATTTATTGAAGTTCTAAACAACTTTTGGATAATTTTTATAAATTTTAATATTTTAGTGGGTTGACGCAATGCATATGTTTCAAGAAGCAGCTGAACTAATTGATGCAGAAAATCGCATGAGAAAAACTATGTGGGGACAATTTTGGTCTTCTCATCAAAGGTTTTTTAAGTATTTATGTATTGCTGCTAAAGTGAAGCATGCAGTTGAAGTAGCAAGGTTTGTTTTAGAATTTTGTATAACAATAATTATTAAATAGTCAATTATTGACTTTTTTGTTATAATTATATATTATATATTCAGAGAAGCAATAAAACATGGAAAATGTGTTATAATTGGCTTACAATCTACTGGAGAAGCGCGTACACTTGAACAGCTTGAAAAAGATGATGGCGAATTAACTGATTTTGTTTCTACAGCAAAGTATGATACAATTCTAAATTATTTTATATTTATTGTGCTTACACATATATTCATATAATATTAAGCATTAATCAGAGTTTGAATTTTATTTAAAAATCTGAACATTAGTATGTTATTAAATTTAGTCAAAATAAATTAGTTTAGGGTATTTCAAAATTTGAATATGTAGTATTGAACTACATAAGCTTTCTACGTAGTCTTTTGAAAAACTTAGTATTATACAGGTTTTAAAAAAGTAAGGAAATAGGTTAATTACAAAAAATAAGAACAATAGAGATTTTCCGTACTTATTGAACACATTCTGTGTATATAGGTTGATTAGTTAACTATGTCTCGCGTTATATCTTTAAAAATACAAGTGTTATAAACAATTTTTTTTAACCATTATAGATCTTTAATGAGATGTTTCATAAGAAAATTTAAATTTCTACCACCATCCCCCTTATGCTTATAACTTGTATCAACTTCATATTTTTAAATGGCAACCCTATTTTTTTTTTTTACACCATTAGATTTAGTTAAATAAAAAAAATATTTTATTTTATTTAATATAAGGCGCTCTACGGCTCTAAATTGATAAGTGCTACCAGTTTTATAAATTAATATACCAAGCTTACCTTAGTTATTCTGACTATGTGTGTTGACACAGTAAACTGGTAGCTCGTATCCTACATAAAATAATAATGTGACCGTGTTGGAAAAACTACTGAATTTTTTCATCAAATATCATAAATTTTAAAGTAGCGTATCTTGTTTAAAACTCATAATTTTTTTTTTTTTTTTTGACATACAAAAATATATATAAATAATATGGGTTGCCATTTGAAAATATAAAGTTGATACAAGTTCTAAGTTCAAAAAATGTTTAATTTTTTTTTATTCTGTAAGTAATTGAGTGGGTATAGTTAAAAAAATCGACCCTGTGTGTATATACATAAATTTAATATTATTGATAAAGTAGTCTATTAATATTATTATCCAGATAAATAATAAATTTTAAGTACCTGAATATTACCTCATTAAATAATTTATAGCAGTATTTCCATTAAGTATATTTTATGAAAATTTAATCATGTTATATTATTATGTATGCAAATTCTTAAAATTTTGATAACATGAAAAAAAATTTAAATTTTATTTTTATAGGGGTGTTTTACAATCATTAGTTGAGAAACATTTTCCTGCGCCTGATCGCAGTCGAATAAAAAAATTACTGGGAAGTGTAGGTATTGAGTTAAAACAATCAAAACCACAGAATGGTGATTCTTTAGGACCCAGCAGCTCGAAAGGCATCGGTGAAAAAAGAAAATCAGGTATAAATTGTTTAATTTAAAGTTAATTACATTTATTTTCCTTTATACTAATTTATAGGTCGTCAAGCTAACTCTAGACCTAACAAAAGAACTAAAGAATCTAGTGAATCGGAATCAAAATCAGATAATGACGATTCAGATTTTAAGATGGAATCAGAGTCTGAATCAGAAATTAGTGAAGAACATAGTGAAGATTCTGAGGCCAGTAGTGATTTTAATCCATTCAATGAAGATGAGTCTGATAGTGATGGTATTATTATAATTATTAAAATAATCAAGAATTTTGAACTAAAATAATTGATTAAATTTTTTAGAACCTTGGGTTGGTGCTGGTAGAGCAAAAAAACGTAAAATTAAAACCCCTGCACAGAAAAAACCAACAACAAAAGATAAAATTCATCAAATAGTTCTTAAATCGAGTATGTCTAATAATAGTCAACATAAAGATGCAATTGATCGCGCGTGTAGTATGAAAGAAGAATTAATTGAAAGGATTGAGAGACTAGGTGATAAATTACCACCAAATACCCTTGATCAGCTGATTGATGAATTAGGTGGACCAGAAAATGTTGCTGAAGTATGTACACATTATAATAATATGCATCTTGATGACATTAAATTATAGTACATATATATAAAATAGATGACAGGAAGAAAAGGTAGAGTTGTACAAACTGATGGAGGAATTCAATATGAGTCAAGATCTGAAGCAGATGCACCTTTAGAAACTCTAAATGTTATAGGTATATAAAAATGCCTTCATTTAAAAATTATTTAAGTAAGAAAGTTATATTTAAGAAGTTGTTAAAGAGGTGAGCAAAAGGTACCCATGTAAGACCTGTAGGTCCATTTTATGCATCTCCCTTAAGTTGTGTTAGATTTTGAAAACTATTAAAAAAAATTGTTCTAATAAATTTTCATTTATCTGTATATAAAATAATGTTATCAAAAGTTTTTTGAATATATACACGATTATTCATTAAGGATAAAAGACTCATTTTTTTGGTAACTTGATATTTAAAAATTTTTATAATGAAAGAAACTGTTATTTAAAAAACTACAATAATATGTAATTAAATATACATATTTTATTTCATCCTTTCAAGGATAAAAAACATCAGCTTTAATTTTTAGTTTTATGACATCAAAAAAAGATTTTCAAAAACATTTGTTCTTATTATTTTTTTTTTGTCCATTGGACCATTCATCTATTTAGCATTTTAATACATGTAGTAGGTATGTAGTGTAGGTGGAATGTACTTTCACTAGATCGAGCTGGACATACTATTTATTTAAAGCTGAACAGATGAACAATCCATTAAATAAAAAAAATTATGAGAACTAACTTTATTGAAATTTTTTAATCATTTATCTAAAAATAGGGCTTCCCATAAAAGAAAATTAAAGTGTAGGTTACCTTGAAGGAATGAAAACAAAATATTATTTAAAATTGCATAATATTATAGTTTTTTTAAACAAACAATATTTTCCTTTATGAAAATTTTAAAATTCAATAGTTTTCAAGAAAAATGGTGTTTTATCCTAATGAATCACCTTGCATATATTTTTTAAACAATTATTTTGAAACAAATTTAAAGAGATCAATTATTACACTAAGTATAGTGTTACTTATTTATATTAAATATTGTAATGTTAGTATTAAATATAACAATATAAAATTTTTTAACACGCTTATATTAGTTTCATCTGTATATATGTATATTTGTTTGTAACTCTCCACATGCCACGTGTTATTATTCTTGCGTATCCCACCGTCTATGGCCTTGAGACTAGACTGTCGTAATGTATAATTTTATTTTTGGTTTTCGTACTCATACACGCGTGTCATCAATATTATATATATAAACAAATTTTTATTGTTTATTATGAGATATAAACATTTAAAGGTTCAATTTTTTTTTGAGTTAATATACATGTATAATACATAAGGTATTACAAATATAGGTAGCTAATTGGTTTTTTTATAACAATATTCGCAGGTATATAGCCTTTATTATCAATAGTAGTAAGACACAGTTGTGAGTTTATAAATACACTAACTGCCAATACAGATATTACATTTATTGATAGTCATAATTGACAATAAACACACCGTGACTGTGACAACAATGTCATAAAAAACTAAAAAGTGAAAAATAAATATAGTTTAAAAAATTAAAAAAACACTCTTTTAAAGCACATTGAACTAAAAAGTTAAAAATAATTTTTAAAATAAGCTTAAAACAATAATGAACAAAAAATACTAGTATTATTGTGAAAAAAAGCGTGGGTCCTTTGTGCTGTATTTTCTTATATTGAGCTCCTGACTCCTTTTTTTTTACAATATTACTAGTATTTTTTATTCGTTATTGTTTTAAGTTTATTTTAAAAATTTAACTTTTTAGTTTGATGTGCTTTAAAATCGTGTTTTTTAGTTTTTTAAACTATATTTATTTCTGTTAATGATTTTTTATTTTTATTTTCTTATTTATAGTGTTATTTAATATTTTTACATTCCTATATTATTCTTATACTTTTTTGTACTTATTAGAAAAGCAAAGGTTTATGGATGGAGAAAAAGATGTAGCTATTATATCTGAAGCTGCAAGTTCTGGTATATCATTACAAAGTGATCGAAGAGCTCGCAATCAACGACGAAGAGTTCATATTACTTTAGAACTTCCCTGGAGTGCAGATCGAGCTATTCAACAATTTGGGCGTTCACATCGGTCTAATCAAGTTAATGCACCAGAATATATTTTCCTTATATCAGATTTAGCTGGCGAACGACGTTTTGCATCCATTGTAGCTAAAAGATTAGAAAGTTTGGTATGTTTTTTTTTTCATGTTGAACATTAACTAAATAAAATTAGTGCTTATTAAAGTATTGAGGTTACTCTTTTTTAGGGAGCTCTAACTCATGGTGACAGAAGAGCTACAGAAACACGTGATTTATCTAAATTTAATATTGATAACAAGTATGGTCGCGCTGCTTTAGAAACAACCATGAAAACTATTATTGGCTATGAAAGTCCCATTGTACCGCCTCCTAGTGATTATAAAGGAAATTTCTTTGAAGGTTAAACTGATGAGGTTCAAAATTAGTTGCTTCTATTTAATTTTTTCTTCCTAAATAGATGTTGGTGGTGCACTTGTTGGTGTTGGTTTAATAATCAACAATGAAACCAGCCCCGGAAACTTAACCTTAGATAAAGATTACAATAATATAAGCAAGTTCCTAAATCGAATATTGGGTATGCCTGTTGAACTTCAAAATAGACTGTTTAAATATTTTACTGATGTTTTGCATCATATCATCACACAAGCTAAAAAATCTGGTCGTTTTGATCTTGGAATTTTAGGTATATAAATTATTGTTGTATAAAAAAATCCCAGATATTTATTGTTTGTATTTGTTAGATCTGGGGACGGCTGGAGAGAATGTTAAAAGAGTAAAATTATATTCATTTCTTCGTAAACATGCCACTGGTCAAGCCACAACTGAACTTCATATTGTTCATGTAGAAAGAGGTATGAGTTGGGATGAAGCCGTGGAAAGATCTACTGAGGCAAAAGGAAGCAATGAAGGATTTTATCTGTCACATCAAGTGAGTTGGTTTTATCATTGAATGAATTGTTTGGTAATTTTTAATAAAATCAATTTTTATTTAGTTAATATTTAGATATTAAAAATTTTTTGTAGGTCATCATATAAAATTGTACCGAACTAGTTGTAAACAAAAAGATTTACAAATAATTAGGAGGTTGTGTGATAAGGGTCCTTATCATCATTTTGTAATTAAGATTCTTATTCCTTTATATCTTATAACATTTCAAAAATTTTAGTATCAATTTAATCTTAAATTATGTTGTATAACATCAAATAAACATCTTAATAATATTTATAAAATTCTATCTGGGGTTGATTTTAACATAAATAATTGAAACTAATTTCTATATGAAACAACTTGTATGAACCCTATGTTGTCTTCAATCTTTTTTTGTAGTTGAAATAATAATGCATTTAAAAACACCATTAATTGCCGCAAGTTAAGATAATTTTAAAATGTCAAATGATAGGTGTTTTTTTTTTTTTATTGTTTTAATTTTAAATTTATGTATTATATATTTTAATTGTAAAATATTTTCATTTCCAAGTAGGGACCTTCAATTTTACTTTTACAATTAAAAGTGTAAAAATAATTTTTAATTGTCTAAAATTAAAAAATATTAACTAATGGCTACCATGATAACACATCTCTATATCATATCATTGGCAACTCCTTGAAGAGTTTCAAAGAATGCATTGTTTTATTTTATGTAATTTAAGTTAATAAGTATTTTACTATTTAATAATGATAACCTACTGATAACAATTATTTTAGATCAGAAACAACAAAAGCACTGCAGTACTTGCAATAATGGCCGATAACAATTCTAACAAGAAATCTGAAAATACTAAAACTCTTAAAAAAGATATTATGTTTATGCTATTCCGCCCAAATACTGGATTACAAGTAATTATGTTTAATATTTCTTTTAAACATGTATTCATTTTTATAATTAAAATTTATAGTTGAGACAAGAATCGTTAAGTGAACTAGAAAAAAAATACTATAAAGTAGGAACTGATAAAGCAGAAAAACATTGGAAAGAACAGTATGAATCTTCAGAAAATGTTTGCTCGCATGCTTATTGGTAAATTATATTATTTTTGTACATAAATGTGTGATTAGTATGTTTTTTTTTTTTTTAGGCGTGGTAATTGTAAACTTGTGACTGTTGGTCAGGACTGTGAAGTAGGTTTAAGACGTAGGACCTATAATGTTCTTTCTGGGTCAGTTTTAAGTGTTTGGAGTCGAATAGAAAATGTTCTTTTAGCTCGCACAGGCTCTCATCATAAAATGCAAGTAGTAAGATTAAAGACTGCAGAAGGTGTCAAGATAGTCGGTGAGTTCTTTATTTAAAATATGTTTATATACATAGTGTTCAGTAAGTAAGGAAACAGGTCATTGTTACAAATGATGAGAACCATAGAAACATGTTTTCTTATTTACTTAACTCTGTATATGTAGAATAAAACGGATGAAACTTTTTGTTTTAATTTTTTTTTCAAAAAGTATATTTTAAAAGAAAAATATATATACGATTATCTTCACATTGTTGTAATAATATACATTAAGATCTCTATTTAAAAACCACTAATCAATATAGCTGATGTGAGCATAAATTATGTGGGAGATTGTGTCGAGTAGAAGTTTAGGATAAGGGTGGCCAGCTCCAAGTAGTTGGGATTAAGGCAAGGAAAAAGAAGAAGACAACTGAGAAGATAACCTTTTAAAAAATGATATCAAATATAGATTTAAATTGTTGTAACCTTAAAACTTTATTTTAAAGGAATACATCCCTCACAATAGCAGATTTTGACATTTTTTTGAGAAGTTATAAGAATATGTATCTGAGTCTTACTCTACATATTAAATAATGTAAAAATATTGGTATCTGGGTGGTTCATACCCCCTCTTAAATCTGCCATTGATCCCATTTAATATATTTAAATATAATTTAATAATATGATTATTAAATACTATTAATAACTCACATTTTATTTGTAATTCAAATTATAGTATACATTTTGTAAAATTAATTTTAATTTATTATTATGACATTTTGGCTGATTTCAATTAAAATTATAGGTACATTAATACCAAAATCATGTGTTGAAGCACTCAAACAAGACTTAAGTTCTGATGCTGAAAAAACTGAAGAAATAATTACATAAATTAATTAAAGAAGTTGTGCTTTTATGTCTAATTTTACAGTTAATATACTTTAACATATGTGAAATTAACATGGTCAAAATCAAGGATGAATAACATTCCTTTACCATATTAATTTTGAAATTTTTAGATTTCTTTTAAATGATATTTTTGATTTTGTACATCTTTGTATATCATATTTCTAAGTTGACTATTTATGAAAAAGTTGACCTGAGAAAATTTTATTTATATAACTTGTATTTATAATTATTATAACTAAAAAACTTGGTCATCCTTTTTGGAATTATATTTCCTATTGTTTATGTATATGTGTATATATATATATATGTAAACATAAAATTTTGTTCCCTGTATATGTGATTATGTTTCTACTAAGTTTATTATTTATTTTACTTTTGTAGTCTATTTTCTTTAACCTAGTCTTTTTTTGTATCTTTATTTCTTAGCGCAATAATATTCTACTTAAAGGATTCTGACTAAAAACCATTTAATTTTCTGTAAAAATATAAGTAGATGTTTTAATTGTACAAATTTGAACAAAATTTTATTTGAGTTGGTTTTCATTTTTATTGATATACTATGAAAAAAAAATTCACCTATTTTTCTATAGTGTGCTGAATGAATTGATGTTCTATTGATTTATAATATAAATAAGTGTATTCATATTATTAACACAAAAAGAAATTTATTGTTTTAATTATAAGAATACTTAGTTTATAATTGTAATATTCATTTTTAAAAATTGCAATACAATGAAATGATTTAACTGTTCTTTAATTGCACACGTGTAAATTTAAAAATTCATATGAATTTACAAATTTAAAGAAATTTGTTTAGTCAAATATTTTTTAAGGTTTAAACTAACACATTAAAGTTTGTATGTTTCTTACAAAATGTTTCTGTTTTAAAAAATGATGTTCTGTACACTTTTACTGAATTTAGGACAATCTATTAAAATGTATCTTGATAACGGTGATGCTAATGAATAACGCTTACATTTTTCAAATAGTGATAAATTATACATAACTTATTTTTAAATAGGTTAGTTTATAGTTATCTCGGTGCACTAAGCTTTTTCATTTTGGAGTATGTTATATTTTATATAGTTTACCTCTATAACCTACACATGGAATTATAATTTAAATTTTTATTAATGTACAAGAATTATACCAAGTTTTTTAAGTCTAATTGACTGATTAAATATTAAGCTTTTGTAAAAATGACTTATAAATAAGTATTTTAATAACTTAATTGATTAGCATTTACTTATAACTGTCAGAATGTGTTTAAATTCTTTAATCATATTTCAATTCAGTGTAAATTTGTATAGATCATTGTGGCTATGGGTCGTATTTTTTTTTAAATTCATTAAAGACCAATTTTTCATTATGTTATGAATGAGAGCAACAAAAATTGTGTAGATATCTGCAATGGATTAGGGATTGTCTGATTACTTTTCTATTAAGCCATAATGCAACACTATTCTATTAATTAAACAGGTTAAATAAATTTAATCTATGTAATGCTGTATATGTAATCTATTATTAATTACTGAAAGTAATTAATTAAGAAAATAACTGAAAGTGTGATTAAAAATAGATTTTTCGATATGATTAAATATATTAGTTATAATTTTTATAAGTAGTGGTAAAAAAAATTAACATGCGCTTTTATTATTTAACAAAATATGATAAGAAAATTGATCCTTAACTATAGTTGATAAGTGATAGGAATTAAAAATAATCGAGAACTTTACTTTTAACTTCCAGAACCTTCTATTTAATCAGGATGTTTGGCACACATCCAAATTCTAAACGTAGCCTTACTCTCTAAGTTTTATTAAAAACTATTAAACTTTTTATTTTTTGATTATTTATCATTAATTAATTACTCAATTAAAAAATGGATGAAAATTCTGGAATCGATTATATGATGTTGAAACAACAAGGCAATTCTGCCTTTAAATCAGGAGATTGGTTGAAGGCTTTAGAATGTTATACTTCTGCATTATTAATATTAAAAGAAAATAATCAAGATAAAGCTATTTTGTATAAAAATCGGGCTGCTGTGTATAATAAATTAGGTGAATATGAAAATGCCATACGAGATTGTAGTGCTTCTTTGGATATAAATGCAAATGATCCAAAAGCATTATTTCGTAGAAGTTTTGCGTATGAACAGGTAGGAAAGTATGAGGAAGCATATGTTGATGCCAAACAGTGTTTGATTGCCGATCCTACTAATAAAGAAATACAACCAGTGTTATCAAAATTACACCCTATTGTTCAAGAAAAAATCAGAGAAAATGCTCAATTGTCAAATAAAATTGAAAGTATGTTCAAGTACACATTTACAATTGAAGAAAATATTGATAAACGAATAACAGCTATTAAAAACCTATTAGTTTTGTCAAAAGAATCTAGTAATGGCTGTACATGTTTAATAAAGGCTGGCATAATAAGTAAACTGAAAGGTCTTTTGAAAAACGACACAAATAATGAAGTTCGTTTGAATGCTTTGAGAATTATTGGCCAAATATGTAAAAATAATGAGTTTTGTACTAAACAAGTTTTAGTCGATCTAGGTGTACCTTGGTTTATTGATGCTCTAAATACAGATAATCAAAATGAAATTAATGGTGTAACATATATTGTTCAAGTAGCTTTAAATAGTTTAACAGGAATGGATAATACTTTAGATAGTTCACCCAATGAAACAAAATGTAAAACAAATTCTAAAGAAATAGATGGAATATTGACATGTTTGGTTTGCTCTATTAATCGGCGCTCAATCAACAAATTTGCCCGAGATTCAATTATTGAAATACTTACTAGAAATATTCATTTTAATAATGTCAATTGGGCTGAGCGTTTAATTGATATGAATGGCTTACAAAGACTTTTAGAAGTAGCTAGTGAACTTTTAGAATCTAAATATGAATCAAAGATAGATATTACTGAGTATTCACACACTAATGTATCAGTATGCTTAGCACGAATTTATGATAATTTAACTAGTGACAAATCAAGAGAAAAATATATGAATGCTGTAGACGAATTTTTAAAAGAAAGACTATTAGATCCTGACACTGAGTCAAAAGTTAGAGCTGTATCTACAGTTACTGTTCTACTTATGGGACCAATAGATGTTGGAAATTCAATTGTAGCTAGAGATGGTAAGTTAACATTTTTAATAATTAAAAAAAAAATGTAATAATTTAGTATTTAAATTTAAACATATTATTTAAAAATTATTTTCTTTATTTTATGTTGTAGGTATAATTGAAATGATTCTTGCTATGGCTACAACAGAAGATAAAGTTCAGCAAAAAATTGCTTGTGAATGTATAATTGCTGCTACTTCAAAGAAAAGTAAAATTACTCCAATTGTTAAACAAGGAACACAAATACTGAAAAATCTCTATAAAAGTGGAGAAGATGAGATTCGTATTCGGGCCTTAGTTGGATTATGCAAATTAGGTAGTAGTGGTGGGACAGATGCATCTATTCGTCCATTTTCCGAAGGTGCCACACTCAAGTTAGCTGAAGCTTGCCGTAGATTTTTGATACATCCCAATACTAAACCTGATACTAAACGGTGGGCTGTGGAAGGATTATCATACTTAACGCTTGATGCTGAAGTAAAAGAAAAGTTTATTGAAGATCAAGCTGCTATTGTTGCTGTTATGGGATTGGCAAAATCTGAGAAAACATCAGCTATGTATGCCCTAGTTTCAATTTTTGTTAATTTATGTAATGCATATGAAAAACAAGAAATCATACCTGAAATGATTGAACTTGCAAAATTTTCTAAGTGTCATGTTCCAGAAAATCATGAACTTGATGATACAGATTTTGTTAATAAAAGAATTACACTACTATGTAACTATGGAGTTATTAGTGTTTTGGTTCTATTAGCAAAAACAGAAAGTAATAATATTAAGGAACTTTTATCTCGTCTCTTCAATGCAATATGTGTGTTACCTGAACTCAGGGGGGAAGTTGTTAAATTAGGAGGAATTAAAACCTTACTAACTTTAGCTCACTCAGGTACAAATAAAGGAAAAAATCAAGCTGCTCAAGCTATTGCGAGAATTGGTATTTCAATTAATCCCGAAGTATCATTTAAAGAACAGCGTTGCCTAGAGTCAATAAGACCACTTTTAGGGTTATTGCATCCAGATTGTTCAGCTTTGGAAAATTTTGAGGCCATGGTAGCTCTTTGTAATATGGCATCTGTTAATGAAAGAATTAGAAAAAAAATTATTGATTCCAGTGGACTTCAATTAATTGAAAGTTATCTTTTTGAAGAACATCAAATGCTGAGAAGAGCTTCTGTTCAGTGTTTCACCAATTTAATGATGTCACCAGAGGTAATAAAAGTTTTTGAAGAAAAAAATGATAAGTTGAAAATGCTTTTCCTTTTATGCGAAGATGAAGATGAAGATACTGCTATTGCTTCTGCAGGAGCTGTTGCAATAGCTGTTTCTAATAGTATTGATTGTTGCAAGAAAATATTAAATTTTAAAAATTGGGAAGAAACTTTAAAAATGTTACTTGCCCACCCCAACAAAGGCATGCAACACAGAGCTTTAGTAATTGCTCATAGTTTAATCGAAGTTGATAAAGATATAGCTGAGAAAATTTTTGCTACTGAAATAATGGAAATACTTATGGCTCTTTCTATAGTTAAAGGAGAAAAAACAAATGAAATCAAAGAAATGGCAGAAAAATGTTTAAAATTGGCAGAAAATATGAAAGTTATAAAAAAATCAGAAGAATAATCATATAAATTTATAGTTTTACCTAAATTTAAATAGTTTATTAACATTAAATCATTAACTATTTACTCTCAGCTCTCAGCTCTCAATTTTCATTATGTAATAAATCTATTAGTTTTATTATATATATTAAAAATTAAAACATTTTAAAAATGTTGGAATAACAAGGTATTATTAAATTTAATTACTAAACAACATTTAAATTATAGTATAAAACAATCTGTGGTAACTTTTTATTAATTAAATTATTATTTATTATACTTTGTTTTATTATGATATTTAAGTTATATTTTACTGTTGATAAACATGAATTTTAATATTATGATGTATTTATATAACAGCTATTTAAAAAAATAAAATTTATCACTTTTCTGTCTCTTATAGCTACTATCATACGGTTAAAATTTGATTTGTTAATACCTTTCACATAAAAACAATATCCAGAATTTTATCAATTTGATATTAAAAATATAATTAAATATTGAGGTGAAACTATTTTAGTAGTTGGGTTAACTTAATATATTATTCAGGTTATTTAAAAATTTATACTAATTTTTATTTACCACATAAACAATTAAAATCTGTGAAAAAAAAATTGTTTTAATCAAAGCGCTATTATTATTTTAAAATATAACTAATTTTAAATCGTTATTACACAGCAATATTGCAATAAAGTTAAATAACTTATCATATAAGTCACAATAACAAGTAAATATATATTTAATAAGATGACAAAATCTATTTTGTCATATTTAATAAAATTTCTCTTTAATATATTTATACTTAACTATTGATAGCTGATAAGAATAAAAAATAAAACTACTGATAATTGCTATCTTTTATCAATTATATGTAACATGGTCAATTTTCATAAATTTTTAATTTTTATGTAATATAAGGTACACTTTAAAAATTGTATTATAGTTATTATTTTCCACTCCAACTCTTATTTTAAAATTTATTTAAAAATTTGTGATATATATTTGTAATAATTTGTAAATTTGTACATCCATAAATGTGATTTACTAGTAAGTAAAATTTTTATTAAATTATATGTTTTCATCATTTTTTTCCAAAACATTATAAAATTTATTAGAACTATCTTGGTGTACCCACAGGGCTCTTATTTTTCAATTTAATTTTACTCCACTTCAAAACTCCATTTGAAGATTCACTTTTAGGGTCACCTGACCAATATGTAGAAATTTTTCTGAAGACACTGTTTGGTCTAGCAGTAGTTGTAGTTGTAGTTGTAGTTATTATTATAGAACTATCATTATTAATTTCTGGCACTATTTCATTTTGTTGTTCTTGTTGATCATGTTCAGTGTAATGCTGATTTGTAGTTTGACCTTGATCAACATCATTTTCATATTTTTTTTTGAAACCACTCATCGAACCAAAACCAAAGCTAGTACCTAAATATTTATCATATATTCTGTTATGAACTATTTGTTCATTCTCATTTCCATTTTTATTATTAATTCTATAGCCCCCTCCAAAATGTAATCCAACTCCAATATTTCCTGATATGCCAAAAGAGTTTTGAAAACTATTTTTACGATAATTTATGGTTGATAAGCTTCGAGGTATAGGCTTTAGTAATGAGTGGTATATTTTACTGGAGTTTTCAGATTGAGATTTACTGATTGGCAAAGAGGTTGTTAGTGTTGATATCTGTAAATTTATTTATAATAAATTACTTACAACATTATCATGGTTAAAATTTGAAAAAAGTAATATGTTATGATTAATCTTAACAATAATAGTTACTTTAATTCTAAATAAAAAACTGTTGTTTGGTTGGTTAACTCAACTATAGGTTATTTAAGTAATTTTATAGGATTAAGATAAAACAATAAGATTATCAAATTATATTATCAATTTTTTTTGTATGAAAAATTAAAATCAAATTAAAGTTATAAAAAAACTTAAATTAAAAAAAAAGTTTCAAATTAATATTTAAATAATAAATAAATAAGAAGAGTATGTATATTTAATTGGACACATGAAAACTATTGACTTTAATAGTATATTTGTTCCTAACAACTTGTTACCAATTCTGTTATAACTTTAAAAAAAAAATCTTGATTAGTCTATATTTTAAAAAATCTATTTTTATTTTTAAGAAAAATTTTGTTTACAAGTTATAAAGTAGGAAAGATTATGACCATCTAACCTCTTTAAGACCATTTAACAGATTTTTGTACTAAGAATTTACTAGATGATAAATAGTTTAGAAGTTATATCATTTATAAAGTTCTGTAAGTAGTTTAAATTAAGCAAACACATTTTCATAATTTTACTATTAATAATTACTTCTTTAATTACATAAAAATAATATTTTCGAAAGTACCTTAATCATTGGTACTTAACAATATTACATATGTATAACTTTCAATTTTACCAAAAGTTAATTTGAATTTATTTATAAGTTAACTTGTGTTAATGACACTAAATTAATTAGTATTAATTTTTTTGAATTTATTGTGTAGAATTAAGGATTTTAATATTATTTTTAATGATATTAGATTTAAATAAACATAATACTCTTTTTTATTATGTTTTTACTATGCTACAATAAAGGAATAGTGCATATGTGCATAGGTGGACTTTATTTGCTAATGTTACAAATCCTTGATTGACAAAATGATTTTATGTTGTATTTTTTATGCATGTATAAAAAAAAATCATCACTCGTGACTAATATTATTGTACCGCCATCACTAAAGAGTCAGTTTGTGATTGAACGAATATCTGTGTATCAGAGCCTCTTTTTCGTGATATGAACCTCAAATATATAATATATGAAATTTTTTATTATTTTGTATTCTTGTTTTTCAATCAATTGTTGTATTAGTCAGTCTGAGTCTATCTGAATAACTATTTTCACAAATCACATGTTTATAAGTCAATTTGTATAATTCACGTAAACTACAGTGTTAATAGTTATTTTGTTGAAAATTACTATTACATTATTTAATCACTATCATTACGTTATTTCATTCAAGTTAAATCTTAAGTATCCGAAAACCAAGAGTTGTCTTTAGTTTTAAGCTTTATCTCTTTTTTTTTCTGCTTTTTCATATTATACTAATAATAATTTTGTATTAATATTACAAAAATGTAAAGTTTTAAATTGTAAATCAAATACAAAGAAATTTAATTAAGTAATGTATTATTTTCGTATAGAAAGTTATAAAAATAAACGTAATTTTAACAAAATATCTGAAAATTAGTATTTAAGTTCTTCTCTCACGCACAAAATATTTTTTTGTAACAATGAACACCCTTGTTTTAATTTTTCAAAGAAGGTTGATTGGGTTAGACTACGAAAAATATTTAAATTTCAAATATTTTTCTGAAATACTTGAATAGTATTACAAATATGTTTAAATAAAATTATTTGAATAATATTTCAAACATTTTTATAAAGTATTATTTATTGCACTATGTGTGTACAATGTTATAATAAGGTGAATTCGCCATTTTCTTAAGAAATATTAGATGTAAAACAATTAAAAAATATTTACCACTTATTTGGCCTCTAAAAAATTTTTTATAAATATTTAATTACTTACTATACATAAGTAGAATTTAAAATACATTTTTCTATTAATAAGTCTTCTTTATTATTTGTTATTAGTTATTTTAACGATTTGATGATCACAATGACAGTTGTTACTTTCAAATGGATGGCCGGATAGAAAACATACTGTTTTGTTTTAATTTTCTATATCCCTCATGATGGTATTTTATATGAGGGCAAAAAGTGTTGCTTAATGTATTACGCTATTTTTTTATTTTTTGATAAAATGTAATTTTCTTTAAAATAGATATTCAGAGGAATATCGTTAAAAAAATTAATTTATAATCATAAATTTATTCCTTTTTTTTTTTTAGAGGCTTCATTTTTTCATATTATAAAACAAAAAAACATCCAATAAAAATATTTGTATATTATAATTACTGAAATAATTTAATACATTTTTGTAAATATTATTTTTGTGTATTTAAAGTCAGTATTTTAATAACAGGATTGTTTTATTTAATTTTAGATAAAGTATGACGAATCAATCCGACACAGACTTAGTGGAAGAAGTAGAGCCAAAACTCAAGTATGTTAGACTTACTAATGACGTTCAAACAATATTAACAAAAGATGGCGTTAGTTACTTGGCTGCACATCCAAAATTCTTGTGTATTGGTACCAATTGGGGATCAGTACACCTTTTAGATTTTGAAGGAAATATTGTGAAAAATCGGCAATTACGACCACATACAGTATCCGTTAATCAAATAAGTATTGATAGTCGTGGAGAGTTCATAGCTACATGTTCTGATGACGGAAATGTGTTCGTATACGGTCTATACACCCAAGAAGATGCTCAAGAAGTAACACTTGGCCGTTGTGTGAAATCCGTTGCCATCGACCCGTTATACCACAAATCTGGATCGTATAGGCGATTTATCACTGGTGACGATCGTTTGATGTTACACGAACGAACATTTCTTGGTCGCACTAAATCTGCAGTTATATACGATGCTGAAGGTGCTGTGCACAATATGAGCTGGCATAATAGATTTGTGGCTTGGGCGTCCGACATAGGGCTTCGTGTATATGATATAATAGCTAGGTGCTCACTTGGTCTTATAAAATGGGATAAACGAGACAACATAGTGCCTAGTACATTCCGCTGTAACTTAACTTGGAAAGATAGTAGTACTTTATTAGTTGGTTGGGTGGATACAGTCCGGATCTGTGGAATTCGTCGACGACAGCAAAGACTCAATAAAGACACTCCCGAGTATAGAGTGGAACCAATATCTATGTTCCGCATCGATTACTTCATCAGTGGAATCGGCCCGCTTGACAACAATCAATTGGTTATCTTGTGCTTCTCTAAAGAAAAGGATGACGATGGAAAATCCATGCGTCCACAATTGTACGTGGTAGAAGCAAAAGAATCAAAGTACGTAGAATTGTGTACAGACAACTTATCTCTGCGTGGATTTCAAGAATTCGGTTGTAACGATTATGCCTTAGAGAGTCTTGTTGTTGAAAATCTATTTGTTATTGTAAGTCCTAAAGATGTGGTGGTGGCGAACCCATGTGATGCTGATGATAGAATTGAATGGCTCATTGAACATAACAAATACTCAGAAGCAATGGATGTAGTTAATTCGAAGAATGTTATCCTTAATCGGAATTCTCGTATATCGGTAGGTAAAAGGTTCCTCGATCATTTATTATTCACTGAAGAATATGTGGAAGCAGGTCGATTAGCCGCTGAGTTGTTCGGAAATAACAAAAAACTGTGGCAAGAAGAGATTTTCAAATTTGCGCAAGTACATCAACTTCGGCAAGTTTGTTCTTATTTACCCCGAGGTGAAATAAAATTAGACCCACATATATATGAAATGGTATTATATGAGTACTTGAAACTTGAACCAGACGGATTTTTAAAAATCGTTAAACAATGGTCACCATCACTGTATAACGTATCGGCAGTCACTAACGCGTTAATAGAACATCTCATAGTGGATACTAGTTCGGAACTTCTTGAAGCGTTAGCTATCCTTTATACTCACTCAAAAAAATTTGAAAAAGCATTAACTGTGTACTTAAAACTTCGGCACAAAGGCGTGTTTCAGCTAATCGCAAAACATAATTTGTTTGCGCAAGTACACGGTATGATAGAAGAATTAATGGACTTGGACTGTGATCAAACAATTAAAATACTTTTAGATAAAGACGCAATACCAGTTGACGTTGCTGTGGCTAAGCTTCAGAACAATAAGTTATACTTATACACATACCTAGATGCACTAGAAAAAAAAGATACTCGAGCACTTGGTCGGCAAAACTTTCACAAGGATCTAGTTCTTCTATACGCAGAATTCTCTCGAGAAAAGTTACTCCCATTATTAAAACGTAGCGATAATTATTCCATAGCTGAAGCTCTCGATGTGTGTAAAAGACTTGAATATTATCCAGAAATGGTGTACCTATTGGGACGAATGGGTAACACCAAAGATGCTCTTAACTTAGTTGTGTCACAGCTGGACAATATCGAACAAGCCATTGAATTCTGTAAGGATCAAAACGATATCGACTTATGGCATGATCTTATAAGTCTGTCATTGGATCGACCGGATTTTCTCAAAGTGTTGTTACAAAAAATCGGTACTTATGTCGATCCCAGAATACTAATCAGCCGAATCGGCAAGCATACGGAAATACCAGGGCTCAAACAAGCATTAGTTAAAATGATGACTGACTACAATTTACAAGTATCTGTCGAAGAGGGATGTACCAAAATTGTTGTGTCCGACTGCTTTGATCTGCACGAAAAACTTTACAACGCCCGACGAAAAGGATGTAGTGTTCATGAACAACAAATATGTAGCGCATGTCAAAAATGTATTATAGGCCAAGACTGTACTAGTAACGCTGTTATATTTTTCTGCCAGCATGTGTTTCATCAAGAATGTATCACGATAGATGGTTTGGAAGCTTCTTGTACCATTTGCACGGATAGTCAAATGAAATTAGCGACTTTTCAATGAGCTCTCTTCCTACGATGTACTATATGATGATTATTTAAATTGCAAAAACGTTCAATTAATAGTTCATTATTAAATAACAAGCTGAATCAGCGCATTAGATTTAAAATCAACAAATAATGATATATTAATTGTTATGCTTGATCAAAATTATATATTTTAACTTTACAATACTCAAATGTCACGATTTTTTTTTTAAATCATAACATAACAATGTTATAATATTTTAAGAATTATTTTTTATACTTAATTATATACACTTTTATAACTATTTTTGTTATTTATTATATTTATTTAATTATCGTAGTATATTATATTTTTTTGTTTGTAAATATAAAAAATAAATGTGGTGTTGAATATATTTTAATCAACATTCTTAGTATCGAAATACGAATATAATATGATAACGATGATTTAATTCGAGCTAGTTGAAAGTTGTTAAAGACTTGACAAGGTCAGCTGTACTTCTTTAGTCGTACATTGAAGTTCATGTGTAAGGAGAGATACCGGCAGTAAGCGCGAGTGAACTGTTGAGATTATACGATATAGTCGTCCGGTCAACAGTAAACAATTCAGTGTTTGCCGAGGCCTCGTGGCAGTCGGGAAGTGATTTCGAGTGTTCGATCGGTGAATATTTTGATCGCACGTTTCTCCAAAGAAACTTAACGAAAATCAACAAATTGAGTTTCGATAATTAGTAATTAAATATTTTTATTCGGTAAAAACTTTTATGTTTGCATACAATAGCTCATCAGTTTTCAAAATACTTATGTGGATTTATTTTAAAGTAAATACAAATTCTTTTGAATCGGATGAAAATACATACATAACAAACTGAACATAACAGTGGTAAGTTATTAACAGTTATATTCGTAAGATAAACTCAATTAAAACACCAAAAAAGGTTTTTTTTTATATCACTACATTAGCAAACCCGTATACTTTTGTTGAAATTAATTTAAATTAAATTATGCATACGTCCATGACACTATACTTATGAATGTTTTTGGCGGTAATTCTATTCACTATTAGTCACATATTTGTCGATTAATAATCCAATTAATTAATAGAATGTACTAAAAGTTTCGATTATAGAAAACTTTTTTGTCAAGTTATAAGATTACAGTTAAATAATCAGAAATTATTTAATGTGTGAAATATTTCTATACTTGTTATATACACATCGTTCTTAACAAAAAATGATGTTTATAAAATATGCTACTTTAGATTTATTGGTTGGCTTAATATTGTAAAATTATTCTGTTTCTCAAAAATTGTATTTATTTAAGTATAATAAAAGTTTCTTAAGGTCCGATTGCTCTATAATTTTACAAAATTTAAAGAATTAAGTTTTCATGTACAATTTATTATTTATAATCAAACACATAACTTTTTAAAAATTTAATATTTTGAAACTTTTTAAAAATATTTCTGGAATAATACGTATACATAAGAATAAAAGTGTATTCCAGTGCCTGAAAAAGATTTTAGGTTTTTACTTACAGTATGAATTAAACCTGAATTACCATATATTTATATGTCACAGAATGTTATGTATTGTAGAAATGACGCATGTCCAGATCTTTCAAACGCCTACCCATAAGTTAAACTAGGGTAATTTTTTTTATTAATTCTATGTACTTCATCGAGTATTTTCCTTTAGGCATTTAAATTTTAGTGCAACTCACCAATGCTTAAAACAGTTTTTTACTGTTTTCTACTGATTTAATATTTTGGACTAGGGTCATTTCTCAATTAAGTGGTTCAAATTGTATTAAGTTATTCTGAACACAACATCAGCCAGTACAAAATTGTATTAATTGACTTGTAAACTTAGTAATGTGATGTCACTGAGGTTATAGTTTTAATTATAATAAGGGGGGGAGTTTACCCTACACTTAAAATTAAAAATATTTCAACACTACTATATAATTCAATGATAAAGTTGCACAAACATTTCAAACATTGATTCAAATAAAATGTATAAATGTACTTAATTCCTAGCTCTATTTATGAATAAGAAAAAACGTTATACAAGTTAGATTTTATACATTAAATTTTTACGAAAACAACATTAATCTAAATTATTAAATTTAAATTAATTATCTATGACAAAAAAATGTAATTTAATGTTAAGAATTAATTTTGTATAAGTATGCACCTTCTAAGTTGTTGTTTTATACAAAAATTTGCATGATATAATTTTATAAAAAAAAAATTTAATGCAAATATATTTTATAGTTATATGAAGTAAAACCAAATATATTTATAGATTTTTGTATATATTATTTTGAACTTAGACATTGTTCATCTGAATAATGTTTATTGTTCATTTCAATAATATTCAGTTTACAGTCAATAACAGAGCTGTTCATTTCAGAAACACAACAAGGGAATTGTGTTTTTTAGTAAATAGACACGGAGGAGTCGAGGCCGGCTCTATGACCTTTAGATACTCTCCTACTCGTTGTGTCTGTATTTTATAAAGTATGTTTTTTTACCTGTTATGGGTTCACCGCAAAAAGAATCTTAAACCTTGAAGCAATTATTTTAAAAATTTTGCAGTCGAAAACTACTGTAGTACTCTTTGGTTCGGTACTATACTAATGTTACGTTTATGTTCAATTAAATACATCTCGTTTAATTTTTAACCTCATTACAATTCTTATCAACCATCTATTATTTCAACATAAGAAATTAGTTGTCTGGTTTTTTCTAATTAACATACTTCAATATTAACCGTATAAATTATCTGCCGACGGCAGAGACGTTATGAAATTAAACACTTTTTTCCAATGATTAAATTACGTAGTAATCCTATTAAATAAGGAATTAATTCCAGTAGGTCTGTGTCTTATTTTTCTGCTTATTTATACCGATGAGTATTGAATTTTTAAGCTATCACTTGAATTTATACTTACTAATATTGTCCTTGGTTGAAAAGTTTAATTTGTTTACTAAACAAATCCCTAGAGGTCTTAGTGATTTGACGTCATTGTGGTCAAAACATATAATTTTAATAAGCTTCATTTAGAACGTATATAATGCATAAAAACTTAATAATCATTAATTAGTATGTTGATGAATATTTAATTTATAAAAAATAGTTGATGAATATTTTTTAAATACAATTAATATCTAAATAGCATCTTAAAATTACTGAAAACTTCAAGAGTAAATATAATTATTATTGTCTTAAGCGAACACGTACTCATAATAAAAAATAACAATTAACTTAATACTAAACAACCTGTAGAAAATTGTAATTTGTATTGAAAATTTTAACGTTTTTTACCTAAATACATGACATTTAAAATTTAAAAATCTATACCCTCAGCCTTGATAAATTGCTTGGAATAAGTAATACTTTAAAAAAAAATTAAAAATGTGCCAAGGCGACAAAGAAAAAAGGTCATATTTTTCGGGTGTAAAAACATTCGAATGACTTTAGTTAAATTGTTATTAGAATTTATTTAATCTTAGTCATAACCGATTAGTCGAGGAAGTGTACACAATTAAGGGGATGTAAGGATAATTTTCTATTTCCTTTTTCGCTCTGAGTATAATTTAATTGTTACTGCAATTAGATTATTGTTGTTCATTTGAAAACTAATATTATTCAAAATAATGTTATCCGTACCACGTAAAAACTGTTTAAAAATTTAATTCACAAAATACAAATGAGTTGTTGAATAATTTCATAATACTTTTTCCAGTTGTCCTGTAAGCGTAACGACATCCAATACCACTTTTTTAGGCAATGGTCATTATATTCATTAAACATTTAAAATAACTACTCTTGAAAATATATCAATCATTTTAAATATAACCGCAATCCTAATTCTCTCACATATATAATTTAATGTAAAATAAAATAATCATTTAATTTAACAAGTGTAACTGTAATACAGTTGTAATTACAATTTAATACCGATTTAATGTACTGCACTGTTGATATAATAATAATGTTATATTTTAAGTAAAACATCTTGAGATAAAAAATTTTTATTTTAGTTTTTTTGTAATTATTCGACTATACCTTAATTTTATGAACTTAAAACCATTTAGTGGTATCATGTAATTATTCAAGTATAAATTTATCTTTAATTTAAAATAATATTTTCGAGATTCGTTTATGCTATTCACAGTAAATTTTGTATTCATATCATTATTATTTCGGTTTTTTTATTTAGAAAAGCGTGTAATTAATTTTTAAATAAATTTGTATAAGATGTGTTTTAAACAATCAATTATTTATAAATCAAATTTTCAAGGTATTAGTTTTAAAAATAAGCAGACATCACAAAATCATTATTATCGTAATGAATTAATGATTAAAAATTGCCTGTTTTACTTATTATTCGACACATAATGTCGATGAAAATAATATTTTAAGGCTTATTTGCGTTTAAGGGAAATTCTTATTGAAATAGCCCGAATAATTTCACATTTAAGTACTCGATAAAAAAATATTTATTGTGACGTAAACGCATCGTGTCATGGCGTACTAATGACCCATAGACTATAGAAACGATTAGAAAATTATACTATTGGTATGCAACGATAATATTTTATGTAATATTGAGTGCGTAGAATTTCCATTATTTTTTTTTATTATTCTATAACTAAAATTTAGTTTTGATGATAAATTAAGTAAAAATGACTATACTAAGATGTGCTACTACAGTAAATTTATTCTGAAGGTATTTCTAAGGTTTAATCTCTTGTTTCAAATTGAAAAGTAACACAAACTATATATAATATTACATATTTTACATCCTTTTATTTCTCAAATTTAACATGCTATAGAGGGGCTGGCTCTTTTTCACATGTTAAGGAATCAAAGATAGTTCTTTTCTAGGTCATTGATGGACGACTTGTACAAAAAACAAACAAGGCCTTGCCAACCCCTTTAGGTAATACAAACTACCATTTTAGTTACCAACTGAAAACTGCTTAAAGAAGTATAATAAATAATTATATTTTTCTAACTTCAAATAAACAATGAGTTTATTAACATTGCTAAATTAATTAATTAAATTATTCATTTCAAAAATTCTTACTATTTTGATTAATTTAGTTAAATGTAAATTAGTCATCATAGTTTTTGTTAGTTTTATCAATTGCGGGCAATGCCCACAAGCAAACGCCAATAAGGTCAAGTGATTGAAAAAAGTTGTATTTATATATACAAAACATATATATTCGGTATTGTGTCTCGATCATACGTTGATAAATTAATTAATATAATCAAGAGAAATTATACAATTGATAATTCATCATAATATATTTTATGACGTTTCAATGCGTCACGGGTGAGTTTATGTTATATTTCTTTATCAGTTATTACCTATATAATTATGCTTAATAATGTAAATTATTTAATACTTTGTTACTTATGTAGCGTTAATAATTTAAACATCATTAGCTGTTAAACATAATAACAATAGATTATGACTTAAAATTTTTAATTTTTCAATGACGTATTTATTTTTACTTAACGTTAGTCTAAGTAGCGGTTGATTATAAAACTTATGTTGTTTATATTTAATAAATATTATTGTACTTTGTTATTGCAATAGTATTTATTAGAAGACTATTTATTAGAAATAATATGACTATGTTTACGCAATATGAATGTTGAACTACTGCAACTAAAAACACCGATAACGAGAGAACATATTTATGTAACGTAAAATAATTTCAGTTTTAATAAAACTATTAAAAACAATAAGATTATCAGTTAACCAGTTAAAATTGTATCATGCATCGAATTTTAATTGACCACTCATCTAACACACACACAAACCGACTAGTCCAGTCCAAAGTTTACTAAACGTTTCATCTTTTTTCTGAAAACGCTGTTATTAGGCATCATTGTACCATTAGCTACCCAACGAATTGCACTTCTATTGCTAACGCATCGATTATTAGATATTTTTTCTAAATTTTACATACATTAGCAAACATAAGGTCACAGAAAATTTTGTTCATTCAATGTATGTCATATGTCCATCTCATGAGTTGTATAATAAAATTCACTAATATTATTTATTTTATTTTCAGTCTGTGAATACACACTAACGGACTAAGCAAAAACAATAGAATACACTGGATTTTCTAGGATTTCTATTGGGCTCGTATGCAACGCCACATGACTTCAATACAAGGTTAGTGGTTTTATCAAAATATACAAATTTGTAATAAATATTTTTTAAATTATTAAAAAAAATATATTGTGTTATTATAAAATTACTATAAAATAAGTAAAAGTATTTATATCAATTGATTCTACATTTGATGAAATTGAATGTAATTGAAGGGCTCGGTTTAAGTAAAAAATTTACATATAAACTGTGTGAAAACAATAATAATAACGAACAAAAATTTAAAGAATAATTATGAATCTTTAAAAGTTTTATATACATTTTACCTTAATAATAAAAATATAGTAATAACAATTCTATAGTTTTATGCTACGAATAATTGCAAATGGCGTTCGAGATGACCCAATACCTGTGCGTAATAGTAATAACGACAGAAAGTGGGATAGATTGCTGTAGGGATATATATTCGATACTCAAATATGGTTTAGGTCAACCTACTGTGACAAAAATATGTCTATAGTGCAGATTAGTGTAATGAAGTAATTAAAATTTAATATAAATCTTACAACTTTATACTTTTAATAAGAAATATTCCATTAATAAATAAAATACTGTAATTTTTCAAAATGATAATATATTACCATTATTAAGGTTGGCTCATAGAGAAAAATCTTGGTGAAGAGGCAAAAACAAAAATATGTCTCCCCATTAAGTCTCCAAAATGTAGGAGCAAATATAGAAGTACGATAACTTTTTTGGGAATTTAAAATTCATTTTTTTCTTAAAAATAAAGAAATTTAAGAGGGTTAATGAATTAATGAAACATATTTTTCGAAACAATTGTAAAAATCATTGTATTTATTAATATAAAAAAGATACGTTTCTGAAATAAAAAATGAGAAAAATGGAAGAATTTATGATATTAGTTCTATAAAACTAGTTTCGAGGAAATTTTTTTGCATAGAGAAATAGTAACAACTTAAGAATTCTTTCAATTTTGTGTTATTTAATTAAATAGTCTCAGATAAAATTTTATATCTTAAACATAAATACAATTATAGTTAAAAAATCTATTCTTTTTATATTTAAAATCTGAAATTTTTTCAAGAATTTTGTCTCTTAAAAGAGAAAAGGATTTATTAAGTTGCTATAAGTAAAATAACAAGTTGTTTTTGTCAAACAAAATTGACCATGAAATTCATGAAAAATTTCAATTTGTATAACATACGATGTCTTTTTCTTTTCCCTCATCTTAATCTCAACTACTTGGGGTCGGACACCCTTACTCTAAACGTCTACTTGACATTTGTATGTCATGTAGGTAGTTTTTAGGAGTAACTTTTAAAATTTAAACGGTAACATTTAATTATTCTACTTCTCTTGGATTGAAAATAGACTAATAAAATTTGATTGGTCAATAACCAGTTTTGTAATATTGATAAAAACAAATAAAACTTCATTCATTGCATTATTATGAAGAAATCATTATTTAATGAAAAATTTGAGGGTAGTATTTTATAAATCACACAGTACATAAAAAAAAAAAACTTACATTTGTTGAAAACAATCGCTCGACTAAAAAAAATATTTAGTTTATGTCGTCTTTACTTTTGTTTACTATAATTTGCACGCGATCAAATTAACATAAACAAATTCACTAGTCATAGTATAATTATGGTAAAAAATCGAACGAAATAACCACGTTCATCAAAATAAATTATACTAACATCGAATAAAGTTTCCTGAATGTTTCGTTTTTTTTTTTCATAATACAAAAAATTATTAGTATAAAATTTCTAGGTATTATTACTACCAATTATTATCCTCGACGAAACGACCTAGATTTCAAAACTTAAATAATTATATCATGAAGTCTTCCACTTAGTCAATTTATAATTTGATACCATGCATAATTATCGTGCCGCTTTGGTGAAAAGCTTCTTTGAACTTTTATGATAAGCCGAAAACACAATTAATTTGGAAGCATGACCCTCATCTTCTTAAGTATCAGTTAAACTCTTTAAAGAAAATAAATTACATAATTTTAAAACGATAATACCTTTGTGAAAATAGAGGTTTCAAAACTTATCTCTATGCTTACTAAACATATAATTTGCTAACGTAATTTCTTTGATCAATAAAAGTTAAATATTTATAAATAATGTACATCAAGCAATTCAAGTACATAATTTTCATTCTAAAATTATTAAAACCACCTAATTAAGCACAATAGTTGAATTTGATTTTAGATAAAAATTTGTTTTTGTTTATAAAATCTGAAATTGTAATTATAATATGCCAGTTAATACATCATCGATTGATAGGCTCTATTTTTTGTTTGTTCACTCGTCTGAAATTGACCTTAACATTTTTTAAAGACTAGATACGCCAACGTTTTGTAATAATACTAGTGATAACAAAACCGCAATATGACGTAGTTGTCAAATATAAATCTTAATAAAGTTTACTTTCAAATACTATTTTCTTTTGACTAAAAAATACTTAATTGATGTATTTTTTAAATTAAAAATTAATAATTTGTGTAAAAAAATACACATTATAATATTTAATCATTTTAATAATGAAACATATTTCATAAATTGAAATAATATTAATACAAAGAAAAAATATACAATATTCTAAAATTAAACTAAAACATCATTAATTTACAAATTAGAATTAATTAATAGACTATTTGGTAACCAAAAATATTTGTTATTTGACCTCGGTAAAAAACACTTAAATTTAATTCTCACGGTCTTGAAATGTTTTTTCTGTTGAATATTTAAATTCTATTACTTTATAAAGTTCTTAAGTTTTTTTAATTATAATTTATCTTTGTGGCACAATTCGATTGTTTCTATTATCGGAATAAAAATTGTTTAAAGGTGTATGTATCTTTTTAAAACCTCGCGAGCAAACTTTTTCGTTAATTCTCTCAAATCCGAAAGACTAAGATTTCACGAACCCTGCGGGTAGTATATAAAGTGGTATTTCGCATTAAATACGATTATAATTGTCAAAAGCTTCAAATAAGTAAGTTCAGAGGCATTCTATTATGGGTTTCCCAATTATTTATCTAACTTCCTCGTCTATACGTAATAATATGGAGCAAGTAAGTTGTACACAAGTATTTTCACAGGACGATGTAATAATAATATACCAACAACAAAAACAATCGAAGGAACAATAATATGTAATAACAATACGCGCGTGACGGGTACCTTCTTATGGGTATGCATTCATAGAAATAGTTAAAGAAATCCTATACCGCCTACGCCGCTTAACCTCAGGATGTATGTCAATCATTCGAGCCTTGCAAATTGCGCGTCTTGTGTACATAAATCAATGTATAACAGAACTTGCATATCGCATGTTCAATTTGAATTTCAGTCAATTTCAAATGAAACGCAAAAAACAGTACCGCGACATAATTTTAGTTAAGTAAATTGTAATATAACAGTCGTTCATATCGCGAGGTAATCTAATTGTTTAAAAATAAATTAATTACTTTTTTGACATTAGTTATAAAAACAAAAGTATTTTATCATTGAACAAACAAATAATAACTCATATTGTTTTTTTTATTACAGCTTCTTCGATATCGACATGGAAGCCATCCGCAGTGGACGTGAAGACTAGCTGTAGATTAACGAGTAATATTGCTAGCAGCAATCTTACCTCTACAGAATCCATCAGGTGAATTTTACATAAATTAATTACCTGTTTTTTAAATTTCTCACCTTAAGATCATTCAGAACACTCAGAGAGGGTCAAGTATTGAAAATACCTACGCAAGTCTTTTTACTTTAACCTTATCATTGACAGAGAGTACATTTAACAAAATAAACATCACAGCACATTTATTACGATGGCAAAATACTCGTTTACCTATACGAATAACTAAATAGAATCGTTTCCCAATCTATTAAAGTCCTTACCTTCAATTTTAATTTGGAAAGTAAAAACAAACATTTTTCTAAATTTAGAGTATGTTCTTAAACATACTTTAAGAACCATCAATTTAATATTCTGTAGGAATATTACTATTATTATTTTCTAATAATAATAAACATACTTTAAGAACCATCAATTTAATCTTCTCTAGGAATATTACTATTATTATTTTCCAATAATTATCAACCTTGAAAAAAATTAAATATCCATCATATTTTTCAAATCATATTTTCAACCAACAACAGTAGTCGTCATTGTCAATATACTTATACAAGCTCTACATGTATACGGTAAGGCGTGATGTATCGAATAACGTTTGTGCGTTGTTCGTGTCCCCCGAGGACCAAAAGTCAAAAGCTGTTTACTTTTTCTTTGACGACCCGCAAAATTGCTGCCAGTAACGACCGTCGGAGGTTGTTGTCTTGTTATTTTGCACTACCTATATTATCCTTTTTTACCTTGACACAAGCGTGGAAAATGTTCCATTTTACCTGCGCGGAAGGACTACCAACAATGGCTTTGTTTTCTTCGAAATGGAAAACTTCTGAATTTAATTGAATTGATCGAGGTTACTATTATGCGTGAAATACTAGTTGAACATATGATGACTCTGAAACCAATAAATTAAATTGATATTTGGTATGATAAACGGTTAGAAGTCCTTGATTTGTTACTGTTGACCAAGTCTTCAATAGCTTTGTTCTTATTGTGTTGTTTTTTAATGTTACGCCGTATTATCAGACTTTTTTAGCTTTCGGTTTTTTATTTATTTTCCGTATACGCTGTTTTATTATCTACAGTAAAACCATACCTTGTCTATACTATCTTTTTGGGTGACATGCGCACAAGTCCTTCGAGGGATGCGGCTGTCGGCAATTTCATTGCTTTAGTAAGACACACGGCGCACAAAACATCATGGTAGTACGTTTCCGATACTCGGAACATCAATAAGTATCGTCGGCCTTTGTTACAAAGTCATTTTTACGTTAATAAAAAAAAATCATTTCAAAATAGGAATTCTTGGTAAATTAAGAATGAAGAGCTTTTGAATACCACTAGGTCTGTTAGGATATTTTTCCATAACGCCGTATGAGCTGTTCAGAGCTTTTTACACGAAACACAAAGATTTCATCCGCCATAGCTGTAAAACTGGCGTATTATTTCCATAGTGTGGCATTTATTGTGATTAACATGTGACCGTCATTGTTTCAAGACGGGCATTATAGCGTCACGCCTCATCAGTGCCCAAGTAGCGTAAGTCTTATGTAAAAAATTATCTGTTTACATTTTATAGACGTTGTTTTATTTTTTTATTTTAGAGTACCTACTCTTTAGCAATTCTTTGTGTCTAGTGTCTATAATTGATTAAATTCTAATTGGTTTTTAATAGCAAATGTTAAAGAATCGACAATTTTGAAGTATAGAAAGTTATATAATTAGACATAACCGAGATTTGCACGTATTGATCGTTTAACCGTATGAATGAATGTTTGGTAATTGTATTAAACTGCAGTTTTGAAATGATTAACGTTGAACACTTATTAGATTTATAATGATTCTCATCATATGCACATGACCATCAAATATAAGTGTTTGACGCAAGTAGGTAATAGTGACGACATAATAAGACAGTTAAATATTTATTACTACACAATGAATTATAGTTAGGGTCATAATTAAATATGACTACTCATTTAGAAAGTAAATATGTATTTTTTAGGTTTTATTTTTAAAATTATTCGTTTTTCGAATCTCATTTAAATTTAATGCATACTAAAAAAGATTTAAGTAAAAATAAAAACAACGCAGTGGGGTAGCGGCATAATTGAGACATGTATATATATATTATCTAACAGTGATAAACATCACTATCATAAAAAACGATTCAATGGGAATCTGTTAAATTTTACAATAATTTATTTACTTGTAATTTTACAATATCTGTTCTTTTTATATTGTACTGAAATATTATTAAATAGTTGTTAAATTATTTGCTTGTTGAGAATATAATATTTTTTATTTTATTTCGACAGCCAATTTTTTATAGTTGAATATTTGTTTAAACATTTTTTTTTTTATATTTCTAAAATTGAAGGAGTTTTCCAATTTTTAATAACGATAGGTTCAATTAGAATAAAATCGTTTTTTTTAACATAAGTCATTATAATCAATCCAATGAGAACTTTCATTAACTAACATAAAAATACATTATGGTAAAATGAATAACTTCTCAGCTTCGAATCTAAAATAATAGTAAAACCAATTCACAAAAGAATAATCTTCAATGACACATGACACGCTTCTTTTCTTTTTTTGTAGAACGTTTTTTTTTTTATGAAATCATAAATGTAAATATACACAAAACCTTGTTAAACATACATGTATTTTCATATTTTACGCGTGTCGTTTAATGAATGATATTATAATAGCGTTTTACGTGGCAAAAGTACCATTTTGAGCCGGAAAATCAGATATAAATCTACTAGCCGTTCACAACACAATAATGTAACATAATAGAATGTGGTGATAGTAGTTAAAAGTTAATATATGTAAATTATAGACATGAAATACGGTATTGAATGTTTCAAAGGGGTTGTATATATACAGAAAAAAATTCAACGATTAATTGCGTTTGAAACTTGTTTATGACGGACAACCACATTACGAAAGCTTCATTGCGTTAGCTAATGATATTTTAATGGGCTAATTCTTGTCTGTTTGCAGGTAACATTAATTATAAAAGTAATGAATTAAAGCTTTTTCTAAAGAAACATTATAATAATTCGTTGAGTGTTGTACAACACAAGGCCGCGCACAAATAACTACTATAATATTTAAATATTTTGGCTACTGTATTGGCCTGCAAGTTTTAATTTCAAAATACTTTTCTCGGCCATCTGACATTTATTATTATGCTACCAGAGAAATGTGAATATGAAAATTTGATATTATTTATGTACGGGTAATAAATAAATAATTGCTGTGTTCATTTGTACTACGACACTACAGAATAATGATTTGAGTATGAAATATACTGGCATTTATAGGAAGGCTCTTTCGATAAAGTTTTGAACTCATTGAAATTCACAACAAGTTCTCATTGGATTTGTAAATGTCCTAACTTAATCGCGTGACACCTTTACTTTAATAACGATGGATAAGTTTAATCATATTAAAATCAATTATAATATAATTTTATACGAAATAAAAAAAAAAATATATTTATATAACATTTGTCGACATTTGTTTGTATGGCGACATGTCATGTAATAGCATTGAGTTTTTTATAGTTAATGTATGCATTATTTCGTCGTTCGATTTTAAAATTTCAATGAGATATAATATCAGTTATGTCAACGGCCTACACAAACAAATAGTTGAAAACATGTTATCATATATTATTAGGTTTAATATTTAATAATTAGCTGTATAAAAAATATAGCTTACTTACACATTTGTGATTTTTATAAAATATTAAAGAGAGTTCTCGAGGGCGTTTTTATGTGATGTAAGGCGTTCATAATTAATTTCAAGCTGTTTTGCATGGCTTTTGGTGGACGTATCCTTGTTATTCAAAACAGCACACGATAACTCTCAATAAATGAATATAATTAAAGTAATAACAACTTGTTTTTTTATAAAGTGTTTTCATCATTTGTTTATGACTTACTTGTTTTTTTAATTTTTAATCGTTATTGGATACTACTTATTATAAAAGTTGTCGGTCCTCGAAGTGGTATATTAAATATCGATAGGTACTGATCGATGTAATTAGTCGTAGTGCGATAGTGGTGTCGAACCAAAATAATCTTTCATAGACCTCGAGTCGCTTAAGAAGTTCTTACATTACTAGTTGTGTTTTTCAATAACGTTCGGGACTGATATTGAAAACATTTTATAAAAATATTCAAATGTGAGCATTATGGGAACTATCTCTACATTGTTTGTGTTTTTTTTTTTTAATATTAAATGCCTTTCATAAATTATTTGAAACGATTTTTATTTAAACGTGATTTTTTTTTTTATTTAGTCGACATGACACCTCAATATCAGTGGATGCCGATTCCTTGCCATCAGTGTCGGGAGATAATGAACAACAGTGTGCCAATCCTATAGACGTAATAAACAGCAATGGGGGAGATAATTCAAAGACTGATTTAACGACTACAATAGTAAACTCAACGACAGCAGCACTAACAACGACATGTCCCCGACCAATATGTCCAAATTTGCCATATTCACCGGTTTGTTCGCCAAGATTTTCTCGAAGGCGACCGCCATTACGGGAATGTGGTGTGTCGGTGAACGTACAGAGCTTAGATGATCCTAACTCTCATCAGAAACTTAATCAGTACAAACTAATCGACTCCATTGGACAAGTAATAATAGTTGCCTTATAAAAAAATGTATCAACTTAAACTAATGAAATCAGTATTCCATGAATATTTAAACTCCTACAGTGTAATTAAAATATTCATATCTTAGTTCTTATAAAAATAAAAGGTTTATTAAAAATAAAAATTTTATTTTATCAAGAAAGAAAAAACAAATGAAAGATTAATGCGTATAATCCAAAATATATGTTAGTTTTACAGTCAATGTCAAATCACGTTCTAGAGTTGATAATGTTAAGTGATTGGCTCAAAATATTAAACATATTCTATTATTATTCATCATGTGTGCAAAACTCAGGGGATCAATGCCTTTTGTTAGAGCAAAATCAAATCGATAGTCAACATTTTACTACTGATTAAAGTATTAAATTTGTCATTCATATCATGACTTCTCATTTCCATAAACGTTATCGTTCGCATAAACTTCAGATATGTATAACTTGTATACATCACTAGGAGTGGGTTGATCTGTCATGCATAACATAATAGTAACACTATCATGTGTAATTACTTGTGGGAAAAAAGGTGATGTCCTTTTGATTATTACAGGCAACATAAGTGTTATGTGAAATCTTCACGAGGCCTTATTTATGAAAATTGTATAATTAATATTTAAAAAAATTAACTTCAAGCTTTAATAATGAATAAATCTACTTAATTTAGGCACTGAACATTTATTATAAAGTTCAAAATGTTATTTTGAGAAATTGATATCCTTTGAATGTGTTCTATTTTTTTCAATTGGTCGTTTTTATAACTAAGACAGTTTTCTACGTAAACCATATTTCTAGAGAAATTCTATCAATTCTATGTTAATGGAAAATATTTTACTTTAAAATTTTAATATATATATATAAGTTTCAATTATTTAATTAAATAGTCACAAATAAAATTTTGAATCTTAAACATATATATACAAAGTGATCGGTTTATTATAAACCACTTGATTACTCACAAAATAGATACAATATTGGAAAAAATGTTTGATTTCTTTTAATTACATAACTAAAATAGCAACTTATAACATCAAATAAAATTAAAATTATTAATTTATTTTTTAGGGATCTTACGGACTCGTAAAGTTGGCGTATAACGAACAAGATGAAAAACATTACGTTAGTATTTTTTTTTTTTATAAATAATTGGTGAATTTTTGGAAAGTTGATTGTTAAATTTAATTAATTAATAGTTTCATGATTAAATCTCATTTTAACTTAATTTTGAGTTTTATAATTAAGTCAGAAGGCATAAATATATTTTTTTAAATAAAATATGCTCAGTAATTACGACGAAAATACTATACATTTTTATTTTGAATTTAGGCAATGAAAATAATGTCAAAAAAAAAGTTAATGAAAAAGGCAGGCTGCTTTGGTAAGTTTTATTTCATTTAGTCATATTAATTATTAAAAATATTTGTGAAATTATTGATGCTAAAAAATTGAAGTCATATTTATATCATACTGAATATTATCAAACTATTATCCATTGTTGTACTATTATAGTTTATAAAAAATAAAAATATATATATTTTTTAAGTGAATTTGAAAGTAAAACAAATTATAATTGTGATAACTGATTTGGTTAGGTATCAGAACGGGCATGAGTTTAGATTTTTTGAATTGTTTATGCACGTATAAAGAGTATAAGTAATATTGGTAATAAAAATAGTAATTAATTCATTTATAAAAAATAATTTAAAAAAAATTGGTTGTGAATTTTTTCTGTTATTCGCCAAAATTACTCCTTTGTTAACTAGAATAAATCATTAAATAGAAAATTTTATGAGAATTAAAACAATGTTATTTTTAAGATTAATATGCAATCAGAAAGTTTTATAATTACTATTTATTGTAAATTTATCAGAAAAACTCATTATTTTTTGCATATTTATCGTAATAGAACACTTAAATAGAAATCATAGTAATCATTTCTAAGTAATTTTTGGTATTTAAAAAGATTCTACAATTGAAATATCCAGAACTGCATTAATTTTAATGATTTACTTTAACTAAAAAAAAAAAGTTATTATTTTGAATCCCTAAATTGTGGGCAGGTAAAGGGTTAGATTTATAAAAAACCAAATGATTGATAAAGACATGCATCTAAATAAAAAAAAAAATTATACTGATTTGGTCATTTTTGATAAAGTTTAACAGTTAACAAAGCTATAAGTTTTATACACTGTACTACAAGGAACTTTTATCAGGAACAAAAATATAATATTCTAAATCAACATTTCGAGATGTTTTCAAATGTGCAATTAGACTATTTCTATCACTTTTAAGTTTTAGTATTATTGAAAAATAGTACTTACATATAAAAAAAACCCAGCACAGGGGGGTCGCGGCACAGTAATGCCGTGGTATAGTTGGATCAAGTATAATGATATCTGACAGTGATTAAAATCACTATCAAAAATAAACGCTTCGATGCAAATCTTTAGATAGTGTTTAATTTAAAAAAAAATTGGTGTTTTATTCCAAAAGCTTCTTGATCTGCTGGTTCCTTATTAATATCTCGATTAAGATAAAGTATGTCGAATAAAAAGGGTTTATTAAAAAATATTATTTCTCATAAAAAAAATTGTGTGGATCCATAAACTTTTCAATAAGTTATAGCATTATAAAGTTAAATATAATATAAATAATAAAATCGAGAATTTTCACACGAAAATAGCATTCGGTAGCCATTTTCGCCGTGAAGACAAGTCCAGAGGTCAAATTTTTTTTTTTCAAATTAAAGTATATTACATTAGCTTTAATTTAAGATATATATAAAAGTGTCAGACCTTCCGGAACATTTTCAAAAGTTAAGTTGAAAAAGTTAATTTTTTGTGAAAAAGTTGTCATTTTAAATCCCCCCCTGTGGGCAGGTTAAGTGTCAGATTTACAAAAAAAATATACCAAATGATAGGTAAAGACATCAAGCATCTATATAAAAAAAAATTATATTGATATGTTCATTTTTGAAAAAGTTACGGCAGTTTTTAGTAAAAAAAATTGAAAAAATTTCGAAAATTAGCGATTTTTAAATTTGTAATTTTTTTGGAGGTTTCCCCCATTTACGGGGAACGAGGGAATTTTTTTCAATTTTTAAGGGTAATGTCTTCGACTAGATACGATTTGTGATCTTTTGACGTATCGTTGAAAGAAATCCGTTCGGTGAGAGCTGAGAAAAAGTGGTAACAGACACAAAAAAAAAAAAAAAAACACATCATAGTAAAACCAATACCTTCTCAGCTTCGCATCGAAGCTAAAATATACTCTACGTGTAAATGTTTTAACGACATATTAAAAGCATTATTTTAATATTTTCAAAGGCTCAGTGTTAAATTCCTATCATTTCCTCTGGTTATTCTGGTTTAGTTTAATTCTCTATATTAATATAAGGTTACTTTATATAAAGAATGACTTGTAAATTATCTCTTGAAATAGTTTAATATATCTTTAGTTTTATATTAATTATAATATTAATAAATATAATAATATTATTATATTATTATACGAATTATAATTAATCACTGAGAGAATTAGTGCTCATCTAAATTAGTCATAGATTTTTTATTTTTTAATTAAAAATTTATCTATGTTATTCAGTGAAATGTCTGATTATAAAAATATATTTATAGGAGAGCGGGGAAGTTGACACTTGAGGCAAAGTGATCATCTTAGATAAAATAAAAATAATGTTTATGAATATTTTATGGAATATATTTTGGAATAATATTTTTAAATATATAAACAAATTTGTTGAAAATAATTTAAATGCAAATATGTTTATTTAAAACTGTTCTTTTTCCTTTTTAACACAAATTCTTATGACTAGGATACAAGATGTTTTATAGATTAAGTTTGAAAATACTATACACACCACTTTTATTAACTCTAAATCAAAACTATACAATTTTTACAAATTGTTATTTTTATTATCTGCAATCTTATACTCGATGTATCTTTAAATTGCACTTAAAATTAATAAAATTTAAATTTCAAAAATATTTGGATACTACCGTAAGTATTACATTTGAACCGTCTTTTTTTTTCTTTAAAAACCTTTTTCATTACAAACTTAATGGTATAACTTTATTGATTGTCGTGTCAAAACCAATTCAAAGTACATTTTTATTTTTAATCAAAAAGTTTCTATTAGCAATAAATCACTGCTTTAAAATTCGACAAACGTGCTGACAGAAGTTCAAGGAAAAAATTTACGGCGACAATAAAACAATAGTTTAAATAAACTATTACAAACCAACAAAATGTTTTTAATAATTAAGCATATTGATTTTTTTACATTGCGTCGCTAATTCTAAAATGATATACTAAGTATACGAGATTAGATTTTTTAGCTTCGATGCGAAGCTGAAAAGGTATTAATTTTACCATGATGTGTTTATTTTTTTTTTTTTATGTCTGTTGCCACTTTTTCTCAGCTCTCACTGGACCGATTTCTTTCAACAATACGTCAAAAGATCACAAATCGTATCTAGTTGAAGACATTACCCTTAAAAAATTCCTTATTCAAATAAAAAGTAGCTTAACCAGCTTTTTCCAAACAAACAATTAAAATCATTCATTTCTAATATTTTTTAAGTATTTATTGTGAAATTAGATTTGATGTGATAAAAGTATTTAACTACAAAAGTAAATAATTTTACTTTGTAATTTATTAATTTTTTAACTCTATTTGTGTGTGCTACTACCAGTCTATAATATTCCAAATGTTTTTGTAATATGTTGCTATATAAACCATAAATTTAAAAATAAAATGATTTTTAGTTTCACCTGAATATAACGATGGATTTTTACAAATATAATTAAATTTTACAATACGCTCAATTGAGTAAATCTTTTTAACAACTTTTTTTTATTGGTTTTTATAGATATATAATCATTAAAATTAATTAAGTTCTGAATATTTCAATTGTAGAATCTTTTTAAACACCAAAAGTTAATTAGAAATGATTACTATGATTTTTATTTAAGTGATCTATTACGATAAAAATGCAAAAAAAAATCGAATTTTTCTGATAAATGTACTGTAAATAGTAATTATAAAATTTCCCGATTGCATATTAATCTTAACAATTTCATTTTTTTTTATTTAATAATGTCAATTTCAAACTTGCAAGTTGAACTAAAAGTTATGGTAACAAATTCATTTTTTTTTTATTAAAACATTCACTTTAAAAGACAAAAAAAAGTAGATTCAAAATGATTACTTTTAACATATTAAAAATCAAAATCAATAATAATTTGAAAACAATTAATTAAAAAAATTATATAATGTATAATTAAAAGAATTACTAATCTGCGTATAATTAAGGAAATAGAAGTTGATGTTGCTTTTGCAATTATCCATCAATTTTTTAAAATTAAACACTATCTACAGATTTGCATCGAAGCGTTTCTTATGATAGTGATTTTAATCACTGTTAGATTAAATATATACTGGACCCAACGTATGCAACGTCCCTATTATGCCGCGACCCCACTGTGCTGGGTTTTTCTGTTTACTAATTCAAACGTTTTTAAATGTACAAATAAAAAAGTATTAAAAATGCATCATTTACAAATCGGTAGACACTAAAACTCATATGAATTTAAACTCGTTTTGTCAGAAATATATTACATATAATGTAATAAAACCAATATTTTAAGAGTTAAATTAATTTAAAAGTCAGTTTTTACATTACTCTATAGCTTTATATTTTATTGATCAACATTAATTTTTTTAGGCCGAATGAACGCTCGCCGCAAAGGGACCAATCCATTAGACAAAGTATACAGGGAAATTGCCTTATTAAAAAAGCTCGACCATCCTAATGTAGTTAAACTAGTCGAAGTCTTAGAGGATCCAGACGAAGACCATTTATATTTAGGTGAGTATAAAAGCAATCACAGTTGTAACTCTCAGACGTCTAAGTATCTCATAACTTAATTTTCTAGTTTTTGAGCTATTAGAAGGAGGGGAAGTCATGCAGGTACCTGGAGATCCACCCATGTCTGAATCAAAAGCCAGAGCTTACTTTAGAGACATACTAATGGGTCTCGAATATCGTAAGTGGATTAAACTTAAATATAAAATTCTCAAGCATTCTTAAAAGCTGAATTGCTGTGTTGTTTAATATTTTTGTTTTGAACAATTTATTTTTATATTTTGAATTCATTGCAGTGCACTTCCAGCGAATTGTACACAGAGATATCAAACCTTCAAACTTGTTGATCGGTGCAAACGGGCACGTGAAAATCGCTGATCTGGGCGTTTGCAACGAATTTGAAGGGACAAACGATTTGCTTAGTTCAAGTGCAGGCACTCCGGCTTTCACGGCACCTGAAGTGCTCGACCTTACAACGACCACGTACAGCGGAAAAGCGTTGGACATGTGGGCTCTTGGATGTACACTATACGCATTTGTTTACGGCAAATTACCATACGACGCGGATTCGGTTCTGACTGTCCACGAACAAATCCGTACGCAGCCGGTACAGTGGCCCGTCGAACCCGAAACATCACCACAACTGGTGCACCTACTCCATCGGTTGCTGGACAAAAATCCCGACACCAGAATCACACTGCCGGCTGTCAAACAACACGACTGGGTGACCAAAAATGGAGCCGAGCCTTTACCCACCGAGCAAGAAAACTGCGAGTTGATCGAGGTCAGTGAAGAAGAGATGATGAACGTCGTCAAGTCCATACCAAAGCTCAACACTCTGATACTCATCAAAGCTATGTTGAAGAATCATTCATTTCTTGTAAGTTTCAATTCTAAATTATTAGTCTATATTTTATTATTTATTTGATTGAAATTTATTTATTTATACTTTCCCAAATCACATAAAAACAAAACGCACGAGTCAATTTCAAATTAATTACTTTTAAAGTTATTAATAACTAACGCCATTTATTTTCACTAAACACATTTATACAATAGCATAAGGGCTTAATAAAATGTTATGTGTACTAATTTTGTTTACAGAACCCGTTTGCTGCCGAAGACCAAAAACGCAAACTACAACCATCTCACAGATCACATTCAGCGCCTGGAGCTTGTACTTGGTTTGGAGCGAGGTTCGTAGCTGTTTTTAATATAATTTATATATAATTATATTCTTTGATCATAGAACGATAAACTTAACTTTATATGTCATCATAAAAAAACTCATAAAATGTTCTGTCTGTTGTTATAAATGTTTATTACTTCAATTTAAATTAATTTAATTTAAAATGTTTTTGGTGTGTTATAAAATTTTACCCCCATAAAAATAACACTCAAGTATTTGTAATTAAAAAAAAAAATTCACTGCCTGTTAATATTTTCACGTTTAATTTTAATAACATTAATTTATTTTAACTATTTTTTTATTAATATAATTTTTTTTTTTTTTGATAGATCATTATCCTCATCATCAGAAACAACGACTCTTCAGCCTGTAGTAGAAAATGCGGCCAACGAAAAATAGTAAAATCTTCAATTACTGCACTAATGATAAATATTAAAACTGTTTAGAGTATAATGTTAGAATCTTCACATGCGCTTTATTATATTTATATATTCATGTAAAGTTTAATAAATTATGTTGACAATGTATTGTAATGTGATTCATGTGCAATTTTTATCATATAACTTCTTCATACTTAAACAATGATAAGTGATAATTGTAATTTATTTATTTGTTTTTGAGATAATAGAAAGTCTTGATTACTATTTTCTACTTACATAAGTGTATTTTGACATTTTTTATGAAAAGAAAAATATATGTATTTTTTTAATTAAACATTCAATTAAAGTTTGTCGAATTCGTTTTGCGAATCTAATTTCAAGTTAGTTTTTTACCAATGTACACAATTTTATTAATTAAGATCATTCAATATTTTTCAACAATTTAGTTAGAACTAAAGCTGCGAAATAACGGTTTATTTAAAGAGAGCAATTATATTGAGCATATTTTAATTAGGAGTGTTACTTAAATTTTTTTTTTCTGATACGATAGATATCATTGATTACTTTGACTTTATAGTAGTTGGGTGGGCGTAGTGGTCAAAATTATAATAGAATTAGATGCCCGAATATTTACTCCGAATACCACAAATGATGCTCCGGGTCATTTGCACCCGATTTTCACAACCTAAATCCAAGTGTTAATGCAGAAATACTTGATTTTATTCCTAACTAAAATTAATTTCAACTTTATTCATCGATAAAGATTACAATATACAAGGTGAATATTTTAACACTAGCCACTTATTAACCAATTTCTCTTAAAATAATTTTTTTTTTAGTTTTTGTTAGTTACTTAAGTATTTCCATTTATCTATTATAAAATAGTTTTTATGTTCATTCCTAATGTCTTATAGGGGTGTCAACTTTAGTTTTTTAAATAGTAACATATGCATTTGACTAGCTTATAAAATAGAAAATGATTAGTTGATAACAAATTTGAACCAGTATTTTAGAAGTTACCAATTTAAAGTATGACTGGAGGTGAGGTAGGGTGCTGCTATTCTTTATCATATATTTTTTTTCTTGGCCTAACTCATCTTACCACCTAGTTGTAAAAATGTTAATAACTTCTGAAATATTGGCCCAAAAGTTGTTATTGACCAGTCATTTTGTTAATTACATTATTTTCTTCTTTTATAAGATAGTTAAATACGTATGTTGTCATTAAATTAAGGTTGACACCTCTATAAGACAAAAGAGCTGAACACAGTAGATATTTTATAACAGATCAATGGAGATACATAAGTTACCAACAATAGCCAAGAGAAAATTTACAAAAAAGTTATTATAAGAGAAATTTAGTGGCTAGTGTTTAAACAATCACTCTGTATAATTTATCTATTAACTAGGGCCCGGATTATATGCATTAATGGTAGTTGTAACATAAAAAATGACAACTTTATTCATGAAATAACAATTCTATAGTTCTTTTGTTTTTAAGATTAGCAAAAACTAATGTATCGTTTACACTGCTCTATTTGTCAACTTGAGGAAAAATTATCAAATAAAAATTTGTACATTTATATCAATTAAATATTTAATTTAAGGAGTTTTTTTAGCTTTGATGCGAAGATGCAAAGCTAAAGAAATATTAATTTTACCATGATGTGTATTTTTTTGTATCTGTTGCCACTTTTTCTCAGCTCTCACTGGGCCGATTTTGATGAACAATATGTCAAAAGATCACAAATCGTATCTAGTTGAAGACATTATCTTTAAAAATTGAAAAAATTTCCCTGGTTCCCCGTAAATGGGGACAATTTTCAAAAAAAATTACAATTTTTAAAATCGGTAAATTTCGTCATTTTTTCACTTTTTTTTCCTTAAAACTACCATACATTTTTCAAAAATTAACAAAACAAATTAATGTTTTTTTGTATTGAAACCTTAGATATTTCCCTTTTATTTGATATCCTTTTTTTTGAAAATCGAATACTTAACTTGCTCACACGAGGGATTTAAAATAGCAACTTTTTTATGAAAATTAACTAATTCAACTTACTTTTGAAATTGTTCCGGAAATACTGGGTCCTTTAAACATATGTCAAATTAAAGCTTACAATAAATACCATAAGTTCAAAAAAAAAGAATGTGTCCCGATACCTTTTCTTCTATAGGAAAATGGCCATCGAATTTAACTAAAATGTAATTTATATGTAAAAATCACGGTTTAACATGAAATATTTTAATTCTTAAAACTGCCAAAATTTTTAAAAAATGAACAAATTAAAAATTTTTTTTATTTTATATTGAAATCGTAGATATTTTTCTTTTATTTTATATAATTTTTTTTTTAATCTGACCCTAAACCTGCCTGCAGGGGGAATTCAAAAAAAAAATTTTTGCACGCAAGTTAAGCCTTTTCAATGTAATTTTTGAAAATGTTCCGGAAATATTGACACTTTTATTTAATCTTAAATTAAAGTTTATATTATATACTTAATATGAAAAAAAAATTCGAAATATAGATTTTCTTCTTGGTGAAAATGGCTACCGTATTCAAAAATATGCTATTTTTGTGTTAAAATTCTGTGTTTTGTATTTTATTTTAAAATATCCAATAAGAGGAATACACTGACTTTCATGAATATTATATAATTTAATTGACATAGAATAAAGTTCATAAGACATAAGAAAGTAAACTTATTTAAATTTTTTTGCTTTTTTGAAATCTAAAAAGTAATTTTAAATTTTAAATTGGCTTAAAACTCTAATTTTATTAATCGACGTAGGCGACGAACAGTTGTCGAATCGGTAACACATGTGTATTACCAGATTAGGGTACTAAGTTCGAATCCTACTGGGACTATTATCAATATTTTGAATTTTTTTAAGTTAGAAAATATTTTCAAATAATTTGATTTTTTATCTCATTTAGATTCAATAACTTCAATAAATATCAAGGATCCCTACACTGTAGTCTCCACTCATAAGAATAAATTTCTTATTCATGGCAATATTATTTTACTGTTTTTTTTTGGAGCTGCGATTTATTTCTCCAACTCTCACTTAACCTAGTTTTTTCAATGTGTCAAGTGATTAAAATGCGTATTTAGTTGATGTCAAATTGAAATCAAAAATTGAAAACAAATCCCTTAATTAAATAAAAAGTAGTTTAACCAGCTTTATCAATACAAACCATTAAAATCATTCATTTCTAATATTTTTAAAGTATTTGNTTATCAATACAAACCATTAAAATCATTTATTTCTAATATTTTTAAAGTATTTATTGTCAAATTAGATTTGATATGATAAAAGTATTTAACTACAAAAGTAAATAATTTTACTTTGTAATTTGTTAATTTTTTAACTCCATTTGTGTGTGCTACTATCAGTCTATAACATTCCGAATTTTTTTTGAAACATGTTATATAAATCATAAATCTAAAAAAAAAAAAATGATTTTTAGTTTCACCTCAATTTAACAATTAATTTTTACAATTATAATCAAATTTTGTAATACACTCAATTGAGTAATTTTAACAATTTTTTTTTTAGTTAAAGTAAATCATTAAAATTAATTAAGATCTGTATATTTCAATTGTAGAATCTTTTTAAACACCAAAAATTAATTAGAAATGATTACTATGATTTCTATTTAAGTGATGTATTATGATAAAAATGCAAAAAAAAATTAAGCTTTTCTGATAAATTTACTGTAAATAGTAATTATAAAATTTGCTTTATTATTAGCTTTATTAGCAAAAAGAAAATATAAATCTATCAATAAAATATCAAAAATAAACAGCTGTAATTATATTTTTCTCTAATTTAATCACTAAAACATAAAATGAACAGAAAATGATACACAAGATGTTTGTTGTTACATTATTTCTATGTATTGTTTTATTTTTACAGCACTTTCAACACTGCAAATTATAAAGATAAATGTTTACTTCAAGATTAGTTTATACATAAAAACACTATTAAATGATTTTTTTCTGGACATTTGAATTTAATAAAAATACAAATTAGATGTTGCCAGGAAATCGGTTTTCTTCTATTTGTGTATTCCACTTATCAATCCAGGAATTTGGGCAAATTGATGTATATACACGTTTGTAGTATTGACAAGCATCAAAGTCTTCTCCCCTTAATTTTTTACAGCGGTGAAAATCAAGGTAGCTTTGGTAACAATATCTATAACAGATTATATAAGATATAATTTAATAAAAATCAATAATAACATATGTGTAATTTGAACAATTTAAGAAATCTATTTAATTTTTTCTCCCTAAATTCTATATAAATTATACGAATTACATAAATATAAATATACAAATTTTTCAAGATTTTTAGAAAGTTATAACAGAATTTTGAGAACTAAACCTACTTAAATCTCCATAGATTGCACTTATATAAAAAAATTTAAGCTCATTAAAGTTTAAAGATTTTTTCTATCTCAGGCAATATTTTATAGAGCACAATTCTTTTTTACTTAATTTTAAAAATAAATCTAAATATCAAAAAAATATAGTAATCATTAAAATGGGAAAATTAAAATAAATCTTATTTTCAATACATTTACTTATTCATTATTGTAATAATTATTATAATCATAGGTGCAATTTTGACACACAGCTTCTTTGTTTAAAAATTAGACCCCAATTATTTTAAACAATTATATTTATTAATTTTTTTAAATATTATTAGAGTAGGAAAAAATATATTAAATATGTACATGTAAATTATATAATCTAACCAACATATATGTTTACATTACTGCAAATATAAATTATGTAGCATTGTATTAAAAACTATAATTTCTTAAATAGACTTGTAAAAAATAACTAAAATAATCAATAACACTTACTTTGTCTGATTGGTATTTGGGAAACGAGGATCCCATGGTGCAGTTTCTAATTTCACACCATCAACTTCTAAGACCATATTTTTGCTAGAAATTAAAATATTTAATTTTAAAACCTAGATAGAAAAAAAAAGTACCAATATATGAACTACAAAATTTTTTATTTATTGTGTAATAAAAACACTAAACCTTTCCTAAAAATTTTAATCTAGCAGTATATTAAAGAATGAATTATAATATGAGAATTTTTAAATTTTCCTTGTAGTTTAAATTAAAAAAATGTATAATAAAAAAAAATTAATCATGTTATGATTATTTATTTTAATGTTTTAGTAAATAAATTAAAGTACTTATGAATCATTGACCTTACTACACTATGTATTGTAAACACTGTTTGGTAATATTTTTACATAATGATTTTATTGAATTCAATTTTTATAACTAATATATAATTTAATATAATTACAAAAGACTTTAAGAAATGATAAAATTCATCTTCAAATAATAATTAACTTATTGTATTTAGGTTTGTTTTTTTTAAAGTTATAATTAGTAAAAATTTAGTAATATAAATAACATTTTGCTGTAATTGAAAAGGCAAAAAGATAAAAGGTAAAGAACACAAGTTTACCAAAGTAGTGGAGAAATTTATTTTGTGTACTTCAAATGTCACAATCTAAATTTTAAAATACAAAAAATGAAAATATTATATAATATTGATATTAATCTTAAAGTACAGTCTTTTTTTAGGTTGATTGTGATAGGGAAATTTCAAAATGTTTAATCCAATTGTTAAATCAACTCACTGAATGACAATTTTTTACCAACCTATCCTTAATAATATATATATATATAGTTTAGTAAGGTTAAAATTACACATGATAATAACCATTTTTCTGTTTACAATATTAAGGTAAATTCTATATAGAATTTTGATGCTCATTACAATGTGGTTTCAATTATATCTAGTTTTTGAGATAATTACTAATTAGAAATTAATTATAAATTATACCATTATAAAAACTGGAAAATAACTTTTACTTTTCAAACTTATTAATAAAATTTAATGATATTAAAAAAAGATTGTGAAAACATTGAGGTTTATTTATCAAGTTTACCTTTTTAATAGAATTCACAATTTTAGTTTAATTGGCTAAATTATGCTTTTTTATCAAGTAAAAATAAAAAATTTTACTATTGAATTCCTTATAAAAATTAGTAAAAGTTGAGCTTTTTTTTTTCTAAAAAATGTTCATCAAAATCAAAGATCTAGAAAAACCATTTTATTAGACAAATAAGCTGTATATATATAATTCATTATTATTTATAATTGTTTAATTATTTTAAAAACTAAATGAAAAAAATCTGAAGTATTAGAATTTCATATGCATTTCACCTAAATATTGTGGACACAAGAAAATTGTTCAATATTTGTTGTTCTGTGTAATTTCTTTGTATTTTTATATTATTATATACATAATAGGCAAATACTATTTTATGTACTTCGACGAAATACAAAAATAATTTTTAACAATTACAACACAAGTGTATACAAATTTGTCATACTATTACATGAATATTTAAGTTTAATTTTAGTTAATAAATATTATTTAAGTGGAATTAAAATAATATTAAAATGTAGTTCATAGTAAAGTTAATGAGTTAAATTATATATTTAAGTTACCATCTGGTCAGTTAAAAAACTTTTAATAAAAAAAATCATTAATTATTAATGATTGAATGATTCAAAAACTTAAAACAATTAATATGTGGGAGTATTCAACCAATCAATGCAATTTTTAATACTTTAAATAATATTTGACATTCTACTTTATTTAATATTCAAAAATATAGATTATTAAAGTTTTAACCATCAAATTCTAAATCAAAAGCCAAATATTAGTGTTTATAATTTATTTTTAAATGTATAATAAAATGAAAACAGATATGAGGCTTATTAAATTTTACTTTGAGTAAATTGATTTCTTGTAATCGATTTATCTTTAAATGAAATTATATTAAAATTAAGAATTAAGTTTCTACTTATTTATAATATTTTATTTATAAGCAAATTAGAACAAAGTACTAAAATAGTCAATACATGATATCACTTGTAGTACTATTTATGTATTACAAAATCAAATTTTATAAAATTGAAAGTAAAATTCATGTGTTTTCTATACATATTAGCTTAAAACATAAAGTACATGATAATTATGTCATAAAATTACTTATAAAAAAAAAATTGTATTTAACTTAATATTAAATATATGTATAATAGTAATATGAACAACTTATAAACAGCATAATAACATACTTTTTGTACATAGTTAACAAATACATTATAACTTATTTCACAAGAGGTCTAGTCTTACTGTCTTGTTCACCAACTGTTTCTTGGTATCTTTTTACTTCATCTAAATAAACTGACCAGGCATCTGTAGGCTTTGAAACTTTTTTTTCTTCTTCAGGCTTTACTTTTTTAACAATTCCTGTTTTTAGGATTTTATTTTTACGCTTACCAATAATTGGCATTGCTTTTGTAGTATCTGTTTGTTTTTCAGAAGTATATGAAGCAGCAACAGCAGGTGAAGGAGTTTCTATAACTTTTACTTCAGATGGAAGTTGATGTTGTTGTTCCTGTTGCTGTTCTTGAAAACGTTTAAATACTTCTAAGAATGATCCATCATTTTTAAAAGCATTTTGTGATAACTGATTGTTATAGCCCTCCATTTTATTGAACAAACTTTGTAAACTGCAATATCACTCAACACCTATAACCAAGAAACTGTCGCACATCACTAATCGTTCCAAACACCATAAAAAATTTTAAAAAAGCCAATGTAGAGGCACTTATTCCGACTTATGTGGTGTACATGTTTAATTCATGTAAATATAATGGATATTTTCCTTAATAATTATTAATAAATTACAGTACAATTCAGGAAAAAATATTTTATAATATTAAATTTAACATTAAATTATATTAAGCATTTCAATTTTTCAATGTAATGGTTGATCTTAATATAGATTTGTAGTCTAATAAGTAATTTATATTGAATACCCAAATTAATTAAAAATATATAAAATTTGTTTAATTAAGATAACTGACCTTTGAAGGTCTTTCATTTTCCTAAATACACAGTATATCAAATAATATTATGTAGTAAACTTTAACAATTAGGTCATCTCCATATGATTATTTTACTAAAGCATACAACGAACTACGACATAAACCAATTATCTTTACCAGCAAAATTAAATTGAACATAATTAAATTTGGTACACCTATATGGTACAGTTATACAAAATATTTATTATTGTAAAAAATAATTACCTGACTTGGTTGTAGTTCAAAGGAAAAACTTCAACTCAACGCTATTTGTTTCTACAATTTAAAAACTGATTAAATACTTATAGGACAAATCGTATAAAATACACTTAAGTTTTGGTCTAGAGCGAATTACCGAGATTTTGATAGTACAATGTGAAAAAATATTAATCTGCTGAGATCGTAAATATGGCTGACAAACCATATGGAATAGAAAAAATCAATATCAGTGTGGCCAGTTATAAATCAAATTAATATTTTTTACTAACCATCTATATCATTTCTACAAAAAATATTAAAGAATCCTACTAAATTTGTTAATATTATTAAGTCAAATATTTTTATTTCAAACCTTAAGTCATAAAGTATTTGCTTTAAATTTTATTTAATTGGAGATTTATTTTTATTAATTTGTTATATCAAAGTTATTCTGATATGACAAACTTTAAGCTTTTAGAAAAAAATATTAACTATAGCCAGAAATGGATCAAGAAAAAAATTTTTTTGGGAAAATGAGGGAAAGCATTGCTTCTAAAACAATTCCCATCCCTGATTAAAACAGTAATTAAAAATATTTAAATACGGGTTTTTAATCACTTTCTTTAATTTTCTAGGAAAAAAAAGTTTAACAAAAATATTCCCCTTTAATATAAAAAAAATTATTTGTGGTTCATCATTAAAAGGAACACAACGCACTTTCTTATTCATTAATATAATTATTTCTCCATAAAATCTGTAATTTTTAGATAGCAATTAGTTATATTTATCTTTTTTTTTTTGAAAATATAGATTAATTAGACCGATGCATCTATTCTGCCTTCACCTGCTGACACATGTTTAGCAAAAACATATTTCATTAAATATTTAATTAAAATATCAATAATATAAACAGACTTGAAAAAATAAAAATAAAATTTGATACAATACAGTTTTAAAAAATATTATGACACTTTGCAAGTCCAAGGCAAATTTTAAAAGCGAATCTTGAAATAGCCTTTCATGACCTTTGACATAGTTCCATAAAATTGGTTTTTAGCTTTTCAGTAATACAATTATTCCATTGTTATCGTTTTATTTACTGAATGCAGGGTTGTGTTTCCATGACTCCGTAGTACATACTTTAGCAATGTTTAATAAGTACATTTTCACAAATAAACAGTACACCAATTATTTTCTAGGAATAAATAAATAAATATTGATTCAAACTTTATGAGGTTAACATAATAAAAAGTGTTCATACATTATTTGATACTATAAAAATACAAGTAAAAAAGATTAGACGAACCACATATTTAAGATGTCTATTTATAAGCGTACCCTTCTTTGTCTTACAACTGTATATGCAAATAAAAAACGAAAACATGATAATTTTTACATAGTTCTATTTCCCGAACTTAACATGCTACGAAAAGTGGTGGCCCTCTTTTTGGTTAGGGAGTTAAAGATGGTTCTTAGTTAGGCCAATAATGAACGGAACGGATATTTTGGCTGGTTTGCATCAGAGACTAGACATCGCCAATGAGAAAATTATAAGGAAAATCTCGTTGGCACTCTGGGGATCGAATCCAGAATCCCGTGCGACGAAACATACGTTTTTACCCACTAGGCTAGATTGACTCCATTGTATATACAAATAAAATATACAAAGGAAATTTTACTATTTCCTTCAAATAGTACTTTTAATGCGTAATTAATTTGATCATAAAGATTTTTTGACACTAGCACGTTCTTATTTAAAAAAAATTAATATTTAAGAGTAGATTCAAAACTTTTTTTTAAGATAAATGAAAACTGATGCCGATTCAACGTGTATTTACGATATGAATCAAAATATTTCAATTTTACAATATACAAATTAAATTAAAACGCTATTATACGACTTTAAAGAAGAGGAGAGCGTTTAATAAAACGTTGCTTATTTTTAAGAGAACAGTTTAATACATAAGACATTTTAATATCATTATTCTGATATATTAAGCGTTTGCCTAGAAATTTAATTGTCTGAAATATCTCATTTAAATAATATGAATGCAGAGATCTTGAACTTAAAATTTTATAATTACGTTAAAAAAAGCAGTACAATCCATCATACGTTCATAAATTTATTATATGTTTATACTTCTATTATTTTTAACACTATTTGTAGTACATTCAAGTGCTCGGCACCAACCCTTAGTGTCCACTGGTGACTCGACTTCACCATATGACGAATTTGTATCGACATACTATTGCAACCCTTTTATATGTTTCATGGCAATAATAAACATTAACATTCTGAATAGACGTCGAGAACATGGAGGATATTTATTTGAGGCCCCGAGACTATTCAAGAAGTCGACGATAGGGCCGAGCATTTCATAGGAACCGCTTGGTAGCCGACTATTGAGAGCTCACGTGATGGAAACTCCTCTAAAGCTCAGAAGCTTATTAACTTAGGAGTGTGAACATCGAAGACCCAGAGGTTCTTACTAAGATACTAATGTCTTTCCAAATAACTTTTATTTCAGACAAATATTTTTTATTATTATCCCAAATTGTGTTTTATTTTGTTAAGGTCTGAGGTCAGACCTAAACTGTAAGAGAAGCAGCTGATCACATATACGTGTTATAACCCACATTATTATTATAACACTAACTAGGCTTATATCGTTAATACAGTGACACACGTATTACTACAGGAGGGAGGATGCACATATAAACATTTTTGGAATTCACGACCACTGTGTTATAATAATAATATTTAAACGGCAGTTGACTTTTTACCATCACCGCGTCCATTACTTTCCGTTTTATATTTAACTTAAATTATCTACCACAGAAATAGTGTGTGTGTATCGCTGTCAGCTCTCTGTTGGATTATCTCTAGGTGTCCAGCAAGTTGTATTGTGTATTTAATATTTCTTTATTAATAAATATTTATATCGTTGCTATCCAAGAGTGTTATATATATTGTAGTGCGACCCTTGGGTAGTTCCTCTAAGGGAATATAAATTACATAGGAAACCTCAGTACCTAACGTAGATATAGCCTAACCAGCTATTTCTTGTTGGTTCCTTAGAATACTGTTGTCGGGAATTTAGGCTCAACCCCTAAATAGCGACATAACAGTACAAAGTAAAACAGTTTCCTCCTTGGTTTTTTGATCATTAATATTCGTAATTGGTGTGTTTTTAAACTTTGCAAAACAAATTACATTATGAACTTAAGGATTAAGAAAATTGTTCTTAAAATTAATAAATTGTAGTAGTTCAGCCAAGTGCACTGTCATCTATGTTTTCTTTCATAGTTGTACATATAATTAATAATAAGTACAAATCAATTTATAATTTTTGTATCTCATCAGTTATTTAAAGAGGTTATCGGTTTTATTTAAAAAAACAATTTTCTAATGTGTTGATTGTTGGATACCGATAAAAAATTTTAAAAAAATATTTGATTATCGGTAACAGATTACCGTTATTTTTTTGCGGTTTACGGGAAAACCGGTAACCGGTTTCAAAAAAGTTTCATCTTGACCACATCATTTTTTTTGACAAATTGTAGATTTGATCCAAAATGCTTTCCTATTGTATACTCGTAATTCTTTTAAATTTCTAGTGAGCTAATTTACTCCTGTTAGAAAATCAATCAAATTAGTTACTACTAAAATACGAGGTTGGGCAAGTTAATCATAATATTGTATTTTTTCTATATAGAAAAAATTTATTATATTAAGTAACTTTTCTTATATTTATACTTTTGTTCTTGATTACTTATGTCATTAAAGGGAGAGAAATATCCAGGGAACAATTTACAGAAATAAGGTCATTTTTTTCTAAAATTAAGTTGAATTAATGATGTAATGAATATGAAACATTATTACTATTATAAACATATATTGTCAGTTGCTCTCAAAGAAAATAATTTCACATAATTTTGTTGTTACAATTAAAATAATTTTTCTTGGAAATTTACAAGACCTGTCTTAATCCAAGATCCAAATATTTTATAAGTTTATCTGTATATTACAAAATTGTCTCCCTTTTTCTAATCATTAAATTTTGAGAAGTTGCAATGGTAGACATCAGGCGCCAGACGTATTCTTCGAGTAGTATGGTCAAATAATCACACCGCCCTTTTGTGGCGCCTGTCATGAAATCGATAAAATTTTCAATGGTCTTTACCATGTACATTCACTAATAAAATATTTTTTTATTTTTGAAATAATATAATAAAACTTAAAACTAAGCACAAAAGTCTAAGTTGATTTAAAATAAAAAATTTAATGGCGCATTTTTAGAGCTAAGCAAATTTGTTGTATCTTGTTTAGAAACCGAGTTTTTTTTGGATTTATTTTATACATATTTCGTAAAAAATTGACTTAATACTTATGAAAAAACTCGTATATGACTTATGCTAAGTAAAAAAGTAGTAACTCACCACATATACGATAATTTTCTTTAGTACAATTTAATATACGTATTTTTTGTTTAGGTACGTTGGGTTGTGGTTACAACAAAATTATCATATTGATTCTTCAATAAGAAATATTGATAACCTAACAATTAAGGAAAAAAGAAGTATATAGGTTTTTGATAAAAAAACGTCTTAAAGTTTCTTTAATGTTTTATTAAATTCTACATTAAAAATTACGTAAATACTAGTGAATATTATATTAAGTTAATAAAAGTTATTAAAAATAAAAACGAATTCAGAAAAATCCATTTTTCTCAAAATGTTCGAAGTAATGTACACATCTTGTTTACTACCAAAATACCAAAATCATTTTTTATACACCTGCCAATTAGTTATATGCGTTAAATCAGCAGAAATTTTTTTTTTTTTTTTAAAGAAAAGTTTAAAGAATAACATATAATTCTAATAATAATATAATAAAAATATGTTGTTTTAATTGATTCTTTATTTGAATAGTGAGTCAAATCTGTTATGACTCATTTTAGATATATTGGTTTAGTTAAAAAAAAAAAAAAGAAGACTAGTTGATAAACTATGCTAAATTAGTGAGTGATTAGTATTTATATTATAAAATTTATTTTTGTAGTAGTTGTGTAAATATTATCATTAAAAAAATTATAGTGATAACAATTGAAATACATTTTTGTTAAATGTCGCTTACTAGTGGACACTAGGAATTTGAAATGCAAGCATGAATATATTATATTTTAGTTAGATATCAATGTATGGTGTAGTCTTATAAGAGGAATATTTTTATATAAATTATTATAAAACTTGTTCTATATTGTTTAATACTTTATTTTTTATAATGTATTTTTTAAAAATAACAAAAGATAGTTGTTATTAAACATAAAAATAATAATTGCAAATGCTCATTTTCTAAATATAGATTAAATGTTATAAATAGGTATTATTTATAAATCTTATTTAAAATTTTACTTTAGAATAGCGAAGTCAATGAAATGAATGTGGATTTATATTTTTACAATTCATTGTTAACATTACACTTAGTAATTAATATTTATTATATATTGATTTTATTGGAGGAGGTAGGTAGAAAACGACTCTCCTTTATGTACGCCACTGAATTTGGGCTATCGATATTTATTGTTGAGATCACGGAAGTATCTCAAGTATCGGAAGTATTGCTGTGATAGTCACAGTTTTTTTTTAAATATATATTTTTACTTTTAAGGTTCCAAGTACCTAGTCGTTTCATTTGATATAAGCTTTATGAATTTATGACTCATAGTTTTAGGTTATTCAATGAATTACAAACAATACTAACTAGATAACATAAAACAAATTTGAGGTGTCTTTGTTTCATAATGTGAAATATAAGTAAAGTGAAGGTGTTTTGTTTAGGATTTAATTCTGGTAATTATTATTAATGGTTTATGTTAAAATCGTATAATTTAAAATAAATCCAAACAATTATGACAGGTACTGTGGAGTTATAGATTGGTTTGGATTTTGTTGAAGAACATATCTGTAAACGGTTATTTCGTTAAAATAGTTTAGAAAAAAATTACTTTATTATTGTTATATACAAAATTATAATTAGATTTTGTTCACGGAATTTATTGATAGTGTATTGAATTCATCTGGATAATGTTAGAGCTTTATTGTCTATCGTTTCTTTCTATTTTAAATTTTTAACATAAGTATGACAGACGAGAAGTCGCTGTCAAGGTCACGAGTATCGTTTACCGGGAAAGGATTATAAAACCCATAGTAAACTACATCCTACTATTTGAAATAGAAACACGTATATGAACCTAGTAAAAATATATTATGTTATAAAGAATGATACACGTATAATACGCGGGCCTACAGAAAACACTTGAAACGGGTAATGTACACCCCTAAAACATGTTGATGAAGTCAGGTTGGGCGGGGTCGTCCTTGGGATGTAACGCGTTCCACTCTGCATACCGATCATGTTATGCACGCTATAGTAGTTTCTGTGCGATGTGACAGATCGCGTTTGCGTTTACGTCAATTATAATATTGTTTTCAATTTCGTAAACAAATTTCTTTGAAATTAGATAATTTTATAATTTTATTGATTTACCCACGAAAATCGCGTTGTTTGCTAGAAATTCTAAAGATAATAATTTAGATTTATCGTCCAAACTTATAGGCGCCGTTTCAATCAATGTTAAATAACTTTCGTGCCGCTTGCCGCTTTACGCTGCCCCACTACAAACAATTCGGTGTTAGTACCGCTTAGCTCTGTTGTGTAGGGTGACGCGCTTCGGTTACTTCGTGATATTGTATTACAACTTTATATAAAAAGTTTTAATCGATTTAACTTGTTGCTCAAAAGGCGGGTAAGTATATTTAAATTACAGTATCAAGAAATTGGTAATTATCATTATTTATCTAGACATGATAAATTTTAAGTTTTTTAAATTATTTAAACAATTAAAAAATAATTATAAACATATTTTCTTTTACTATTTGTTATTAGTTATTTCATAAAGTGTCGTTACCTTTTAAATAATATCTTGAGAAATGTGGCTCTCTGTTACACAACTGATTTTATAATAACTGAAAATGAAAAAATATTGATAAATACTACTTTGGAAATCCTTATTTGAAAGAATAGCGATTTAAAAATAGAATTACTAGCATGTTATGTTTGTTTACATTGGGTATGTACTATAGGTACACTAAGAGGAAAGAGCTTATTAATTTTTTTATTTAAATTTAATCGAAAATCACTTAAATTAAATAAAAAAATTTTTTTTAATAAATTTTACTATTATTATTTTTAAAGTAAATTAATATTAATACTGATGATACTTATTTATATTTTTATTAATTTTAGTCAAAATGGGAGACTGTTGTAGTTCACCAGAAAGGGTTGAACCCTCTCCTGATGCGAAGGTATGTTTAATTATGTAAATTATTATATTTTTACTGTCAAAATTATTATTTATTTTAAATGTTCAATTTATTTTATAGGCTAATTTTAAAGGACCTGTAAAAGGAAGATCATGTACCGATTGTGCATTTTTGGTGCTGTTCTTAGCTGTCCTTCTGACTTTGGTTTGTAATTATTTTTAGTACTTAGCTAGTCTAAATTAAAGTATTATAATTTTTTTAGTTTGGGTTAGTGATATATTGTTCAGTTAATGGTGATGTCAGGCGTCTATTTAATGGCTTTGATGAGTGTGGATATATTTGTGGAGTAAATAATGAAAAATTAGATTCTTCAAAAATAAATATAGAAAAAATTAAGGATCAAAGTTCTTGTTCAAGAAATGACTTATCTGACAAAAAGTAAATAGTTATTAGTAATAAAAAATTGTATTACACCGTGGAGACTGTGTGGGCGAGTCGGTAACGCGGAAGTGCTTGATGTGCACTGTCTTGTTTTGAAACTCTGTCACGCATGGCTTCATTTGCCAAATGAGAGATCAGTTTGGTATTTGGAGTTGTCATCCCTCTCTCCGATGATAGATTAACCACCCGTCTTGGAGTATAAATGGTTAAGACATCTCCTCCTTAGAGGAGGCCGCTATGGCCTTTAATGGACTAATAAAGCAAAAAAAAAAAATATATTTAATATTATGAATTAATAAATAAAACTAATGTTTATAGATTCCTAAAAATTGATGCTCCAATTTTCAAAATAGCGGATTTGAAACATATAAAGCGGGAATGTGTGTCTAATTGTTCTGATTATCCTGAGTAGTATGTCTTCTTTTTTCTTTTTGCTGAATGAAGATTATAAATAGTAATTTATTTTCTGCTTAAATTTTACAGCCAAACATTTTTACAGAGATGTATACCTAAAGGAAATGAAACAGCAATTAACAATATTTTGAAAAATTCAGCTGTTGGTAGTTTGTTTACTGTAAGTATTGTATATTAAAGTTGTATGCTAAACAAAATATTACTCTAATAATGATTCAACTTAAATAAAAATTTATAAAATAAATCATTAAAATAGTTTTTTCATAACTAAATACAAATTGGTGCTTAATTTATTTAGAACATAATTTTTGCTCCATTTAAAACTATATAAATAAGTAATATAACTTATGATACTTATTATATATTTTATACATATTGTATATATTTTAATTTGATTAAATCAAAATTTTTTTTTTAGGAAATAACTCAAGATTTACAACATACAAAATGGGATATTATCTATCTTTGCATTTTTGCATTTGGTAAATATTTTTAAAAATATTTTACTTCATGTAATATCTAAAATTAACTTATTCCTAATTAAATAATTGTATAAAATGAAAATAAGTAATTATTAGAATAACTGTATTAGTCAATTAAAATTTGCCATTCATTATTACATACATAATACAAATTTTTTTTAAGATGAATATTAGATTGTAATTTAGTTTTAGCTTTAATGTAAAACTAAGAAGGTATTATTTTACCATAATGTGTTTGACACCACTTTTCCTCAGCTTTCACTGAATTGATTTTTCTAAACTATACACAAATGTAGCTAGTTGATTACCCTTAAAAATTGAAATAATTTCTTTCTTTTCTTAAAATGGAGGAAGACCTTCAAGAAATTACAATTTCTAAAATCTGTAAATTTCTACATTTTTTAAAAATATTTTCATTAAAAACTAAAATTGCCATAATATCTTAAAAAATGGATAAATCAAAACAATTTTTTTGTATAAATACCTTAAGTATCTTTCTTTTATTTAGAATAAGTTTTTTGAAAATTTGATCCTTAACCTACCTTCAGAGGGCAATTCAAAATAAAAACTTTTGCATGAAAAGTTAACTTTTAAAAATTATTAAATTAAAGCTTATGTAATATACTTCAATTTGAAAGAAATAATAAAAATTCTGGATTTGTCTTTGTGGTAAAAATGGCTACCATTTACAAAAATTTGCTATTTTTGTGTTAAAATTCTTGAGTTAATATTTCATATTTTTAACTGTATATTACTGTAAGTTTTTGAAAAATGTATGGGTCAAAACAATTTTATTTATAAATACTTCTCCAATACTTTTTGCACTATTTTCCTTTATACAAGAGGGTTCAAAACATTTCATATGCGTATAGAAAATAGAACTTTTTCATCTTTACTGTTGAAAATATTTCTGAAATACTGACACGTTTCTATATTAAAGTTAAATTTGAAAAAAAAATTTGATATCTAGATTAGTGGTGAAAATGGATATCAAAGTTAAAAAAAAACCTACAATTTTTATGTAATAATTGGAAAATTAAAAAAATTACACAAAAACTTATTTGATAGTGTTTTTAAGAAATTAGTGTAAACTGCATTGGTGTATTAAGATAGAGTTATTACAGAATGAATCCCCTTTAAAAAAAAATATTTATGATATCATTAATATTTTTAAAAAGAATTTATTTTTTTTAATTTTGTTTTTATTTAAAGTTATGATAAAAAGGTTAAGTTCACAATTCCCCTCCCCCAATTAAAAATTCAATATGAAATAGTCTCTTTGTTTATGAGATTATTAATTTATTATTAAAAATAAGTATTTAACATATTAAATTATTTTGATTTTAATATGTTAAAAATAATCTGTGCAAAATTTCTGTTCAATTTTTTGTGATATACCTATTTTTTTTTATTTTTTAATGTTGATTTTTATGAAAGTTTTAACTTAAAAATGTTAAATTAAATTTTTTTTTTTTGCTTAACTTGCAAGTTTGAAATTGATATCATTAAATAAAAAAAATTATGAGGATTTAAAAGTAACATGACATTTATGATAAAAACTCAAAATTACGTTAAAATCATTATTTTAGCTTCGATGCGAAGCTGAGAAGGTATTGGTTTTACTAAGATGTGTTTTTTTTTTTTTTTTTGTCACCACTTTTTCTCAGCTCTTACCAAACCGATTTCTTTCAATGATACGTCAAAAGATCACAAATCGTATCTAGTCGAAGACATTACCCACAAAAATTGAAAAAAATTCTCTTGTTCCCCGTAAATGGGGGAAACCTCCAAAAAAAATTACAAATTTAAAAATCGCTAATTTTCGAAATTTTTTCAATTTTTTTTACTTAAAATTGCTATAACTTTTTTAAAAATAACCGAATCAATAAAAAATTTTTTATATAGATGCATGATATCATTACCTTTCATTTGGTATATTTTTTTTTTATATGTGACCCTTTACTTGCTTACAGGGGGGGATTTAAAATGACAACTTTTTCACAAAAAAGTTGTCACACTAAGTAAAAGTAAAAGTAAAAGTTCACACTTTTACAATTTCAATGTAACTTTTGAAAGTGTTCCGGAAAGTCTGACACTTTTATATATATCTTAAATTAAAGCTAATGTAATATACTTTATTATGCAAAAAAAAAATTTCGGACTTTATTTTGTCTTTACGGTGAAAATGGCTACCGAATGCTATTTTTGTGTGAAAATTCTCGATTTTTTTTTTACATTTTTAACTTTATAATGCTATGACATAATGAAAAGTGTATGGATCAACATTATTTTTTTATGAGAAATAATATTTTTTGATAACCCCTTTTTCATTCGACATACTTTATCTTAATTAGGATATTAATAATGAACTAGCAGATCATGTAGCTTTTAGAATAATCCACCAATTTTTTAAAATTAAACACTATCTAAAGATTTGCATCGAAGCGTTATTTTTTGATAGTGATTTTAATCACTGTCAGATATCATGATACTTGATCCATTTATGCCACGTCACCACTGTGCCGCAACCCCCCTGTGCTGGGTTTTTTTTGTATTAATATTGTAATAAATAATTACAATAAAAATCGTAATAATCATTTCTATGTAACTTTTGGTATTATAATAGATGCTACAATTGAAATATTTAGAACCATATATTAATCATATTTTGTTATATACTATAGTATTTTATAATATACTAATATTTAGAAATATTCCAATAATATTACACCTATAATTTCATCGCTGATAAGTTTTTGAATTTTATTTTAGCTTATGTTTTTTTTGGTTATTGTTTTGTATGTTAATACTAATTTTTACTAATTTGAAATACTTTCAAAAACTATGCCACGCCCACATTGTGCCACAACCTCATTGTGATAACATTTTTCTATTAGATTTTATACAATTAATTTCATTGAGTAGTTTTAAATGGGTAATTTATATGATTTTTATGAAAATCTAGATGCTACACACTTTCTAATAAAACTTTTTTAGTAATTTTACATTTTTTTGAAATTATTATATAATTTAAAGAAATTGTTTGTAATTAATTTTAATATTATCAATCTGCAGGATTTAAAGTAAAAACATATTTAAATTAAAACCTCATTAAAGTTAGAATTTGACTGATGTTTAGATAAATATAAATGTTATTAGTGGGATATCATGTGGTTTATAAAAAGGCATACCTTTTAATGGTTGTATTAAACCTGTATTTAATATACAGAGTGTTCCAAAAGTAAGGAAACGGGTCAATTATTCCAGAGAGAACAATAGAAATCTGTTTCTTTATTTACTAAATACCCTATACATTTTATCTATTATGTAAAAAATTCTTAAAAATACAGGAATCGTATAATCATTTTTGCATTCCATCTCTATTGAAAAGTCTTTTAATAATTTTTGTATACATTTTATAATTTATAACACTTAATAAGCATAGTTATTTCTTCTAATAAGAAATATTAATAAAAAATTAATATTTATGTATTTACTAATAATATGATAATTCTATATTATTTTGCAGTATTCACAATTTTAATTGTCTTTTTAATAAGATTTGTTGCTGGAATAGTTGTTTGGTTTGTTCTTATCAGTGTCATTGTCGTAAGTTTTGCTGGGTCAATTTTCTTATGGTAAATATAAATTATAATCTTGTTTTGCTTAAAATATCCAAATCAAATTTTTTCCCCAAAGATATTTTAATTGTCTATCTTCATTTTTTTTTCAAAATGTATTTTTAATCTAATAATTTCAAAATATTGTGTATACACATTTTTTTGCATTTAAAAATTATTAATATTTTGTCATTAATTTATTTTTATGTATTATTTTATAGTTGTAAAATTGGTGAGGTTTTAGGGTTAATTTGTATATATCTTATATTTCTAAATTATATTATTATCATAAGTATTTTTTTGCTAAAGGCTACAAATATTAAAAAAAATATTTGATAGAAGTTTTTAAATTATGCTTGTTTTACTGAATTTAAATTAATAAACAGGTTTTTGAAAATATTTGTTCAGATAATGTTTAATGTTAAATGCATATTATATATTAAACTGATCAATTCTTGATCTAGGAAAAATTCACATACAATGTATATACATTGTATATAGTAATGAATTTTTTCTGGGTTAGGAGTAGATTAGTCTTTTGCACTTCTATAAGTAATAATTTGAAATTTTTTTGTTAAATTAGGTATGTGTGGAAGCAAAAGTCTAACATGGAAATACAGGATCAAGTCACAGAGAATGATACTAAAACATATTTTTATTTTGCACTGATAGCGACTATTTCTTCTGTAAGTATATAATGTAATAACAAATTAAAAAATTAACAATTTTTTGTGTATGTTATATGAAGGTTATTATTTTGTTGATAATTGTTGTTATGAGAGATCGTATAGCACTTGTAGTACAACTGTTCAAAGAAGCGGGTAAAGCTATTCAAAGCATGCCACTTTTGCTTGTTCAACCTTTAGTAGTATGTGTTTTTATAAGGATACTTAATATATTTTCATATAGTAATGTATAAAATAAATTGATTTTTAGACATTTATTTTTCTTTGCATTGCTATAATTGTTTGGAGTTACTTTGCTGTACTTATTCAAGGATCAGGATTCCATGCTATCTTTGAGGATGCCCATAATGTTTATTTTAAAAAAGATATGCTCATGAAATTTGCAAGAGTTTATAATGTTCTTGTCTTACTATGGGTTATTGAATTTATTATTGGATGTCAACATATGATAATTGCTGGAGCTGTTGCTACTTGGTTTTTCACAAGAAATAAAAATAACATGTCTTCTCCAATTATAACATCTGTCAGTAATTTGTTTAACTATCATTTGGGTTCTGTTGCTTTGGGATCATTCATTATTACTATTATGCAAATTATCAGAGCAATTATTAATGCTGTTGATGAACACTTGAAAGAATCAGACAATGAAGTATTAAAAATGTTCTATAAAGCTTTTAAATGTTGTTGCCATTATATTCAGGACTTAATTCAATATTTAACAAGAAATGCTTATATAGAAATCGGTTAGATATTGACATTATGCTAATTATTTATTATTCAACTTAAGGAAGCTTAATTATTTTTACTTTTAGCTATTTATGGTGATAATTTCTGCAGAGCTGGATCACAAGCATTTAAAATTATTACATCTAATGTACTGCGTGTTTCTGCCATTAATTCTGTTGGTGATTTTGTTTTGTTTTTGGGAAAAGTATTAGTTGTCACATCTACTGTTCTTGTTGGTTTTTGGACTCTCGAGGTATGAAATAAATAATATACTATCTAAAATAATGTTAATATAAAACTAAATTTTCAATTAAATTTATTTCCTGAATCATGGATTAACTATACAGGTGTGTTTTTTAACACTAGCCACTCAATTTCTCTTAAAACAATAATTTTTATGTGAATGTTTTTTTTTATTTTCATTTGTTATACATGTATTATCTCCCTTTATCTGTTATAAAATAGTTAGTTTTTATGTGCATCCCATATGTATTATAGGGATAATAAATTATAGCAAAAGTTATAAAAGTTGCCGGTTTGACCTGTTATACTCTGTATAATACTAAGACAAAGTTGCATAAATTTGGAACCCATTAAAGTGGTTCAAACAAAATTTGTAGAAAAGGTATAATTGTGAGACCTATTCATAACTATTCCTCTCTGAATTGTAAATTTCAGAGTAATATCTATGATTGATTTATATTATCTTATCACATCGGTCAGCATAGTTAAAAATTTGAATTAATGTCATAAAAAAATTATTTGTATAATATCTTTTTCATTTCATCATACATAATATGTTATCATAATTAGCAGTGATATAATTGTTTTATTTTTAATATTTGAATCTCTAGCATTATTTTTTTATTTTCTTTTAATTTAGACAAAGCCTGGAATTCTTCATTTGTGGGCACCTTTGAGTGTTGCTGGTATTTTTGCTTATTTTGTTGCCCACTGTTTCATATCTGTGTACGAAGTAAGTTAAGTTTTAAAGAATCACTTTTTTTTTTTATTTAAATTTATTTTAGTAATATTTATTATTAACTAATTAATAATTTTTAGATGGTCATTGACACTGTATTCATCTGTTTCTGTGAAGACTGTAACCTTAATGATGGTGTGAACCAAGAGTATTTTATGAGCAAAGAATTGATGGTAAATAATCATAATTACAATGATATAAAATAATTTATTATAAACAAATTTTATTATTTCTTTTAGGACTTTGTTGAAAACAGCCAAAAAGTTTTAAGAGTCGGTGATGCTGTGTCTTCTAATTAAAAAACTCAAGTAAATGTAAAACATAAGGTTGATGTTTGATACTCATTTAATTTTTGCCATAACTTGTTTTTTTTAATATACATATATTTTATATTTGTGTTTAGTATAATATTTTTTACTACAATGTTTTCCTATTCCCTTTGAACATATATTTATATTATATGAATATTTAGTGGATTCATTCCTATAAATTGTTTTACTAAAATCTTCCATAATATTTGAGTAGCATAAGTAAAATTTAGTACTAAAAAAGTTTCTGTTTTTATAATCCACTTTACAAATAATGATACAAAAATTGTTTTGATTAATTTTATTATAAAAAAAGAATATATATTCAATAGTTAATTTGACAACTTATTTTAAAGTTATGAAAATATTATTACTAAATACTTTCAAGTGCTTTTTAATATTTACTTTCCTTTTCATTGAATTTAAAATATTCCATTTGTTACAATAAACCTTATTTTTAAATTGTATTTGTTTTATTGCATATACATTTTTTTTAAGGTATTAAGGATTGTTATTTAAAATAAGCGTACATTTTATACTATTTTAGTTGATAATTATATTAATATTATATTTAATATATTACTAATGTATTTTTTTATTCACAAAAATTAAAATATGTTATTTGAGGCTATAATGTAATTTATTTTTTAAGTTATTTTTGTACTTTATTTTTATTTATTTATATTCTAAATCTTTTGCATCTAAATTACTATGTAAATTGACATAAAATACAGTGGTCATTATATGGTTGTGCATAATTTTTTTTATTATTTATTACATTGAATAAATGTGGTTTTTCCATAATATACATTTAGTAAAAATTAGTGGCTACTCATGACAGTAACATCAAATATCAGTGCTATGGGGGCAAGGGATAATGATCTATCCTATAACCTTAACAAATCAGATTGTCTAATTAAATTCTTACTACTATCTTTTGATATCTCTTAATCTAGAAAATGTAATAATTGTACATAAAATAATCTAAAAATATTTTCAAAATACTAATATAGTTAATTAAAATTAGAAGTACAATAACGTAAAAATAATTTAAAACAATACACATGTAAAAATTTTCATTTTTAATTAAAATCAATTCATAAAAATTTACTTACATAAATATATTTACACCATACATTTGAAGTTACAAAAAAAAAAATCACTAATCTTTTAATGATTGAAAAGCATTTTTCATACGATGTAAACTATTCAAAATTGTCATTATAGCATTTTGAGATATATTCTCCATACCAGATAAATCTTTTTCAGCTTCTCGTACTATAGGTTCCACTTTGAATATCACCCACTCAGCTAAAATTGTGTCAGTTTTTAAACGACTTTGTAAGACAGTTAAGCTTTGAATACGTTTTGTTTTTTCAGATACCAATGCTCTCAGTTTCATTAATTTTTCATTTATACTTTGTGTAGGACTTTCTATTTTAACTTTTAAAATTGAAGCTAATTTAGGTTCAGTATAGCTTATAACTTTTAAACTTCTTTCAATGTATAGTAAATATAATTTACAAAGTAATTGACGGTATTTTTCTGCTTCTTCTAGGTTCTGGCTATGAACCTTAGTTTTCCGATACATACCATCAATACCTTTTCGATAAGAATTGTCCATTATATCCACTAAAGAAGCAGTAACTATTATATGAGAAAAGCCAAAAACTTTGTAAGAATCTTCAGCGTCTTTCAGCCTTTTTACTAGTTCTTTTTTTAAGTATTTACTTTGATCGTCATTAGCCATGACAGTATTAATATAGGAATAAAGAATAATTAATCAATATAACTAACACATTAAACTTAATAACTAATTAGATTTACAGATGTAAAAATGTTTTGAAACGATATCACAACTTATTAATGTTTGAATATATAAAGACGTTATTTATCCGTATATTTGTTGTAATCAACGATATAATAAATAAATTCAACATTTCAAATTTAAAAACTCTTTGAAAAATAAGAGCATTTATAATCTCACTAATATTTTTCTGAAGTTTGATAACAAATTTAAGTATTTCTAACTCGAGGGAAAATCATCATGGAGTGGAGTGTATACAATATCAATTAAGATCCATGATGATTCATGAGTTTTGCTCTGTGAGGATATTTTACTATACTAAACACTATTTTACTCCATTCCTTTATTATTGTCCATAGATGACGGAGTAATGTATGAAAAAACAATAGCTATATAGTCTTCTTCATTGTTGAATATTGTTTTGAACAAAATTCATAGCATTATCAGTTAAAATAAATAAAAATAAATTTTATTAACGTTATCTCTACAAAGTAAATTATTCATTCATTTTTTATAAGTTTAAGGGAAATATATACTTAATGAGTATGTCTCCACTTAAAAGAGAATACTTGGTAAGTGCTTTTTTACAAAAAATTTTTTTATATTGTCTTAATGTATAAAAGATATATTTTTTAATTAAATAGCCACCCCCATTGTCTCCAAGTCCTGTACTTGATATTAGTGATGATGAGCTTGTGTCAATATCTGTAAGAGATTTAAATCGTCAATTAAAAATGCGAGGGTTGACTAGAGATCAAATAGTACGCATGAAACAACGTCGAAGGACATTGAAAAATCGTGGTTATGCGGCTAGGTAATTAATTACAGTTAAATTAATCTAAGTAAACATTAATATAGTTTTGATTGTTTGTTACAGCTGCCGTATTAAGAGAATAGAACAAAAAGATGAACTAGAAACAGAAAAATCACAAGAATATCAAGAACTTGATGACCTGCAACATTCTAATAATATGATTCGATCAGAAGTTGAAAATACAGTTAGGCAGTTTGAAATGTTAAAAAGATTTGCTGCAGTCAGCAAAGTGATGATACCTTTGGAAATGCAATCATTATGAGACAATTTGATTACTAGTACATTACAAATTATTAGTTAGCATATTAGTATTATGATTTTTTTATAATTTTTAATCAGATATTAATAATTTTTAACAGTGTAGTATAACATAGAATATTTCTATGATTAGGGAAAAATTAAATAGAAATTATCAAACCTAAGGCTTATATTCTTAAAATAATTGTATTTTTTAAAACTTATTAGCATAATCATAAGTTAATTTTATAATTTATTCATTTTATGAATTCTTAATTTATTATAAAATAATAACATAATTATAATAAAATATAATTTATTATTTTTTCTTAATATTGAAAATGTTTCTTTTTATTGCAGCTATTTGGTGTTATGTTAGATAGTATTGTAAATTTAATATGATGAAAAAAAAAGTATTTATTTGTTTTGTAATAAATGTATAATTTTTCTTTTTAATTTTTAAAATTATTTATCAATTATATANTTTTTTTATAATATACTATATTTATTTACTATAAAATAAATGGTATTTTAAATAAATAACAAAATTGAAGATAATTTGATAGGATTCGACGACACGTATTTATCTACATTTTATCAGAGATTTCTAGAAATTATTTGGATTTCATTGGGTCATTTAGATAACAAAAATACCCGTAGCAAAAATATAATAACAACGGAAAAATTCTGAACTTGTAGTTCATTTTTAAATTTATTTTATAGTTTATCAGTTTAGAGAATTATAAGCAAATAAGTTTAGTTACCCCTATTCAATATACCGTATTCATAAAACATACAGAAAAGAATTTNCAATATACCGCATTCATAAAAAATACAGAAAAGAATTTTTTATAATTAAAATAGTATTTAAAAAATAAACAAAAGTTATGAAATTCTTTATGAATCGTCATTTAGTAAAATTAAAATTAAGTTGTTAAGATAGTAGATACGCTTGTTAATTTAAAAATTTATAATTGGCTGACTTTTTAACTTAATTGTATCCATAACTATATTATAATATTTGTATATTCACATAAAAAGAACATTAAATTATTTCAGTTAAGATAAATTTATATTAAATTTGAATTTCTTAAATGAAATGTTACAAAGAAAAATGAGATTAAAATAAAATAACAAAACAACAATTAAACATAGAAAAAGTAAAAAAATGTTTGGTGGTATACAAATAAAAATTTCAATTTATAGTGAATATTAAGAAAATTGATATAAAATACAAAAATAAAATTTCATTCATAAAAATATTAATTGAATAGCTCGCCAGCAATAATTTCATTTTTGTGTCTTAATCTTATAAAAGGCATAAAATTTGCATTTATTAGTGTTGTATCTCCTCGAGACATTTTTTCTGCCAGCTCAACAGTAAATGGCCCACAATCATGTCCATTGGTTTGGCGAGATGTTTCGCCTATTTGTAATGTCCATGTAGAAGCTTTTCCTTTTTTGTCTATCTCCCATTCTATTAAGAAATTTTTTAATACCATTGGATAGGGACCCTCATACGACTTAAGACTATCATATGATGTCACAGTCTTTTCAGGTATATTAACCACTGTCAATATCCAATGACTCTCATATACATTCATGGGCACAAAAAGTAATTTTATTGTGTGAATATCTTTTTTTATCCATCTTCTTACAGCTGGATAACCTCCTCGAAGATACGCTACAATAAAATCAGTGACAACTGCATAAACTTCACCTTCTGACCGTTTTACTATCATTTTAATGTACTCATTAATTGTGTCTGAAGTATACCAAAATGTGGGCGATTTAAATGAAGGTGCATTATTCTGATCAAGAGATTTTGTGTTCTGATATTGCATTACTTCTGCAAGTGTAACCATATTTAAACATTTTTCATAAAATTAATA